TGAAGATGACAAAGCTTTCCCGTCAGCTTTCACACTTTGAGGATTCTCCATTCATTTAGTATGGAGACTGCATTTATGCAACCATCTTCAGTGAAGAAAACAGAAAAAGTAGGGATAGTACAGGTGAGGCACTAAGGGGGGGGGAAAAAAAGCAGTCATAGATTCCTTCAATTCAGCAGCATTAATAAAACTTTTTATCTCATGGTTGGGAGAATAAAACTGAACTGAGCACAAAACAAGCAAGCAAAACAATACTGAATTAGAAACTGCAAAGAGCTACTAGGAAACAATAAGATAGATAAAGAACACATTCCAAAGGCCTGTAGAGGAAATTTTATAATCACAGTTATATCTGAAATGGATTAATTGGACACTCATGTTTTGGGGACTTTTTTTCCTCTAGAGGCTTTGTTAATCACATGAAAACAACACTGAATTCTAGATGCCACTGTAGACTTCATCTCTGTATGCTCACCTCTTAGCCGGCGTGCCAGATTTAGATCTGCCGTGAGACCTAGACCTGCAACAAGAAGTAAAAACAACTCAGCAAGAAAGTCAGTGGCATGCATATCACCACATCTGAGCCAGTAAAGTTTACACTAAATATATAAGAACCATAATGCTGAATGCAGACAGAATGCTGGAAATTCACAGGGCTTTTGCTAACTATCTTTCAGAAGAAAGCTTTCAAACAGATACTGTATACGTTACTCTGGACTTTGGTCCCTGGCCAATAACTTATGCATGCTGATGCAAGTGGCAGGAAACACATCAACCACCCAAGTTCAGACCACTATCTTCACACAGCTCGTAAAACACCAGACTTTAAACTTGCGAGTGCTATTAGCCTTGAGCAACAGCTACCCTACAGCTGAAACAAACTGCAGGCAGTACACTCCTACAAACGTCTTCTCCTCAATGTATTTCATCTTTTGTATGCACCTGACAAAAACACTTTTAGTCTTTTCTAGCCCTCTGGAGATAAAACTGCTGCACCAGAACACTAAATCACTTACAAGAACTGAAATTTGTAAGTTTCCAAAGGAAGTGTTCTACTTTCCATATCCATGGCTTTCCATGACTGCTTCCAGATGTACTCTTTGATGCTGTCAGTCCAGCAAACATCATGCAATACTTTTTCAGACTTTCTTCCCTATGAATCAAGAGTCTGTCTCTGGGTGTTTTGCATTCCTTTGATTCTTCAAGAAAGAAACTGTCTTTCAACTGCCTGACAGTAAATTTAACAATGACTTCATTATAAATTGAACATCAAAGTTTGCCATTTCTCTGTACTTCTGTGTATGAAATTTCCTCCGCCTCAATCACTAAATTACTAAGAAATGTGTCACAATGCAGAGTTCAAGCAGCATCCTTTACAATGCAGAAAACAATCCTGGTACTAAAAAAAGAAAATAATGATAATAACATCAACAGAATTTTCCCCTTGAGAGCCCACTGACGTTAGCTACTTTCTGCTCATCATATGCACTGAACAGTGATGAGCCACAGTTAAGTCACGTTACCACAACTGGTATTAAGATTCAACAATTTTAGCAAGAGGGAGAGAAAAAGTGCATTTGATCAATGCAAAAGCATCACTCTGCTACCTCAGGCAAATTCCTTTCTTTTTTCAGTAGGTTCTGAACCTTCTGTGTGACTTTTTGCTCTTAACTGAGCAATCACCTGGTCTTCATCTCTTCTTTCCCTAAGAATTCCTTACAGCTCTCCATATCACTCCTCATAAAAGCCTCTACTACCACCTTTTAATAATGAAATCTTCATCCTCAGCTGTGGATTCTTCCAGATAATCCAGTTGAATTCCTGTCTTTCTTTTGTTTCTTCACCAATGCCTACTGTATTTCTTATGCCTAAGAGCAGTCATTAAAGCAGAAGAGCAGACCAAGGAACAGGGTGGGCAAAAAGCAGTCTCCACTGAACAAGGCAGCTACCTGAAGACATCCATGTCACCTATGCCAGCCACATATCTGACAAGCTCTCCAGAAACATGCACTATGCTCACTTAGCATGGAAGCAATAAACCACAACATTAAGGAGAATTAATGGCATCCTAATTCAGCTACTGCAAAGTGACACTTATGAATGAATGGACAAGTACTCAAGACAGCTAGCTAGCTTTAACTGCACTACGAAGTCCTTCACCACTTTCCAGGTTACACACATTACATACACGCTATCAGAAGTGGATCCTAATTTCTGACACGTATCTGGAAGAATCCAGAGTTTCTTATGTGCTACATAAAGCAAATGAAAAAAGTTATCAAATAAATTCTAGATGTTTGCATTATTTGTTGTCTAACATAGCAAACTAATGAAAACAGTACTTCCGATCACCACAAAGACCTAGATATCACCAGTGTGTTAAACACACACACAAGCCAACAAACTTAACAGACCAAACAAGAGAAAGTACAGTGTTCTGCACTAGTCTGTAGTAACTCAGGGTTCTGAAGCTTCTAAAGGGAACATGTGCTTTTTCCCGAAAATTTTAACATTGGACAGAAAACCTCAACAGCCTCAATTAATTTAACTATGTAGCCCCCAGCTACATAACCTACCTGCTTCGGGGCCATGTAACAGATCTGGATCTCGACCTTGATCTTGATCTCGACCTAAAATGAAAAATATAATCAAAGACTGTTACAGCACTACGTAACGCCTATGCACTGGAATATAAATCCTGCATGATTGTTTGACATCTTAGGCATCAAAATTTAACATAGAATATGCAGCTCTCTAAGGTCTCAAAAACTAATAGGATTATTATAAATTTAACAAGAATTATCAGATTAAGAATGCTTCTAAAACAGCAACAAACACAAAACTGAAAACTTCTAAGAAATTATTAATTACCTTGATCTCTTCAACGAACCCGAGCGGGACCGGCGTGGAGATACAGATCTAGACCTACGAGGTGAAACCGACCGTGACCTACGATAGGAAGCTGACCTGGACCTGCAGAAAAGTCAAATAAAATTGTTCAGTTGCATAAACAGTTCTAAGTCAAACAAAAAACCAAGAAGAAGCAAACATAAGCATACCTCCTACCACGACTTCGACTGCGTGAGCGAGAATACCTTCTTCCTCGGGACCTGGAGCGGGATCGAGACCGGGACCTGGTTTTAGGTTAGAGAAAACACGTATCAGAAAACAGACTCAGCCATCAGCACACGTGACGCCCTGCTGAAGTCAAAATTTTCAAGCAACTAAATAACTAGCATCTGTCAGTTGGAAAAAATGCCTGGGCCTACTTGTCTTGAGCATTTTTACTACCTAGAAAAATGTTAAAAGCTGAATTACATTGCAGAATTACATTAGAATAAAAAAATACTGTAATGCGTATTTAAAATAAACCTTGCAAGTTTGCAGGTCGACCCTCTTTGGCCCAAGGTCTAGCAGATCTAGACGATCTAGAAGTATCTATAGCCGATCGCTGCATCTAGGTGTTCTCTTCAATCTAACGACGATCAAACTGACAGCCCAATGAGCCAGGGTGAGGCTTGATTGACGCAAGAAGATTTTTCTAGCTGGGAATGTGGTCAATCTGGTGTTCCTCTTTCTAAACCGGAGGGGGGGCCCCAATTGAAAGCCAAATTTACTGTTACGGCGGTCACCGTCTCAAATTTTCTGCCCTTAAAGAATAAGGTCGAGCTAGGTGGAGATGGCTCGAGGGGATCTGGCCTCTTATGCTGATCACCTCAAGGTCTAGGAGGATCTTAAGTGTCGGATTTGCAAGGCGCCTCAGCATGAAATCTTAAGGCTCGTGACATTCTGAATCAAGGCGACTGACTCAAACGAAGAAACCTGAAAGGTTTTGACCAGGTTGATTATTAAGATAGCAACATTTGATAGAAATATCAACATAATGTAATATACACCTATACATTTAATCTAGAGTTAAAATTTAAAGAAAATTGGCGTAACATTCTGTTCTTTGCTAAGAAGCGCTACACAAAGTGAACCGGCGAAGCAACCCCGCCGCTCCATCCCGCCCGTACCTGCTCCTCCTCCGGCGGCTGTAGCGATGGCAGTCGTAGGCATAGTGGCCTTTCTCACCACACTCATAGCATCTGTCGTTGGGGTCGAAGGGGCGCCGCGCAGGAGGCCTGTCGTAACGGGAGCGACGGGGCATGCCTGTCGACACTTCCACTCGAACCCTGGAGCCGCAGATGACCCTGCAACAAGTCCACGATTCCCCTGAGTTAGCCGCTGCTGCTGCTTATGGCAGAACTACGAAAAGGAGAAGAACCAGCGACCAGACCCCGATTCTCTCTCCAGTCTAAAAAGACGACGGTAGCCCCCGCCAACACATGGAACGCTCACGTACTTCCCATCGAGTCCACGGACAGCATCTTCAGCATCCCTCGGGTCTTCGAACTCCACGAAGGCGAACCCCGGCGGGTTCCTGGCGATCCATACGGTTCTCAGCGGCCCATAGTAGCTGAAGGCTCTCTCCAGCTCGCCTTTGCCCGCGCCCGTGCCCAAGTTCCCCACGTACACCTTGGTCTCTGCGCAGGGAAGCGCTGGGTCAGTGCCGGGGCCGCCATCTTGTCCGCGCCGCCCGCTCCCTCCCGCCCTCAGCACGGCGGCGGCACGCGCTGCCTCCCCCCTTTCCCCCGGCCGCTGACGCAAAATGGCGGCGGCAGCCACGGCCGCCTCGCCTCGCCTCGCTTCTCCCCCTCCTTCCTTCGCTCCCTCGCCGGCGGCTCGGCTGTCCTCGGTACCTCCCCCGTCCCACGGATCCCCACCGACTGCACTGCCCGCCGCCTCGCACCGCCCCGGGAGCTCACCGCCTCCATAGCGGCCGTAACGCGACATCCCAACGGCTCCGCCAAACCGCCGCTCCGCGCCGCGCACGCGCCAGCCCTCCTCTCCCCTCTCTGCCCGCGGCCCTCAGGCGGCGCGCATGCGCGCGAGGCGGCGGCGGGCGCCGGAGGGCAGGGCGGGAAGCGGCGGTTGCTGTGGCGACGGCGGTTACGGCCGTTATCGCCTTGAGGGGACGGATCCTGGGGGCGGGCGGGCGGCCTTCCGTGCTTAGTCCTTCGGGAGGGCAATTAAACTAGCGACAGTTAAACAACTGAGGAGATAAACAAAAGCAACACAAAAAACAGCAGGGGCTGAAACTAAACGATGATTAAAACTGAAGATGCCTGGGTTTTTTTGCCCAGTAGTGACTTTGAAGAAAATCAAATCTGATCCAGAAAGGCACCTGTTGGGACTGTTAAAAACTGGAAGGACTAAAATGCATAATCTTTAGATACCTACATGTGAAAACACACTACATTCCTTTTCTCTGCTGCTTTTCTCTCAAACAAGAGTTAGGATTTCCCCCTGATGCTCAGGCTTACAGTGAGAACAGCCGTGTTTGCTGATCTCTGCCTTCTTCATAAATGGAGAGAAAGGAGCAGCTGAGTAACCTCCCTAGCTCCTTCCTAAACAATTTCAATGCTGGGGTTGGAAACTTTACAAGAAGAACCCAAACTATCCCCTTAAGCCTGCAGAATACTAACTATCTCCCTTGGTATTTTTTAATCTTCTGTACTGCTTCATTCCCGGAGAGCTTTTCATTAAGCCGTCTGAAAACACTGAGCTTCTCAGGAGGTTGGAATGGCGGGGAGTTCCTCACGCTTGCAGCTGCACAGGAAAGCTCGCTAAGAGAACTCACTGAAAGCGACTGAGCAAAGCTGCCACGACCCTCACGCGCCCCGCGCATCTCCCCGTTTCTTGGCGGGTGGCCCAAGCTGCAGCCGGGGGCTCGCAGCCTCCCAGCAGGAGGCAGGGCACCGGCCGCACCGAGCGCTACGCCTCCTCGTTTTGCAGCTTGGCCTCACGTCTGTCACCCACAAGTGTCGTGCGCGCACGTACGCTCGCAAAACGCTCCGGCTCCGAGCGGTCCTCGGGCTCCGCGCTTTCAAACGAGCCGCGCGGGGGGCGGGCTGACGGCAGGAAGCGGCGGGGCTGGGGAGCTCGCGTGTGCAGTAGCGAGTGGGGCTGAAAATGCACGGAGGATCCTTACTTGGAGACAAACTCTGATGAGAAGGGCAAAGCGAGGGGATTCGGTACTTCTGCTTGTTGATCTGGCTGTTTACTAGGTGCTGAGTGTAGCCGGTATGAATGACTGGCAAAAGAAAAGCCCTCTAGACTGGGAGACCTATGTGAACAAAAGGGTGAAAGTTGCAGCAGATGAGAAAAATGAATACGAAGGATGGGTCTTAACGGTTGATCCAGTTTCTGCCAGGTAAGTATCAAAACTTTTGTTTTCCTCAAGCTAAGAGAGAACAACTTTTTTCAGGAAAATAAGATCCCAAGACTGAAGCAAGCTTACATGAAGCAAAACCTGCTTGTTGATGCTCTGTGTCCTGTGTGTTTAGTTGGCAATACCTAAGAGAAAAAGGTGCTGTAGTTGATGAGACCCAAATCCACATTAATCAGAGCACCTCCCCTGTGAAGACAGGCTGAGGGAGCTGGGCTTGTTCAGCCTGGAGGAGGCTCTGGAGACAAGCTCATCGCGGCCTTCCATTGCTGAGGGGAGCTTACAAGCAGGAGGGGCACTGGCTATTTACTTGGTCTGATAGTGACAGAAGAAGGGGAAATGGCTTTAAACTAAAAGGTTAGATATCAAGGGGAAATTTTTCACTGAGAGGGCAGTGAAACCGTAGCAGTGCTGCCGAGAGGCTGTGGTGCCACATCTCTGGAGATGCTCAAGGCCAGGTTGGATGGAATGCTGAAAACTTGAACTGGTGAGAAGCAGCCCTGGCCATGGCTTAGGTTGGAACTGGGTGGGCTTTAAGGTCCCTTCCAACCTAAGCCATCCTATGATTCTATACTTAATCTCATTCAGTGGACTGATAAGTTTGGGGAATTAATACTACCTGAATTTACATTGCCTTTACAGTGAATCTGGCATTATTAATGCTAATGTGCTATTCTCTTGTTGAGATGAGTGCCTTTAATAGCATCAAACCCTGCATCATAAAGAGAGCAGGAACACAGGAACATTCTTATACGTGTCAGATGTTTAATCTCTTATCCTCTGTCCAGAGTTCTCATGTCAGTGCCCTGCTTTCCCCTCTGGCAGACACCTGTGAAGTGTAGTGGCTGCAGGAGAGGAAGCAGGAAGTGGTAGCACAGGTCTCTAGCATCTCAAGTGAGCAAGAAAACAGGGCTTGAAAGACACCAGAGAACAGGCAGAAATTTGTCTCATTGATGCCAGAGGTCTTTCTTACCTTTTAATTGGAAGCTTTCTAATATAAGTACAATATAGAGGCTAGAAACAAAAGCATCCAGCTTGTGATATATTTCAGCTACGTAGTAGCTCTGCTGTGCTTATATTCTCATGGAGATGCTTGCCCTTTTGATAGGAAAGGTCTGTTAAGCTGTGAATGATTTGAGGGATGGCTCAGGCAAAAATCAAGGCGTATTTCAGTGGACATATCACAAAAAGCCTTTCTCTCCACTAATGGTGGCAACAGCATATTAATAAATAGCTGGCTTAGAATTATGGAAGTTCAATTTCCGTGAAAGGAAGAAAATGGTTTCTGATTATTTTCTGTGATATGTGAGGAGGAGATTCTAGAAGTACAATAGGTTGTTTTCCTGCTTCTGTTTTAGGACTTCTGGAACATAAGTGCCATTAGGAAAAGAACAGGAAACAGTCTTAAACAGCTGCACCATGAGCTTGTCCATGCTGCATTGTGTTCTTGCTGCAGAATTCAAGCTATAGTAATTAAGAAGCTAGCAGTTCTCATTAAAAGAGAAGAAATATATTACTATTTGATCAATAATTAAACAGTAATCATTAATAGATTCTGATGTTACACTGTGAGCTGCCACCATTGCACTATTAGCTTTCCAAGTGTTGACTGTATGAAGGTACTGTTTCTGAATTTTTGAAGACTTAAGCAAGGTTGGAATGCTGCCCATAAATGTCAGATTCCCAGTCCAGATTCTGATACCCAGCTCTGCTTTTTTCCTTTTTTATTGTAATGTAAGGCTTTGTTTGTTGGTACCTAGAGTAGTCTCAAATTCCAGGCCCCACAGTTGCACCATTTTAAGGAATAACCTATTTTTAAGAAAGATGCTGGGTTGTCAGTGTTGCCTGAAAGCCTAGATTACACCAAGGCTTCTGAGCACTCATCTCCAAGACTCTTAGGCTGTCTTTCTTCATCTTCAGTTAAGCACACTCAGTCATATGTTCTTCTTTCCCTGACAGTGTTGTCCTTGCAAACTTCCTGGAGAACGAACCGGTGTCCATTTTAGTTGTGTTAGGCCATGCTGTTCAGGAGGTCAACATAATGCAAGATGCGGATGATGAGATGAAGGCACGGCTTTCCCGCATATTTGAGCCTGAGGAAAGTAAAGCTTACAGCCCAGAGGAGCTCCACAAGATGAAGAACGACTTGAAGAAGTGGCTGGAAACAAACCACATCCCTGTAACAGAGCAAGGCGAATCGGGAAGAACGCTATGCGTGGCAGGGGTGCTAACCATCGACCCGCCGTACAGCCCAGAGGAGTGCAGCAGCTCCAACGAGATCATCCTGTCTCGGGTTCAAGGCTTGGTACAGAGCTACCTAGAAAAGCAGCAGTGATTCCTGCCTAAAGCAGCTGGGCCTGCACACCCCACCTCACAAACTGCTCTGGGTGCCTGTATCTGCTCTATCTAGAAGTGCTGGGTATAGGTGCCTTTGTCTGATTTTTGTACTTTTGAGACTACAAGTGGTGTAAACAAAAAGCACAAAGCATGCACTGTTATGTTTAGTTAAAACAAATGGATAACATGTTAAACTGCTGTATCAGTCATTTTTTTAAACAGCACCGTGAAAGTTGATAGATGAGAAACATAAATGGTATTCCTCCAACTAACATTCACTTCATTACTTTTCTAATGGAGACATCTTTACATGTTTAGTTGAACAGCTTCCACAGAGTATTTTTTCAGAAAGGACTCTGACTTATCAAACCAAAAGACTGTTTTGAAAAAGCTTTTTACTACAGCAGTCTTTGTTTTAACCCACGACCTTCAACGTAGGGCAAGCAGTGTAAAATTACCAGGAAGAGGCAACCGCAAGTAGTAGGTTTTACCAACGTTGCTCCCTATCTGCATTCATTATTTTGGAGCAGCAGCATTTGGCAGGACCTCCCTCCTTAGGATTCCTTACAGCTCAAGAACTTGGTGTTTCCACTTTAGCTTTGGCACTATTTTATGCCAATGCATGATGCAGTAATTTCTGCACGATTACTAAAGAAAATCAACACGAACAAACACCTTTAAGAATCACAGAATTGCCAGGATTGGAAGGGACCTCAAGGATGATGAATCTCCAACCCCCTGCCACATGCAGGGCCACAAACCTTCCCACCTAGTGCTAGACCAGGCTGCCCAGGGCCCCATCTAATCTGGCCTTGAAGCCCAAGGACCTCATTAACAAAACGCTTTCCTTATTCTTCCTGCGGTTCATTAAGAAGTACTTCGAGTCAGTGAGGTTCCTGCCGATCGCTCCAAAAGGGCAGCACGGTCCGTACCCTCCACCATGAAGCTGGCGGCCCGCTGCCAACTGCAAACGCAGATCCCGGAGCGCCTCCCGCTTCCTATCCCGACACGGTCCGATCGCCTCCCATATAGGCCCCATCCTGCGCATGCGCAGTACTGCAGTCGCAGATCTCGCGAGATCTGCGTGAACGCTCGAGCAGCGCGTTCCTCCCGCCCCGCGTTCTCTAGCGACCGGAGCCCCGCCCCGGCGTGCGGCCGTTGGGGTGCGGCGCGCAGGCGGTTCCCTCTTTCTCAGGGACGCGCGCGGGGCTCGGCCTGTAGCTGGGACGATGTCGCGTTACGGGCGTTATGGTAGGACGGGCAGCGGCGAAGGACGCGAGGGGAAGGCTCGGCGCGGCGGAGGAGGGGAGCGGGCTGCCGCTGGCAGCGGGGATGGGCGGCGTGGGGAGGCTTGCCTCGGGCCAGGCCGAGCGGGGAGTCGGCCGCTGTCGGGTTGGCGGCTGTAAGGACAGTCGGCGGGGAGAGGCGGGCGGGGAGCGGGCGCCGCTGGTCGGCTGGGGCCGCAGAGCGGCCCTCCAGGGGGAAAGGGGCTCTGAGGGTGACGGAGGGGCGGCGGCGCAGCGCTGGCGGGAGCGCGGCAAAATGGAGACGGCGTTAAAGATGGCGGCGCCTGCGGGCGGCGGGGGGAGGGGTGGCCGCGCCGCGTGCGCGTCTCGTGCCCCGCGCTGCGCCTGCGCGATGCCGCCCGCGGGCTCCTGCTGACATGGCCGCTTCTTTCCCTGCAGAGACCAAGGTGTACGTGGGGAACCTGGGCACGGGCGCGGGCAAAGGCGAGCTGGAGAGAGCCTTCAGCTACTATGGGCCGCTGAGAACCGTATGGATCGCCAGGAACCCGCCGGGGTTCGCCTTCGTGGAGTTCGAAGACCCGAGGGATGCTGAAGATGCTGTGCTCGGCCTCGATGGGAAGTACGTGTGTGCCGAGACCCCTTGGCTGTTCTTTCAGCAGCACCTAACCTCGTCGGCCTGCAGCCATCAGCAGTATCAGCTCCTGTGAAATGGGAATCAGGCAGAAAAGCAGTGACTAACAAGACCTGTGTCTTGCAGGATCATCTGCGGCTCCAGGGTTCGAGTGGAAGTGTCGACAGGCATGCCCCGTCGCTCCCGTTACGACAGGCCTCCTGCGCGGCGCCCTTTCGACCCCAACGACAGATGCTATGAGTGTGGTGAGAAAGGCCACTATGCCTACGACTGCCATCGCTACAGCCGCCGGAGGAGGAGCAGGTACGGGCGGGATGGAGCGGCGGGGTTGCTTCGCCGGTTCACTTTGTGTAGCGCTTCTTAGCGAACAAAACACCAGTTTTAACTCTTAATGTTATAAGTCAACAGGTGTATATCACAATTTGTTGCTAATACATATCAAATGTTGCTATCTTAATAATCAACCTGGTCAAAACCTTTCAGGTTTCTTCGTTTGAGTCAGTCGCCTTGATTCAGAATGTCACGAGCCTTAAGATTTCATGCTGAGGCGCCTTGCAAATCCGACACTTAAGATCCTCCTAGACCTTGAGGTGATCAGCATAAGAGGCCAGATCCCCTCGAGCCATCTCCACCTAGCTCGACCTTATTCTTTAAGGGCAGAAAATTTGAGACGGTGACCGCCGTAACAGTAAATTTGGCTTTCAATTGGGGCCCCCCCTCCGGTTTAGAAAGAGGAACACCAGATTGACCACATTCCCAGCTAGAAAAATCTTCTTGCGTCAATCAAGCCTCACCCTGGCTCATTGGGCTGTCAGTTTGATCGTCGTTAGATTGAAGAGAACACCTAGATGCAGCGATCGGCTATAGATACTTCTAGATCGTCTAGATCTGCTAGACCTTGGGCCAAAGAGGGTCGACCTGCAAACTTGCAAGGTTTATTTTAAATACGCATTACAGTATTTTTTTATTCTAATGTAATTCTGCAATGTAATTCAGCTTTTAACATTTTTCTAGGTAGTAAAAATGCTCAAGACAAGTAGGCCCAGGCATTTTTTCCAACTGACAGATGCTAGTGGTGTGGTTTTGTTTTTGTTTTTTTTTCTTTGTTTTTTTTTTTCTTCTTAGTTGTCTGAAAATTTTGACTTCAGCAGGGCCTCACGTGTGCTGATGGTTGAGTCTGTTTTCTGATACGTGTTTTCTCTAACCTAAAACCAGGTCCCGGTCTCGATCCCGCTCCAGGTCCCGAGGAAGAAGGTATTCTCGCTCACGCAGTCGAAGCCGTGGTAGGAGGTAAGATTTCAAGCGCAGTGGCCTTGCTGTTTATTTTACAGTTTTTACTTTTCCCTTCATTTTGGGAAGGATACCCTTTTGCATCCTTTGTGAAAAATACCTTTTGATAGCTTGTGTTCTGTTTTTTTGTAGGTCAAGGTCAGCTTCCTACCGCAGGTCCAGGTCAATCTCTCCTCGTAGGTATAGATCATTTTCACCTCGCAGATCACGGTCCGGCTCTTTAAGGAGATCAAGGTATGTGATGCTGTGAGCTCACAACACTGTTGAAAGAATACTTAAAGAAATGTAATGGCTGGAATTAGTGCTTACATTTTTTGCAGTCTGTAGTGCTGTTAGTCTCATGGAGTGAAATCCCATGGCTCATCTGGACATTTACTTTGAAGTTAAAAACCTGTACTTGTAAATTCAAAACTGCCGTTTCTGATGTTTTTCATGCTGCATTGAAATGAAGGTTGTGATTTTGATCTCTGGCTAAGGCTTTCCACTTAAGATAAAGTGATACAGAGAGTAATGATGTCTAGTTAACCATGGCAGCGGGATTTCATATGTGGGTGATATTTCTGGCGGAATCTTCTGCCACTTTCTAGTAATACTGTCAGTTTTGAACCAGAGAGCGGCCTGGCTTGAAAAGGACCACAATGATCATGTAGTTTCAACCCCCTTGCTGTGTGCAGGGTTGCCAGCCACTAGACCAGGCTGTCCAGAGCCACATCCAGCCTGGCCTTGAATGCCTCCAGGAATAGGGCATTCACTATTCTTCCTTGGGCATCCATTATTTTTCCATTTTTGGCCTTATCTATACTAAGAAAATGGGTTAGCTTATTTGAGTCCCCGTATTTGTTATAGCTGATGAGTAACTTGAAGAAGTAGCTTAAGTAACTTCAGCTATTTGTGTTACGCCGATGACTTTGGAGAACTGTGCTGAAGGATCTCAGTTGCATGAGTCACACCAGAGCTGATCTTTCACTGCTCTTTTTTAGATCTAGGTCCAGATCACGCTCAAGGTCTCGGTCTGTTGTATGGCCTCGAAGCAGGTAAAGTGCTTGTTATAATTTCTTCTGACTGAGAGCAGTTGAAGACTTATCTCCCTCTATCCCTTTATTTTTTCTTTTTGTCTCCTGGAAGGGATTAGAAGGTTGTGCAGCATAGCAGTGTTTGCACTTCTCGTACACCTTTCTAGAGATCATACCATTGATTTGTGTCTTCTAATTCATGAGTTTGCTTTATTCTGTGGCTGCATGTATATATGCTTACAGCCATAAGCAAAATATATCTGTCATTTATGTTCAGTGGGGAGAGGTTTAGAAGGCTGTTTGTTATGCTTGAACTTGTGTCTTGCAGGAAATGTTGCATAGTTCTTTTGTTGTTGTATTTTTTAAGTCCCACTATAAGCAGTGAGAGGATTCATACTGTGACCTCAGCTCTTGCTTACCACTTACCGTTACTGAAGAACGGGTGAGAGGTGAGACAGGCTTGATTAGGGGATTGGCTGCATGCTGATTCTTCAAGGGATGTTGGTGGTTGGTTACTCCTAGAGTTGTCCTGACACACCACTCCTAGTGATGCAGGAGATTTCCAGTCAGGTGCAGCTTGCAGGCTGCTGCTGTGTTCTTGGTAACTTCTGCTTCTGGAGTTCTTGCACAGGAGATGCTCAACATTTTTTGAAATGCTGATTTCATATGCCTGCAATTGCAGTGGTGAATGGTGGTGTAGTTACAGACTAGAATTACAGAAACATTGTGGAAATGGTAAATTGTCCTACTTCTAGAGCCTCTGATTGGCACTCGTCATGTTGATATGCCTCTTGCAATAAGGTTTTGCCAGTGTTTGTAGTAAGACAACAACGCTCTTGTGTTATTGGACAAAGGAAGTTGTGCTCATGCTACAGAATACATGTTCTGGGTAGATGTGTTCTGTGAACCTTGCAGGCAATAAGAAAACTGCTGGTTACAGCGTTAGTTACTGGTACAGATGATGGCTCAGCTTAACAACCTGGAAGGTTTAAAAGCAATTGCACTGAATCGTTTAACTTGGCTAACGGTATCTGCACAGTATTTCTGTAAAATAATAGGCAAGATAAAAGCAACTGTAAACAGCTGCAGGCAAAAACCAAGGAAATTGTCTTCCTGAAGAGTCAGAATTCAGCAGCGTGATACTATGGAATATCAGAAAGCTTCACGTTGCAGTCCTCAAAAAGAAACAGCCAAAAGAGCACTGTAATGCTATAATGTGATGGAAAGTACAGCAGCTGAGTGGCACAATCTGAAGCTGCATCAAATGAGAACAAGCCCAAATGCAGCAGCTGCAGACACAGAAACAAAGGAAGAAAATCTACTTACCTTTGGAATGTCTCTGGCAGGTAGGGATCTCCAGTAAGATCCTCTCACCTCCACTGCCAGTCCTTAAATGAGGTCTAGGAAGGGCTGGATCCTGGCTCCTCCCTTTCCAGTCAATCAGGTATATTGCATGCAGCTGAGCTCCCCTGGGTTGGCCCTGCCTCCCCAGTGCTCAGTCACGGCTTCAAGCCGTGACAGCATTTCTGCTACACGTATGAAAATTATATCCCAAGTAGCACAGCAAACCCTTGAGTATGTATATTAACATGCAAAATGCATGAGGAAAGTTTGATTTCAAGCCATAAGATGACCCAAGAATAGTTTACAAGTTATGAAGTCCTTGTAGCCATGTATGTAACACAACTAAAACGCTATTTTAATTGGGATAGCAAATGAAAACTGTTCAATTTACTTGAATGAAAGTGGCATTGAGAACTGAAGAATGCATCAGCTCTTACGTGGCTGAATGATGTTTAATTAAAATCTTGTCTTAAATGACACTTGTAAGTATTCTTCCATTTGTGAGAAGGACACGGGGGTGGGTGGGGTTTCTATTTTGTAGAAGTGGTAGCCAAAGCTTTGCTGGGGAGCTTCTCGGGTGTGTTCTGTTGCTTCCTGACAAGCGGAGTCTCTGCAGTAAGAGCTAAAGGATTCTTCAGCAATGTCATGAGGAAGGGCTGCCAGCCCAGAGCAGACAATTCCTCTCTGATTCGTGATGCTATGTAGTGTGAAATTGCTGTTGCTGGTTAAGCTAACCTTCATTGTATGTGCATGCCACTGGCTGCTTTGCTGAGCTTTATTTTTCTCCTATTGTAGGTCTGGGTCCCATGGTAGATCTAAATCTGGCTTACCTGCTAAAAGGTGAGCGTATAAACACAACTAGCACTCAGTAATTTTTTTTGGTCATGATTCCGAATCTTTTTGGACCAGTATCTCAGTTGCATGTAGAAGAGCCTCTTTAATGACTGGTTTTTAATAATATTTTAATGACTTTTTCAAAATGACTTTTATTTTCTATAACTGATTTTCGTGGGTTGGTCCACAGTTCTTCCAGAAGGATTGCTGGTATCTAGCAAGCTCTTATCTAACTCATGACTATGATGGTAAAGTATTTTGGCAGGATTTGGGGCACATCTTGCCCCCTTTCTGTTCTCAGTCCTGTCTTTTCTTCACTTGTTTCACTGCCCTGTTGTCACTTTATAGCTGCTTCAAAGCTATGGCAACTTTCTACTGAGGGCTTCAGCTTTCAGCAGTCTTCTCTCTCAACTGCAGCTTCTTGCTTAAAGTAAGCCTCTAAATTGGGCATACTTGCTATCAACAGCGTAAGGGCGGTATCTCTATTGTACACAAAAAATATCAGAGTTCTTACTGCTCTAAATTGGTCAGAAGCATTGAGTGCATGGAAGTTACTATGTGAAGAGTTACATTGCTTTTTCTTTCTTTTACAGTCGCTCAAAGTCCAGATCACCATCTCCAAAGAGAAGGTAGGAATAAAAAGTAGAGTACACCATCTGATTACATTGAACAGATTAATGTCTGTAGAGGTTGCTATTAAGGTTAAGTTCTGCAAAAATAAAATCATGAACTTTCCTCATGAACTAGAAAACCTGATGGGTGTTTTCTTCTATGATTCACAAGTTTATAACAAGGCTGTTTCCATAAAAGAACTCTAGTGTAGGTGTCCTGTGTCCACTTACTGTTGTTAGTTGGAATCCTCTAAGGTAACCTACTTCAGTGAAACTTGGAAAGGACAATAGAAAAGGCAGGAAAATGTAGCAAGTAACAGAGGAAACAAAATGGCTCTGAGCACAGCTGGAAAGGAGGTGATGAAGTAGGAAGGAAACCACCAGTACTTGGCAGGATTCAGTTTTTCTTGGTGAATCTTCACAGTTGGCTCTTAACTCAAGTGCACAGCTGCATGCTGAAGTAAGAAAGAATCCTCTGCATAACCAGAGATGAAGATGGTGGACTTTCAGTAACCTGACCTACAGTGTCATGGCTAGCTCTGAACTGGAGATGTGTAGGTTATAGCCCACCTTCACCTTAGATTCTCATCTGCTATCTGTGTGAGGATGGAGCCTCACAGGTGCTCTTCTTGAGCATGCTCCTTGTCTTACTCTAGGTATCATAGCTGGCTCTCATTTTAACTGGCCCTTTCATGTTTCAAGTTGCAATTTACATGATGTAAAACCTAACATTTCTAACACCCTGAGCTGCAAATAAAAACTTTGGATAGAGGCAATCTGGGGGAGTAGTTCCCAAACAAAGGAAACCTGGGGCAGCATGCATGTTTTCAGCTGCTTTGGCTTTAAGAGTTGTCCTTACTCCTTTTTGTTTCTCTTTCAGTCATTCACCATCAGGAAGCCCTTGAAGGAGGAATGCATGTCCTGAAAGAATGGATTCAAGTTAAAAGGTTAAAGTTTAAGAAGAAGATTTATTTTGTTTACATTATTATAAGGGATTTTGTGGTGTCTTTATAAACGCAAGGGCTTAGTCCTAGAAGGTTGTTTCTATTGCCTAACAACAGGCATGAATTTGGATCTTTTAAAAGTAGACTAATGCAAAACTCCTTTGTTGTGTTAATGTTCAGTGATCTGGAAATATAGGGCTTTTTGTATTTGGTGCATTGGAATAAACAGTGCATTTCTAACTAACAGGTACTTTGCTCTAACCCTGCTGTTCATTACTGGTTGGGTGACTAAAGCAGCTCACTGAGCTGACTCACAGGAGGTAGGCTGTTAGGCACCCTGAGCTGTGCATAGAAACAAAAGGAATATGAGACTTCTGCTCTTTCTTTCCGCTTGATTAACGGACCAATGAACTCAAGGTACGTGAAATAATTTTGGGATGTAAACTACTGAAGTAAATGACTTTAGAATTCTCATTTTGTATTCCAGTTGTCCAAACAGTTAAAAGCACTATGATTTTGGAGGGAAGGATTGATGTTCATGATAAGGTAGAAGAGCCAGTGCTGAAAAAAATGCATCTGGGTTGTCCTTTTAGGAGAAAAAAAAAAGATGTTTCTTAAAGACATCTTTGCTCCTCTGCCAAGAGTGGTTAGAAGGCAGCTCCCAGGAAGGATGTCAGTGAAGGAACAGAAGTGTTCCACCTGAAACTGGGAGCACTGCTGGAAGGGGGGAGATGTGCTTCCCAGTCACTAACACTAGCACTGCTGCTTTGTTCAGAGTCAGTCACCTGGATTTCATATGGTCATGTCCTGTTAGATACTGACACCTGAGGAAACTCAGATGCAGCTCAGTAGTTGTGTGGAGAGTTTGTCCTGTGCTTGGGGAGGATGCATGGCAGCTGGGCTTTGGCTTTTCCTTCTCCAATCACCTGAGGCATTAGAATGGCTTTCCAGCCCTTGGAGTGCTGCAGCTGGTAAAAACTGGCACTGTGGAAATAGAGATGTTACACAGAAGGGCAATGGTTACCAGCATAAAAGGTAACTGAGATGCATATAATGGTGTTTAAAGGTGTTGTACTGTGTATGAATGCCCTAAATCTCTGTAAAAGCAAAAAAAAATTCCACAAAACCCATAAACTGAGATTATACTTAAACAAAAGAAGTCACAGCTTCACTAAGTGGAAGTTATACTGCATAAGGCTTCAGTATATCCACACATCAGCCCAGTGCAGCCACCTTCTGCTAAAGAAGTAATAAAACAGGTTAGTGCCTCTGGGCAGCTGTCAGTTTGTGAAAAGGGAGGGTGGAGGGGGGCAGTACCACATCAAACCTCTCCTGAAGTAAGGTGTCTCAGCAGCTCAGGAGGTGTTGTAGAAGAATGATGAAGGGAACAAGGGTATTACCTGCTGTCAGCTCCTGACTGCATGGATGTGCATTATTCCTGCCCCTGGCTTCCTTTATTCTACCACCACACAAGGCACTAGGATGTTCCATGAGTACTCCCTACTATATTCAGAAGTTGGATGCCTCTAAACATAGCTTGTAGCAGCCCCTGCTGCCCTCATCCCCTCACCTTTGCTTCAGCAGAATTTAGCATGAGAGGGAGAGAAAAGAATCCCACAGGACTTCCTTGAGTACTAGTTTCCATCCAAAGCACTACACTCCTTGATGGTTGCAAAATCCTTTTATTGAAGAGGGATATGATTTTGAAAGTGTACAAAAGTCCAAAGTGAGAAATGGGATCTGTTCCTATTGCACTCTGCAGCCAACCCGCACGTAGCTGCTGTTTGTTGACCCTGAACAGGAGTGACTGCCAGCTATACACAGAAGCAGCATCACTTCTGATGGTGCCACCTCATAAACTAATGGTTGCACACTGTCTTGACAACACACTGAGAACTTCTCTGAAGTGCTATAAAATTCCCACAAGAGTAGTTGGCTTTAAGCAGCTCTTTGCCAGACCTCAGAAAAACCAAGCAGCAGCATCCAGGTATACAGCTACAGAATATGGTGCTACTGTTGACATGTTGACAAGGTGTGGGCAGAGGTACAAGAGAGTCTTCTGCAACTCCGCATAGTGCAGAACCTGTCCTACTGTAGCAGTAGCCTTAGTACAGCTTATGCCCTTTTTCTTCTAAACTGCTTCTGCACATACTTAACTGTAGAGAAGTGCTCGCTTCTGCTTATTCCTCAGCTTGAAGCCTACTAGAAGGCACGTCTGGTGGTAGAGATGGTGTTTGCTGTTTTTCTACCACAGATGACAGCAAAGTCAGCTATTACCATTTGCAACTGCCATTACATCGAGCAGTTCCAATTCTGAAACCCTAAACATCACAAACCAGCAGTATGATAAAGGAAATAGTACTATTTCATTATTATTGCAGTCTTTGCGCTTCTCTGTTAACAGTGCTTCCCCAGAGCAAGACTGATGAAAATTCCCTCCTCTCCCCCAGTCAGTGCTACAGTGGTGGCAGGAGGAATACCACCCCCTAGAAGCATTTAACAACCAGCAGTACGTTCCAGTGAAGTAATTTTTTAGGGGGCTACAGCAGTCCCCTCTCTCTGCTGTGTTCCACAGTTCAGGAGGCCTGAAAAGCCTTTCCTTCAGGGGAAATACCCACCTTTTCCTGCAGTAATACATTTAAGCCACAGCATTCTCTGCTGATCCAGGAAGTCGGTCCAACTGAACTCTTACAGTGAGTCTCCCTTTTTAGGGGCTTTAGTTTAAAGACCAACTGCCTCAGTGAACTCTTGCTCAAAATGTAGAATTAAGTTTAAACCAATTTGAGAGCAGATGCTTTCAGATATTATTAAAAGAAGCAGCTGTGTAGCAGTTTTGTGACCAAAACCCCTTACTGCCAATGCAGTTTCACAGAAAAATGTGCTCTTATAGTTGGTTTCTATTCCTCCTGCAGAATTTGCCATTTTCCTGTTTCCTACTGTAAGGCATGCTGTTATCAACAGGCAAGCTCTCTGCAAACTGTGAAAATAAAAACCCACACCAGCCAACAGCATCACTGCCAGCTTGGTCTTCCAGAGATCAGCACCATATTCTGAGAAAACAAATACATAAAGACACTGATGTTACCTGGTCTATTATCAGGCTCTAACGACGCAGGCTGCGTCTTTACAGAAAGCCACTCACACATTACTGTGTGGTCACAAGCTTTACAATCATACCAATGATGCGAGACCCACGAGGGCACATGCATAAATCCATGCTGGGATTCTTGATTTTATCCTGCAGCAACTGGTCAAGTTCACAGCGCAGCTCTTTCACCAGCTCGGCTACCTAGCACACAGTACAACACACAGGTGAGCGCAAAGAAATGCATTCCCCCATTTCAAACACACAGAGCTCTGCATGCGCACAGAGCTCTGCAGCATGCCCAGCATTATTCCTTTTCATTACCTGGTGAGAGGCTGCCACAAACCGTATCCACCCGTCATCGAGGGAAATGACAAACTCTCCCTTCTGCAGCTGCATGTGAACCTGCCCACCTCCCAGCAGGACCAGCGGGTACACTGACACCATGCTGCAGTCTCGAATGAACACACGGCTGGTCTTGATCTTCTCGTGGTACACCAGGTAGGGGCTGTCAAAGTGCCTGGTCTGCAATGGCAGAGCCCAAAAGACTGGTTAAACACAAAGAACATGTATACTACCTTTCTTGCAGCATCATTTGTACTGCAGTCTGCTCGGGCAAATATGGGATTGCCTGCAAGAGCTGCAAGGAACAGCAAACATGCCCACACATTTCTCAGACTCTTCAGGCCATGACAGCTGCCCTCAACTTTGAGAGTTAGTCCTGCTCCTACCCACTCTGCAGTAAACTTGTCACAAATCAGCTGATTACCAGCTTCGCCTTAAGGGCCCCAGCTCTCTTTTTCACACTACAGAGATTTTCATGCGCATACTTGTTATGCTCTTCTAAAAGCAAGTGACTGAAGAGTTCAAAGCCTTTAAAACCTCATTTTGCAGTTAATGATAGGAGCCCCATACTTTAAGCAAGTGATTTATAACCTGGAAAAGCACAGAATCATTAAATATGGAGGCAGACCTTATTAGACAAGTGCTACCATCTATCATGGTAAGGAGAAGAGCTCTTATCTAAAAATGACTATTAAGACAGAAGGGAAACTATTGAGTTTTGAAGAGTCATGAAGAAACAAATCAGAATGGCCAGGGTTTATTTACCAATACATAATACCTCAGTCTGAGGTTGGGTGACCTGTATGTATAAAGACACTGCACGCATGCTATCTTAATAGCAAGGAGAAGCTGGTGAATGTCACTACTGCATTTTTGTGTGCAGCTTTGTAGACACAGTAAAACATTGATGGGGGAGATCACCTGTCACCTCATCTTCTAATTCTACTCAGGAAGATGGAGTTTAATTCTGTGCTCAAGAGCAATAGACCCTTATTTATTAACAGGGAGACTTCAATCATGAAGCATTTTCTTTCTTAAGCTTCAAAAGGGTCCCTCACTTCTCATCTGTTCAAGGAAAGGCAATTTCTTTTTTAATAAAAGAAAGTTTGTTTGAAGGAAAAAAAAAGAATCCCGACCTGATAATTCACAGATGAAGGGTGAATGTGAACGTAACCATCGTTTTTTGTAACAAACTTCAGCTCTTCTGCTTTTGGTTGCATTTTGACAGCTCCTGTACTGGTCTTCTGATATTTGCCCTCTGGCTTTTTAACCTGTATGGTGCAAGACAAAAAGTTATAAAAATCTGCTGTATCAGAATACTGAATTCACTTCTAGAACTTAAGTTTTATCAATAACAGATTGTCAAGTAGTAGACAAGTCACTAGACACAGATGCTATACTGCAGATACTGTCTAAACACAGACATTTCACTTGTAACCACTGTCTTCTAAAAGGTTGTAATTTACAATACATTCGTAAAAACATTTGCTGCTGGCATTTACGTGGCACTAAAAAATTGTAGGAACAGCAGTGGTATCAAGCAGTACAAACAGGAGTTGGGCAACCTGGCCATGGCATAACAAGCAGCAAGCTCTGGCAACCTAAAGCAGGCTGTGGTCCACCACAGTGTAGCAGCACTCCTAATGGAACGCATCAACTTCAAAGAGTGAAAAAGTATTCTTTTACCTGGACAACGTTGGGATACAGCGCAGCACACAACATAGCTGAGATCAGCTTGATGTTCTCCGCATTTGAATTTGCCTACAAAATTAATAAACACATTAGACATCCTGTGGGTAGGTCAAAAGACAAAGCCCTGCTTCTGGAATGAATACACTGCTAAAACTGGTTTCCTTTCATAGCTGCATTGCTGTGTTTTTCAGAGGTTTTTCAGAGAAGGACCAGTTATTGGTCCTGAGGTCTCAGACTAGGCTGAAGTGCTGCCCAATAGCTATTTGGAGCACACCAGACACCAGCTATCTAATTGTTCCCCTGTGTCTGGCTACAAAGTAGGGAAAGAAAGCAAACGTACCAACATGCAGGGAGACAATACAGCTACCAAGCTCTTATTGCCCTGCCACACAGCCCTAGGAGATCTCTGGCTCAGCAGGTACTGCTTTCTGAGGACTGTCTGCAATGCTGAAGTATTTCACTGCCTGCTCTGTAATGCAATTCCATTCCCAAAAATAAAGCCTGCACTAATGCCAACATTCAGTCCAGTCCATGAATCAGACCTGTGTCCTTCCAGCACTCACTGCCACCACGTGTGCCAGGACAGCAGCATTTCACTTTCTCAGCGCACACCGCTGTGTCAGTCTCACCTCCACACCTGGTCCTGTGGGTCTGAAGTAATGGAGGCTAATACCATACAGGAAGGAAAAACATAACAGGTAGGAAGTGGTTTGTTGCAAGGCTGCATCCAGAAGCCCATCAGGCTAGAGCTAACAGCTGGCATTCAGGCTGCATCAAAAGCTGCAGCACCTGTTCAAAGCACCAACAAGCTGCAAAATTACCTCTTCTCCTGTGGCATCCAAGACACCATCGCCTTCCTGGGACCACTTCCTCTCAATGTCCCTGGCTCTTAACCCCTCCTTCACAAATCCAATATCAGAAAGCAGCTCTGTGAACTGTCTTTTCAGACTGGCGATTTCCTACAAAGAAAGAAAGGTCTGTGATGTGAGACCCGCAGAGGCAAGAAAGCCAACAGCTTGCTTGGTTTAGGCACCAGAACTCTGCCTCAGTGTCCTCAACCAGTCCCTGCATGAGGCCACAAAAACTGACTTACCTGAAGAACTCTTCCTGATAAGAAGTTCTCCCTGCAATAGTTGTAGCTTGCCTGAGAGCCCTCTTTGGTACTTAAACGCCATCCCTAATTGAAAAGACAAGAGCAAACCTTAAAATACTGAAATTCACGCTGTGATACATCACAGACCTCTGATAGAGGCTTATCATTTTTAGCTCACCTTATATGCCTGAAGAAGAGCCAGATAGTCGCTGTTTCCTACTGCAAAGTCCAACTTCTTTTTGTTTGCTTCTTCTCTTTTATCCCATGGGGACACCTAGAAAGGCAGGAACAGATTAATCTCACAATGTAACTGCTTCTTATATTCGCTTTCAATTTTTACACTAAATCTGGACAAAACGGTCTGGCAGCACTTAATTAACTGTAATAACGGTATTGTTTCAACGCTTGCTTATAACTACTATTTGTGTCACTGCTGCATGATTTTCATCATCTACTTGTAATGACTCTTCTGATGAGCACTGCATCAAGTGTATAAACTGGAAAGGCTAAGATGGAGAATAAAAATACTCAGGTGTAGTATGCTACAGTTTATAGCAGCATTTTTCTGCTGTATGAAAATGTACTGCTTTCAAAGCTGGAAATGTGACTAAGAATACTTACAAAGGGTGACTTAAAAGCCAGACTGGCTGCTATTGTGAGTGCAGGATCCAGGCAGCGGAAGATGGTGCCAAACAGCATTAGTTTGCCAATCCTGACATCAACAGGCAGGGAAGCCAAGTGATATCCCAGAGGAGTGAGCTTTTCATCTGCAGTTAATGCTCCCAAGTCTTGTAGACGCAGCTTTGATGCCCGCAAAGACTCAGTTCTAGGGGGCTCAATTAGTCGTGATAAAACAGAATGAAGGCTCTGTGCAGAAAACATCTCCAGAATCTTAATTCTGAAGGAGGGACAAAAAAATTGAAAGAAAAAGAAGGCAGCTTAGTTCCATAGACAGGATGCCAGAGCAATCATTTATCAAACATAAAGCAAATCTATTTTCAAGAACACAGCCCCTTGAAGAGGTTCTGTAAAGAGTGATTAAACTCAGGAAGTCATATGAGGATGGCTTACCTCCATCCAGTCTCAGAGTCAGGAAGAACAGATTATTTATCACACAGGGTTTTAATATGAAGTTTTCTCCGAAAAAATATTTTTTCTTGTTTTGTTTCTTTTTTGTATAAAGGGGTGCACAGAGTGAGGCAGGAGCAAGAAGACCTCGTAATTTAGTATCGGTGTTATGGTGGCGTTGGATCCAGGCTTGGACTTGTTGGGTAACATAGTGCAACAACTCCAAGGGAGAACTTAGCATAGAGAGATAAACATCTGGTGTGGGTCCAGAGCACAGGAATGCAAGCATCTTCTCAGGGGGAGAGACCTTCCTCCAAGTGCCAAATAAGAACTAAGCACTGTGCAGGAATATAGGGAGATCTGAGACATGGTATGATTAGATCTCTGGATTCAGAGGGACTATGATAGTGAGATCAAGAGAACCTGAAACCTTCAAAGCAAGTTTCTTGGTTTTGTGATGCTCCTGAAGGAACTAAATTCCTTAATAAGAACATTTCAGATACTTCCTGATGTGGAGAGAGGACATTCTACACTGGGTCTTTTCAGGTAATACAGAAACAACAGCTCACCTTAGACAAAGCTGCTCCAAGGGCACTCTTTGTATTTCTGGTAACTGCTGTTTTATGAGCTGATGGTTATAGTGATGGCTACTGAAAAGATGGAAGCAGACACCTGAGGCCACACGGCCTGCTCGTCCTTTCCTTTGCAGAGCATTGGCCCTGGACACAAACGTGTCTTCCAGACTTTCCATTCCTTTGCTCGGGTCATATCTACAGGAGAGCAAGAAATAGGCTTATATTCTTGGGTGCAGGGTGAACAAACTGCAGCTTAAGCAGACAGATGCTGCCAACCTCTATATGGACCCAATTCCCACCCCTGCAGCTGGATCTGGGTCCAGACTGGTTCCCCCACCTCCTAGCAGCTTTCTGCAGATCAAGTTCCTTCAGGTTCTTCCCAGCTCTTTGCACAGAGCAGGAATGAATCCCAGTACCTTTTCTCTTTCATCTTTCCGGAATCAATCACATAGACTACATCATCAATGGTGACAGATGTTTCTGCAATGTTGGTAGAGATGATGATTTTGATAACTCCTGCAGGAGGGCGGAGGAACACAGACTGCTGTTCTTCACTGGACAGTGAAGAATGAAGTGGATAAACAACACACCTGGAGGAAAAGTATGAGAGTACACTCAGCACATCTCTGCTTTTTTCCTCCTGGGAACAGTCTGCCTGTATGCATTTTTGCACTGCCAGTACCAGACACTGCACACAGCCATTCAAATTTATGTAAAAAATGGCAAACTTCCCTGCCATATCAGTTTTAAGACATGTCCTATGGGAAGGTGGAGAAGTTTGCAGAAGGAACAGGTCTCAGAATGGAGGTGAAAAAAAACAAGCCTGTCTCCTGTGAACAGTCTAGAACATTCAGTTTATAATGCCAGATTGGAAAGGATCACTCCAGTCAACCTTATCAGTGGCATCTGTGTAACTACTGTTTAGCCAAGGAGATCCAGTTACATCTCCATGTAGCAATCTATGATCAAATACAGCCACAGTAAGAGCTGAAGGCTTTTTAGGGCACATTCTGAAAGAGAACAATAGCTGAGGTGAAGTTTTCAACAGCCCACTGGACCATACAGAGCGCAAAGTGGAGAAACTCATCACTAGGATTTCTGAGAACTACAACAGGTAATAAAATTGACACCTTTCAAACTTCTGAGATAAGAAGAAAAACCAATCAGAGCAAGTCAGTAGAGTAGGACAGTGCAGACAGTAGAGTAGGAATTACCTTGACTGGGTCATAACTCACACATTTAATAAAATTTATTTGTCCCTTGATAAAGGCAGACTTTGTGCTGAAAACTACTCTTTTTTTAATGGGTAAAGATATCATCTGGGAGTTTTTGTGCCTTACCTCTTGCTGTGTCTGTTATTAAAAAGGGCATTAGACTGGAGCTGCTCATAAAGCATCTTGATTTCTGCTAGACCAGGCAAAAATATCAACACAGCACCTAAATATGTCCATCAAGAAAAATAATAATCACTCAATAGAAATGACAGTAGGATATGTTATTAATGTGCAGAAAGGCAACGCAAAACTCCAGCTCTGTTCTGCAGTTCTTGTATGTACAAAAAGCATACAGGCTGCAACAATTTCTCACCAAAGACTTTCCAAAGTAGACGATTCTTATCTTAGCCCATCCTATGCATATCAGGGTTTTTGTTACTCAGAACACTGAACACAAAACATTATCCTCAGGCTGTCTGCAAGTGCACAATCTCTGTGAATCTACCTCTGTTCATCTCTTAGTGTGAGATACCTGGGGGGTATGAATGTTTGCCATCAACTATCCACTCCAGCAAGGCTTCAATTAATTCCAGATTAACTTTGTCCAAGTCCATGACAGACATTGTTTTTAACACTGTCTTGTTAACCCCTAGGGAAAAAGAAAGAAACAACACAGTTAAGCTAATCTCTCATAAAATACATGTGCTGGATACAGCCAAACAGCATGGCTGTGTAAACATGCAGAACTCAGCCTAAACAGCACCTGGTTTATAGCAGACAGAGGCAGCCTCACAGGTCACTCTGGTCCAGCTCTATCTTTTCTCATACCTTATCAGGGTTCACATTTGCCCTGTATAGAGCCTAGACCAGGATTTATCTGTGAGCATACTTACAGTAGGAAGAGCTGGAAGCCTTCACGTGGTCAGTGGTGCAGCTGATACAATAAAAGGAAGGGATGCCATCCAAAGGGACAGGCTCAAGAAGTGGGCCCACATGAACCTGATGAGGTTCTACAAGGCCAAGTGCACAATGTTGCTCTTAGGCTGGAGCAATCCCAGATATGTGTACAGACTGGGAGAACAGCTCACTGAGAGCAGCATTGCAGAGAAAGACCTGGAGGGTCTTAGTGGACCAAAGCTGGACATGAGCCAGCTGTGCGCTTCCAGCCCACAAGGTCAACAGTACTGTGGGCTGCATCAATAGAAGGGTAGCAAGAGGGAGAAGGAAGAGACTGTCTCCTGTTCTCCTATGAAGAAAGGCTGAGGGAGCTGGGTTTGTTGAACCTGGAGCAGAGAAGGCTCTAGGGAGGTCTCATTGCAGCCTTCCAGTACTCAAGGGGAGCTTATAACCAGGAGAGAGATCTACTTTTACATGGTCTGATAGTGATAGGACAAGGAAGGAGGGCTTTAAGCTAAAAGGGATATTTAGATAGATGTTTGGGGAATTTTTTTTCACTCACAGGACAGCAAGGCCCTGGCACTTCTGCCCAGAGAAGCTGTGGTGCCCTATCCCTGGAGGTGCTCCAGGCCAAGTTGGATGTGGCCCTGGGCAGCCTGAGCTGGGGGGGGCAGCTGTGCCCATGGCTGGGGGTTAGAAATAGATGATCTTTTAAGGTCCCTTTCAACCCAGGCCATTATATGATTCTGTGATTTACTGATACCTTCTCAGGCTCTCTCTCTTCTCTATTCCAATGTTTCTTACATCAACTCAAAAACAGACCAACCCCATCACCCTTCTGAGATGCTAAATCTCCAGCAGGAATTTGAAGAGCAATTGAGCGCAATGACTCTCACTCACTGCCACTGGAGACTCACCACTATGGCATGAGGGTGTGCAGGAAGGAGACAAAGCACAGGAAGTATTTTGATGTTGGGGGGGGGGAGTTAATGGAAAGGTCTGCCCTCTTCATTAAGCCTTTCATAGTGACTTGTCTTCTCAAGGAAGGCTCATGATGCTGAAGTGATGTTGATCCTTGAGACAGATGCATGCTAAGTATTATCTAAAGCTGATCCAGCAAGAACAGGTAAAGAAAGGAAACTCAAAGTCAACTAGTTATCCAAAAAGAGATGGAAATAGACAGTAGCTGAAAACTACTCCTTTTCAGATGCTTAAAAAACTGTTTGCAGTCCAGATGTTTGTTATAGTTTAAGAAAATGAAGTTTGTTTTGTTTTTCAAAGCCTACAAGGTTTCTCTTCTCATCTAGAAAGCAACATCTTGCTTAACTTCACCACTACAGAATTCTGAATTACACACCTGCATTCAACATACAGTATCATATGCTAGCATAATATGTTGGCTTACAGATCTTATGTGCAAACCTACTAGATTTAAGAAGGGGCTCACCTTTGTATCGTTTTAGCAGCTGCTTCAGAGTTAATTTTTGGTCTGGGTCTGAATCCTTGACAGCTGTGTCAGTGTCTTCCAGCAAGCCAGCACGTCTCAAGTCCTCCTCCACTTCTTCAAATGCAGTTCTTTTGTGTCTTGCTGTCAGTTTGTTTTCTTGCTTTGTCTTGCGCCTGTAGGGACTGCTGTCCTCTAAGACATACCTGAACAGCAGAAGAGTGAATCATCTTCAAGTGGCAAGGAAAGAAGCCCAACAGTCTCCATGTAATAATTAGCTACAGAGACAGGGTATCACAGCTATACAAAGTTCCTCTCAGATTTATATGTAATCATATTTCACACTGACTGCAGTTCATGTTACTGCTCCAACTCCATCGTAAGGACAGGTAAAGCAGTACTTTTAAAGTAGATTCAGTTTTACAGATGGAAGGGCATGGCAAAGTGAGCTGTTAAGCCCCAGCGCAACTCAAGTTACTGAGCAACTCTAACTTTAGTGCAAGGGAGTTTCAGAATAAACTGTGGCCAAGAAAGTGCAATCACCTGCACTACAGCTCTTCTCTCCCGTGCTAATGAGTCATCAGTGCTGAAAGTTTTAGCCAGCTTTGGAGTAAAGGGAGAGGACTCCATACAGGGAGGAGAGTGTTCTAAAAGATATAATGAGAAACACCTGGACTGCAAGCGTGAACTAAATTAAGAGAGCAGCTCAGAGCAACAACCTGCATATAACTTAAAACAGCTGACTGATGTATTATCTGGAATATCTGAGCTGCTATGACTCTCCAGTAGCTACAAGTGATAGCAGGAATATTTGTCTCACTTTCTGCTGCAAGGTAGGGCTTACAAAAAGGAAATTCTGCTATTTTTTTTACCTTCAGTGAAGAAACCTAACCACCACTGAAACAAACAAGGGTGGGTGAGGGGGTAAGTCTGTCAACACACAAGCACTAACAGAGGTTAGCAAAGTTCACTTCTTCTTGAGTATTTACACAGTATCTAATTCAGAAAAGGTTTTGGTGCAGTACTGTAGATCCCACAGCGGTATAAGAAGCATCTTTTAGTCTGTGCTTTAGCAGAACTCCAGGTCTTCAAGTAATGGGGATGTCTGAGAGTACCTTTTTTTTTTTTTTTTTTTTTAAATTATGCACAGGTCAATGCAGTCAGCAGTGCAACTTTAAATGTCAAATACATCTGAGACAGTTTGGCAATTTCATACCTTGTCATTGCAATCACATCTTCCAGAAAAAACTGATCTACAGGAAATGTTCGACCTAAAAGGGAATGTAAGGAAGTAAATCTACATGCTACAGCAGATGTTTTCCACGCACGGTTTGGTAACATGCACATACACAGTCAGAGAAGGGCTGCTACCCTTACAGGAAGGGTAAGCTGTAGTGAAAGTAGCTCAGGAAACCACACCATATACATCTTGGCACAGCTTTTAGGGAGGAAAATTCTACTGGTATAAGGCAAGTATCAAAAAGACTCAATTTCCAAGACTTTTCTGATAAATCTCATTAGCTTTTCCATTTAAGACCTTGTAATTGCAGTTATTGTAGAAATCCACATCTTGCAACTATGTATAGTTAGCACTTTGCTTAGAACCAGAGTTAAAATCATATTTTTCCTATTTAACGCTAATCTACACAGGAATATAGAAACATTCCACAAGCAGAAAAAAACAAAAACAAAGCTCTAAAGCAATGAATATTGACAAGATAATAAAAATGACTATTTTTACCTGGTATGTTAATAATTGGACAGGAGTGAAAGTACTGAGAAAAAAGCTCTGCATTCAAGGTGGCACTCATTAGGATAATGCGCAGGTCTGGTCTCTGAACCATTATATCCTTCAAAACCAGCAGCAAGAAGTCACTGAAGAAAGCAAGCAAAGACATTTGAACTTTTTCATTGTTAGCTTTCAGATCTCTTTTTTCCACTCATTCTCTCCACTTTCAGTGTTTTCAGTAGCATTGCAATAGAATCACATCAACACCATGAGTTTCTTAGAATGGCAGGAGCTAACAATGCAGTGAGTTAGTGGAAACCCATCTACTTATGTGAGGACAGCTGCCAGCCTTTAAATGAGGTTAGGTTCTGGTGGCACAGCTGAATTGCTCACACCTGTGCTCCCAGGGCTGGCTACACCCCATCACCAGGTGTTCAATCACTGGTTAGGCTGTGACCCTATGGTTCCCACACAGCTTATTTTCTGGCTTTTCCTTACTAGAGGGCCAGGATTACTTAGCAAATTTATTTAAACACCAAAACGCTCTAGTTACCTTATAAAATAACTACATAAGTGACAAGAACATTAGATAACAAATTAATTAACAGATGAGTTACTTTTGCTCCTTCCCCACAGAGAGCTACTCAAACTTCTGTACTCTTTCCTTCTCACTATATTCTTCCCTAAGCATTGATGGCTTTTGTGACATGCCTAAGGCTTACAAGCAATTTTAGATAAGAAGAAAGAAGAATCCTTGAGAGAGACACATCCTTTTATGGGGCTAAAATACAACCAGAGCCGTGGACTAACAGGTCACAATCAAAGCCTCCTCATAGCCCACTGTATTTCAGTATTTCACAAGAAAAGCATAAAAAAAAAAAGACCTTTGCCACCTAGTTTACAGAAAGCAAAACAGTTCCCGCAAGGTTATCTGAAGAACTGTGCTTATTTCATAAAAAACTGAAACAAAGGAGGAGTGAGAACCAGAAAATTCTGTTTAAAAAGTTACCAATTCCCCCCCATCATCCAAAACCTCTTTTTAACCACTGCAACATGATGGCAGATGGGAAGAACAGAATTTAAGAGATGTGCTCACTTTACAGCTACTGCAACACAACACATTAACAGCCTGAAGATAAAAACCTTAAACCAGACTCATTTCACTAGCCCATTATTACTGCCACAACTTCACAACTTCAGATGCTGCATCTTCATCATCACCTCTCTTTCTGATTGTTTCTTCGTTTTGCTTATGGGATGAAAGATTACTCACCTTTCTTCCGTTCTTTCATGAACCTCATCAACAATAACGTGTGTAATTCCCTGCAAAGTCAGATCGCCTTCAAGCCTTCTCAGCAGCACACCAGTGGTGCAGTACAGCAGTCTGGTAGCTGAGGACTGGAAAGGTAAAATAAAGCACTTGGATGGACTGTGCACAACTTAACACAGTGCAAAGTGTGGCTATACATCTTCTGCTGGGTGCTGGGTACGACAGCAAGGAAACAAACAATCCTGGATGGAGACAGGACTGGATAATTTTTCTTTGTTGATTAGAACTTAAGAGCACCCGCTTCATACCAAGGAAGCACTGCTAACTGTAAGTGGTAAACAAACAACTGCTTTTCCTTTGGAAGTTGTTCTGTGATAACCAACTTGGAGATAAATGGAAACAGGCAGGGAAATGAAGTGCAGAGATAACCTTCTAGAGGAAAAGTATTTCTAGTATTGAGCATCACGCTCTCAGACCCTTCACCCACCGTCTCAACAGAGACAACCAACAATACAACACACAAATTGCACTCTCATTCTGTGAAATGGACCATGCAATTCAGGATGAAATAATTTTTTTTTTTTTATAATACATTATAAAATATGGGTGATACAGACTTCCTGATCTCACTATATGGTGGATATAGGACAGACATTCTTTTCTTAGTGCTTGTCTAGGATACAGAATGTTTCAATAGAACTAAATGAAAACCAACAAACAAAGCAGACATACCTTTACACTTTCTAAGCGGATCTGATAGCCAACAGTAACTCCAACCCTTTCTGTTCTCTCTTTGGCTACACGCTCGGCCACAGAAATGGCAGAGATCCTGCGAGGCTGAGTACAGATGATGTTTGCAACTGTGTTTGGAGAGCCTTGCAGTGAAGCATCCAAAATAAACTGAGGAATCTGAGTGGTTTTCCCACATCTACATGACAAAAAAAATCAGGCATCAATTAAAACACAATGACAAAGAACAAAGCTCAATAAAAGGCAAACACCTTCGATCCACATAAATTGACTGCATTCCACCTGCAATCTGCTTTGTTCCATTAATGTCATACCTTATAAGAACTTCATGTAAGATTGCTGCCACCGGTCAGAGATGATTAATAACCCTAATCTTTTCTCCCATATAAGCTTTCAAGCAATTAATTTTTGAAGAGGTATACAAGAGCTGACTTGAATCAAATATGAACAAATGACCTTACATAGAAAATCTTTTTGGGTGCCACAGCCTCAAAAGGACTTGAAACTATTACAGAGTGTCCAAAAGAGGGCTACAAAGATGGTGAAGAGGGCAAGGGATGTGAGGAGTGCTGAGGTCTCTTGGTTTGTTCAGCCCAGAGCAGAGGAGGCCGAGGGGAGGCTATTGGGCAGCCTATGGCTTTCTCACAAGGGGGAAAGGAGGAGCAGTGCTGATCTCCTTCCAGTGACCAGAGATAGAACCCAGAAGAGAACAGCATGAAGCTGTGAAACAGGAGGCTCAGACTGGGTATCATGAAAAGGTTCTTCTCCAGAGAGTGGTTGGGCACTGGAACAGGCTCCCCAAGGCAGTGCTCATGGCACCAAACTGATGAGCTCAGGAAGCATCTGGAAGATGCTTGCAGACATATGGTCTGACTTTTAGGAGGTGCTGTGTGGAGCCAAGAGTCAGACTTGATGATCCTTAAAGGTCCCTTCCAACTTGGAATATTCTATGTTTCTATATGTTTCACATTCTTCTGTATATAGTTTAATACATAATGTCTGAATGCACAATCACACTCTTACCCTGTCATGCCACTCACAACAAGAACTTGGTGGCTTGTCAGCAAATCAAGAATAGTTTCTCTCTCTTGCCACGCAGGGAGCTTCTGCCTTTCATGCAACATAGACTGGAAGCGTCTAGAAGACTGATACACAATAGTTAAGAAAGTGGTTATTTGTGGTGTTCTACATCCAACAATATTGGATGTTAAAGAGACATCCTGCATACAATAAACAATAATATTTCTTTCCTTGCATCAAGCTTTTCTATTAAATAGAGCAAAAGGATATTTTCTAAAACACCAAACTAATGTTGCTGTTATTCTCTGAAGTATTTGATGTATCTTAGCATGCAGAAGCAGTCTCAGCAACCTTCTACCAGGATATGCAATCTGACAGTCAGATGAAAGCTCCCTTATTAAAATTACTGTTGATTTTTCCCTTCTAACTATCTGACAGCGGTGAAATAGCTTTGCAAGATTCCTTGCAGGTTGCTCAAAGGCAGCAGAATCCTATCAGATAAACCAGCAGCTTCTGCATTGAGAACAAGATGCAATTTGTTTGCAAAAGACCAATACAAATAAACAAATCAATCTAGCCTACATCTCTTCTAAAACAACATTTAGCATTACATATTTCATTCTCTTTCAGGTGAAGTACATAACTGGTGACAGATGTTAGATGCACTGTTTGCTGAACATGATGAGCAACAGTAGTAAGAAAACAAAAAAAAGTGAAACAACAGCCCATTGTTTTAAATATGTATTTCTCTAAAGTGTGCATGAAAAGAGACATTCTGCTTTGTATACTATACCTTTTTCAGACGAAATTGCATACAGATTTTAACGTTTTCATTATATGTAGATTTGGAGTGCACATCATACTTTCTAGAAAGCTTTTTCTTGAGGTTCACATAACTCTCATTCTCCACAATGACTTGTTGGGGCTCATCTTCCTCCTCTTCTTCTGCCACCTCTTCCTCTGGAGGCTCTGATGCTGCTGAAGCTTGAAACAGAGAACATACATTCAGGTATTATCAAGGCAGATAACTGCATCAGCACAGTAGAGAAGAGACACATTTTCCAGTAGTGCTCTCAATAAAGAACCTTGCTAAACAGGAGATGAGGGGCTATAGGACAGTTTTTGACATGCACTCAGTTCAGCACCACCAGCAAACCTCCTGTCAGACACAGCACAGCTTCTCCAGCTGCATCCCACTTGTCACAATGCACCTCAGCTGTGCTCTGCAGCACCACAGTCTGGGTGGCCACATGGCAAACCTGACTGGCAACCAGTCTGCTCCAAATCATCACAGAACTACTGGGATGCAGCACAGGACTGCTATGGCAACACCAGCCTAAACTGATTAAAACTCCACTGCAACATTAAGTGGTAGGCCACTGCCAATGACTTTTAAGCCAAGACTGAAACTGGAGTAGACACTTCAGTGCTTAGTGCCTATTGGTTTAAGTAGGACTGCTTACACAGTAAGCCAGCCTTCAAAAGCATTAAGGGTGCATTTATCAAAGTTGAGTATTTTGTAACACAAGGAAGTTTCTTTGAAAGCTCTGATTTCAGTTTCTGGAACAAAGCTACTTTTCTGTGGAGCTGTTAAGAATAGGAATAATGCATTTTACTTTAATAAAACAAAACAGCAAAAAACAGGCTGACGCTATTCAGGTGCTCTAAATTGTGATGCTATTATTCTTGCAAGCTCTCTTTAAGAAAGTTTGCCTTAGATAAAACAGCTTTGGAACTGGGAGTTGGAAGGTAAACTAAGCCACACAGTTGCCTGTCACCCTGCCACAAATGACACACGGTCACAACCTTCCCCCTGTGAAATATATCTAGCTGCATGAGCTTGCAAAAGAATTAATGAAAAAGAGGTTCCTAGAGAACCATTCTAGACTTGCCTGTAACACTTACTATGCACAAAATCCAACTTTACAAAATTAGTTGTGAGGAATGGTAGGTAATTTTTTTTTTCCCCTATTAAGACATTGTTGTGTTGATGAGTAACAGGTGTGTGAAAGCTCACCAATAACCTTCTGCATTACCTTCCAAACATGCTTCTGGGCATACACCAGGTCAGTTTCAAGTGAGCTCACACCACATCTCTCCATGGCATTTTATCCACTATGTTGGAACACATGTTCACACTACCAAGCTGAAGACATTAGCTGTGCACTCCTTTAACTCACTTGTATCCAGCAGAAAACTCTTCCCCTACAGCTTTACTAAGTGACTTCCTGAGGATGGACAGAATATAGATCTGGCTCACCACATGACCTTCATCTCCAGAAATAGATTTGGAACAGATGCCATAATTGTGCTCCCTGCCTTCTTTCTCTTTTTAAGCCCAGAAACCCTAGATGAAAATTTGGTGTACCTTCTGATATTTGATTTGAACCAGACGCAGACTCCGTATGCAGCTTTACTGGACGTGCTGCCAGATGGGAAACAGGAGGAGCACTATATTTGTGGTGAGTGTTTTCAAGTAACTCGCCTATTTCAGATTCATCTTCTAAGGAAGTCACTAACGCGTACACCACCGGTTCATTAGACTCTGCAGCTATCAAAGCCTTTCCAAAAAGGAATTCAGCAATGTGCAGACGACAGGCAAGAGGTAGATTCTCATTGGTGGTGTAAAATGCCACAAGAGGTGCCTGGAGTGGATACTTGTTTTCTTCAGGAAATCTTACTTCAAGTTCGTATATGGGACCATCACTGTTAGATCTGAGGTGGGAATCGTCTATGGAGTTCTTGGCTGATCTCAGTGGGTGGTTTGGAGGGAATTCATGTCCAAATCTGCATTTTGAACCAAATTTGCAGCCTCCTTGGAGATAAAATTTACATATTTCTTTTGAAGTCTGCTTTGCCGTGTCCCTTGCACAACCACCCTTTTGTTTAGATTTGCTGAGCCTGTTTGTTAGATATTCCAGTTCCAAACTAAACGTCCAAACTCTGTTTTGAATTCTTTCTACAAATTTTTCTCCGTAGATTGACCGTAGGGCAAAAGCTTCTTCTTGTCTCTGTTCTAAACATTCTTCTTGACTGGTTTGAGCAGCTGTTGCAGAAATCTGCATCTTGTCTCCGTATCTCTCAGCAAAGCACTGCAATAGCAAATGCTCTAAAGATGCCCCAATGTTACCATTGCAGGATCTCAGGACAGTCCTACAACGCTCACTGTCAAAGCCATACCTACAACAACACAGAGACCACATGGTGACAAGTGAATGACAGAGAATGAAGTAAAACACGGATCTGCTAAATGAGGCTCAAAGTAAGGAAGTATATACAGAATGAGATAGTACTGCTATTGCCTGAAAAACAAAAGCCCCCAAAGTTCTGTTGTTTTTAAGGTGACAGTTTATGTAGCAACTGTCTCCTATCAGAATGTAGCACATGGTAGCTAGAGGATACTGCCCACTATAAAGCTCTTCAGAAAAAGCTGAGCCCTCTTGCATAGAAAACGCTCTCAAAGAAATAAAAAATAGTTAAGAAATGCTCATATCTAAGCAAAATGGATGAAGAAAGCTAACAAAATTACACCTACCCAGAATAAACATATATAACAGCAGTGCTGCCTGAGCTTTCCCAGTACTTGTCTCGTTATCTTAGAGAAAGAATTGAAAATTCTACTATAAAAATGCTACAACTCTTTATTTTCATAAAACCGTTATTTTAAGTTCATCCACTTGAGGATCAAATTTTGAGGAGATACAAACTCAGAATTTCTGAACATAGACTCTCTCTGTAGTCACGTGGAATTCCAAGCACTGAGGTTTTACAGTAATAACAGACTAATAATTTACCTCTTCAGCATACAAATTATTAACTGGAAATAATCACCTGGAGAGCTTGTGCACAGCAAATGCAGACACTTCGCTTTCCACAATTTTGTGGGCAGCTGCCTCAGCAGAAGACCTTGGTGTCATGTCAGAAACTTCCTGATCTGTTGACCAGCACTGTTCATCATCAAGGTAATCAGGTTCATCGTCATCTTCACCAGAACCAGCTACTCTGATAAAAAGTTATCAAATTAAAGTGAAACAGAATTATACTGCTGAATAGATACAAGATTGTGTCCCTGCAACTTTAAATCCTCCACTTAAATGAGGAATTGCACCTTCCCTTTCTCTGAGTTATCATCATAGAGAAACAGAGTAGATTCAAAATCACATGACTTGAGATAAAATTGTAAGTTATGGGGAGGAAAAGAATACCATTTTTTTTTCCTAACAGTGCCTATTAACGCATTTAGAAGTTTAAACTAACTCTGATTCAGGAGCCAGATCCTGCCCTTGAAGCTCTCGAAGAAGTTCCTTCACTCTTCTCTGATTCTCTGTTGTCATATGTATGGTCTCCAGAGGCATTTTGGCTTCAGGTCTTTGTTTCGTTTGCCCTCCTCTTCTGGCAGAAACATTTGATCTAAAAAAGAAAACAATGGCTTATTTGCCTGCCTACTGTTGACTGAACAGGTATGTGAAGCTGAACTTCAGGACTCAATTGAACCCTAAATTTCAAAACAAGAAAACCCTGAACTTCAAAACAGGCACTCCCATTACCAAAGCAGTGTTCACTTGGGTTCATTCTTACGTGACCAGGATGTGTGTACCTGTGTTAGTGCACATGTGGATGCACACACATACTTTATTCTGTCACACCCAATGTGATTTAGTAAAAACTGTGCCAGGTTCCACTATTTTCAGACAACAGCACAGCCAAGTATTTCTAAGCTAGATTGGTCACAATACATTTAGGATACCAAATTCATCCATTTACTGCTTATTTTCCATGATTTAGCTTCTGCTTTGGAATACAAATAAATGAGTATCCTTGTGCTTGTTAGTGTCTTCTGATCAAATGTTCTGACATTACTTCACGGGCAAAGAAGAAAATCAGAGCTTCAAACCTTTTAAGAACTTTTCTAGCTATAAAATGCTACAAGTTGATTAAAAAAAAAATACAAGTAAAGATTGATTCATACTTGAAGAAACAGCTTCAATATTCCTTCACTCTTGTGCATATTCAATTACACCCCAAAACACAGCCCCAAATCATCCTCAACACCTCTGTATTTCAAAATTAATGGAAGGACCTGATTTCCAGCCTCGGTTCCTCAAAGAGACAAAAATCATCTCCATCATCCCAAATTCTGGTTGAACATTTCCTATTTCCACCAAGCTGAGGCTTGTTTGAACGTCCACTGCTGCCTCCTTCTCTTCCACCGCCACTTCCTCCTCTTCCTTTTCCTCCTCCTCCTCTTCCTCTTCCTCCTCCTCTGTTGGGCCTTCCTCTCCTCTTTGCTCCTGAGCTCATGTTTCTTGCTGGAGAAAAAAAAAAAATAGCCCTAAGTTATGAAGGTGACTTAGTACAAAATAACCATCCAGGTGACATTATTTGTTTTTCCACATGACAAGAGAAGCTCTCTTCTCAAAACACAATTAATCACCTGTATGCACCTGAAAGAAAGCACATTCTTCCAGAACACCGTCACACAAATTCTGTGGTTTTAGAACACAAAAGTGATCCAAATTTTTCTCACAGCCGCTCTAATTGCAGGTCCTGAGAAAGCAGGGTGAGCCTATCAGCAGTGCTGCCCAGCCCCAGATCTATACTCTGTTGGCACTTCCTTGAGCATGGGAGTGCAAAAAACAAACCTCCACGGGACATTTCACAGCAGAGAGCTTAAATCCACTCCTGACCCGTTCCTTCTGCAAAGAGCTGCCCAGACAGCTGAGCACCTACATAGAGGGGTGCTGAGGGAGCCCTCCCCACAGCAGGACCCCCACCAGCCTCAAGGCAAGCCCCCCAAGTGTAAAGCAGCTGTTATCAGTTCTGCTGTCTGATATTAACATACGCACAGCATCACGATCCCGCAGACAGACAGACCGTTTTACGAGGGCATGGGGACATATAGGACAAGGGGGTTGGTTTTAACTGAAAGAGAGCAGATTTAGGTAAGATACAAAGAAGAAAATCTCTAGTATGAGGGGGACCCTGGCGCTGCTGCCCACAGAAGCCGTGGTGCCCCATCCTTGGAGGCTCTCCAGGCCAGGCTGGATGGGGCCCTGGGGAGCTGAGCTGTTGGGAAGCGCCGCTGCCCACGGCAGGGTACGGAAGCAGACGAACTTTACGGCCCCTTCCAACCCAAACCATTCCGTGATTCCGTGAGAGCTGCTGCAGGGACAGCTGCGCACCTCGGCCAGCCCCAGCCGCCCAGGCTCCCGCTCCCCGCTGCTCTCCTCACCGGCCCGCCGCAGCTCTCCTCAACCCGGAAGTTCCGGCCTTCCTCTTCCGGCGCGCCCACGTCCCTAGCGACGGCGGACACTTCCGCATGGCAACCATGGAGGGTACTCCTTCCCCCCTTTTCCTTCCTCCTGCCCCAAATAACGGCTATTTCCAGCTGACGTGCGAGGGCCGGGGTTTCAGCTAACTGCACTCCACGCTCGTCTTTCTTTCTCAACAGATGCTGTCGTTTTTAAAGTATCTTTCACGTTCCCAAACAAAGAAAAGTATGGTAAGAAAGTCGTTAGGCACTAATTCCTTTTTTTTTTTTTTTTTTTTTTTCATTTTGCGTGGGATGAGAAAAGAAGAAATCTGCCCTTTGGGGATGTCAGCTGGTGAGCCCGCAGGTCGCCTGAACCCACCTCCCCCTGACCTCCGTGCACTGAGGCAGGAGCACCTGCAACCCTTCAGGGTGACCTCCTCCAGGTTGTTAAAAAAAAAGGTGCCACTCCCGTGATGGTCCCCAGGGGTTGCTCTGCCCTGCCCTGTGCCCCCAACTCTGGGGCTCCGTGGTGGCAGAGGAACAGCCTTGAGCTGCTCCGGCCGGCCTTGCTCACCCCACCTGCCCAGCGGGGCAGCCCACCTGCAGATCCAAGATATGCCCTTACGCCCTTCAGGAGCTCATAGTTGCTTTTTTTTTTGTCATTGTCTCAATGATGTTTTAACTGAAAATACCAGTTTCTTTTCCTAGAAGGGGAATGCAAAAAGACACCCGAGGGTTTGTTGCAGAGGAATGGGCTCGGAGTTCATACCAGTGCCAACGGAATGATGTACATTGGTAGCTGGTTAAATGACAAGGTAATTTTAGGTATTCCTTCATTTCCAACTTTGTCTGGGTTTGGAATGTCTCACTACAGCTACTCCTAGATGCATGGAAAGGAAAGCCATTACCTTTGGAAAGGAAGGACCAGATCAACATCAGGCTCTTCATCCACTGGGGAATCTTGACAAAGCCCAGCCTGAACACTTCAGGCACGTGGAGTATTTGGACACCTTGCTGCCTCCAGAGGCTCTCGCAGATACACCAGTCACTGTTGGCCCTGCTGAAACACTGAGGCAGTGGTGCCCTGCTGATGGGCTGCGTGTGCACAGTGGGCTGCATGCAGCCTACCTGCGTGTGTATGTGCACCCCACACACACCTCCCTTGGCCAAACAGGAGAGCTCTGATCATCAAAATATACACCACTGTTTTTGGCTGTCCTTGGTTACTGAATTCCCCAGATGAATTATTAGGTACACAAAAACTTCTTATTTTGTTGATAATGGAAACATCTCTGAAATAAATAAGAGACAGAAGTTAAAAAATAGCATCTTTATTTGATCTAGTCTGTCCTTTTCTCACTCTTAAACAAGAACATACGCTACAAACATGCTTGGCTTAATTGCTGAGGCTGAACAAATGAAAGATTTGCTCTGCCTTGATCAGAAAGAAATTCCAGAAAACATAATTAACCCTTCAGGCTGTCAGAATAGGTGAGTTATTTTTGTAGTGCTGGGGACAGCAATTCCCTGCTGCACAGATTATAAAGGTCCTGTGAGACTATCAGCAGAGGAAAGATTCTGTATGGCTGGCCAGAAACTCCAAGCTGTTATTTAAAGTGCTTGTAGAGGTAGAAACCTGTCTAAATCTTAAGAAATCAGTCCTCTCCACTTACCTGAATGGGATAGAAGGCTCACAGATAGCAATCTGAAAGGATACTGTCATGAAAGGAAATAACACCATAAGAATAAACACTAACCCTTTATCCATCATGTCTCACTAAACGCAGATGAATGGTACTGGAAGGCTAGAACATCCTTCTGGGGCTGTTTATGAAGGCGAGTTCAAAGACAACATGTATCACGGGGCAGGAACCTACACATTTCCAAATGGAGCAAAGTACATTGGACCATTCAATGAAAACAAGTACGTTTGAAGTGGAAGTTTTTTCTGTGAGTTTTGATTTCATAAGGTACAAAGTCAACATGAAATTCACCCAGCATGGGAGTACTCTTCCCTTGCTACCACTGAAACTTGCACTGGCTACCTGAGATTGCAGATCCCAGCTATATCCATCTAATCAGATCAGGCAAAAGCCAGAGATTTGATCCCAGTCAACAGTTTTCAAGATGGTTATTACAGACACCCATCTAGTTTGGTGTTAACGGGTCTCTGAGCTCAGGCAAAGTTCAGAGGAATAGAATATTTTAGGCCCCTTTCAGAATTTTTTCAAGCTATCTGCCTACAGACACAAGCACAAATACAGCACAGTTTTGCACTGATAGTTTGTGAAATTTTTTCTTACTTATTTTTGAGCTAAAATATAAATTCCATAGAGATAAAAAAAGGCAGAGCTTTATTTTGTCACTCAGAATGAAGTATTTTAGTGCCACTCCTATTAAACATCAACTGAGCTAATTTAAATAAGGATGTTTTGAATTGCAAAGATACCATATCTTTCCCTAAAACAAGAAATTTATAACCACTTTATAATCCACAGAACAGATTTAATGAGAAAAATAACTGCAGAAACTCACATGAGAATGTTCATGTTTATTCTCCATGAATGACCTCTCTGTCAATTTTGCTAGGTTTGATTCAGATTTTTCTTTAAGTATCTCCTCAGGTGAGTATCTGAAATAAATCAGAAATATACATGCATAGTTCAAATACAGTATTTCATCTGAAAGCAGCCCTGCCTTGCCCTGCTGACCAAAAAGAACAGTCACAGTAGTATAGAAGGATGGCTAATTTTTAAATAATTAGACACTAAATGAAGTAAGCATTTGCAGAACATACCTGAATGCAAAATGGGAACCTGTATATTAAACTTAAGTTTTTGGTGGGAAGTTAAAGATATTTTACACTACTACCTGGCATGTTAACATTTGCCACAGAACTGCTGTCCTCTGTGGTCATACTAAATGCCAGATGTGACTTCTATGTGAAGTCTAAAACTGTGAATACCCACCACTGTAGTGAGGGCATTCAGCACCAGATCACACACATGGCTTTACAGGTGGTTTCTTTCAAAAATCTTAGGGTGATGCCTGCGCCCTCATGGGAAAATGCAGCCCAGTGCAAAAGGGCTGACACAGTGCTTGTTGCTGGCAGCAACAAGTACAGAAAAACTAATAGCACTGCTTCAAAACTGTGATTTAATTTAATTAAAACACTGCTGCTGATGCACCTTGCTTTTCCTTTCTTGACACTGGTTTCTGATCATTAGCACACGGTGCTCCCTGGCAGCCCAAAGCAGGCTTTTTTGCCAAGCTTCAGGATTGCTAGTTTCCACCTACTCACACAAGCTAGGCATTAGTTCACCAGATCACTGTAGCTTTCATAAGAGAACACAGATAGGCAGAACCATGGAACTCACTGTGACTGCTGGGTGTCTTCATTTTCAAGGGGAACAAATCTCCAGTAATTGGTTTTAGAAGTTATTTCCCCTCATCTGCAAGTGATGCTGATATACAGACATTTCCTCTTCTCAGCAGTTCTCTGATGAGCTTGGTCACAGCTTTCGAAGATCAGCAGAAATAAATGATTTATGAGAACTCAGTTAATGTGGCAGTTACTTTTCTTCCCACTGAAGGCTGTAAATCCTTGCACTTTGTCATAAAAATACACAGGACAGGGAAAGGTTAGGAGAAAATGATTTTTTACAGCAGTAGAGTCACACCACAACTGGCTGCATACACTACACATATCTTTAGAATACCCTGCTGAAAGTCAAGATAAATGTGGTAAGACTCAAACCCTGACAATTTCAAATCAAGATTAGGACTTACTATTTTATTTCTAGTACAGGCCACATGCTGGCAAGATGTTGGTGTAAGAACACTTTTGCAAAGGAGTATGTTACTTGGCTGTAACCAAGTTCACCTGTGCTATCTATGTGCTTCACAAATCTTCCTGGCTTGTAAATCAAAACTTTTACATGTAGGAGAAAGTGAAGGCAGGTATTTGGCCTAGACTATAAGCATTCTGATTCCTGGCAGTTTGCATATCCAGCTTGTGCACAGATCACTGTGCTGCCACAATCTGACTGCATGCTTTATTAACAGGCTGGATTTATGTTGTTACAGGATGGAAGGTGAAGGAGACTTCATAGATGAAAATGGAGTGGTGTGGACTGGCACATTCAATGGCACCAAAGCAGCAGGACTGAAGCATAAGCTGAAAATGTAGCTATTTGACACTGTCAAAAGCAACCCCATTTGATCTCACTCTAGGTTCAATAGCTGTCATTCATTTCTTCATGTATTCATTAAAAATAATGCCTTAGGTCACTGGTAAATAAAATAGTTGCTTTTCTTTGCAAATTGATCAGATGAAGTAAACAGAGGAATGGGGTTGAATAGGTTAAATTTAGAAGTAGAGCCATTAATGACTGGAATTTTTTTTTTTTTTAATTTTAACTTGACCTAGGAATTTCTTTCTTGCTGGGTTTCAAGAAAATATATATCAGCAAATTAATCCTAATTTATGCTCAACTTCTCTAATTTTTCCCTGGAAAACAAACCTGCTAACCCACAGAAGCCTTTGGAAACACAGTGCTTCTGTTTGCACTAAGCCTGGCACTGCACAGTGGGATCAGGACAGAGAGCAAGTGCAGCTGCAGCATGGCAGTTACTCCTCTCAAGACAATCCCACACAACCCAGGCTCCAGCAGTACGCTGCTCATAAATATGTGCCAAGGCTACTTTTCTCTGGGGGGGGAAGTGGACAAGTGAGCTCATAGGAAGCTGACTGCTGCCACTGTTCCTAGCAGAAGGTGTAATGCAATAAAATAAATATACTTCTATTTTTGTTTGGGTTTGTACTTCAAAGGTCACTTTGCACTACAAATCTAAATAGTTTGATATAGAAAGCAGGAAAATTGCTTTCTAGTTAAAAAAAAAAAAAAGCATATCAGCATTGCCATGAAAAAATATGCATTTAGTCTTTGTTTGCCAGAAGTTTAGCAGAGTTTTAGTAAATATCTGCCATTGCCTCCATTCTCACACACAAAGAACAAAAGGTATTCCTTCACATATGCCTTCAAATATTCAGCTCATTTTGGTACAATTTGGAAAAATCTTGGGATTTTAGTTTCTTAGCAAAACTGAAAAGCCAGCACGTTATCAGCACACAGAATCATAACTGCTCATTGCTCATTCTGACAATATAACCCCTTGGGTTACACTTACAATTATTCTTCAGAATTGCCATTTTCCTGTGCTCAATTTTGTTGTGTTTTGCTCCTGAAATAACAAGGTCCCCAAAAGAAATACAGCATCCCTGTATTAAGCCCTCAACTTCAGAGGCAGCGACATCTTCCACAGAGCTTCCACGAACCTGTGAATTTGTCCTTTCAGCTCCTTAGCTCCATTTATCACTTCCTTTTATCAGTGCTGCATGGTAATTATGCTGACTTAGGTACTGCTGTTTCATTTTCTGCCTGAAGGATATCTTTTAAGCTGATACTTGTCTTTCAGTGAGAACTTATTCTTCCTTTTTCTACTCTTTCCCCTCTTTTATGCCTCTGCTTTAGAGAACCCATTGGACTAGATCAAATCTTTACCTGACACCTCTGGCCATGCATCACCTGCTTTCTCCCTGTGTTTTCTTAATGTTTTCTCCATGCCATTTGGCACAAAAAGCCCTACAGGTCCTTAGTGATTAAATACAGACATGGAGGGCTGCTGCATCCCCTCACCCCTCCTCCCTCAAACATCCCTCAAACACTGTGCCCCCGCCTTCCTTTTTTTTTCCTCAAAGGAAATTTGTCACGATCTAACAAGAAGCATAAGATACACAAATACTGGTGGTTCCTGCTCCCCTGTCCTGGCTACTTTGCTCTCAGCCCAGAATAAGAAAATGCCCAAGCAAGACTTGGCTGTTTTGGTCCTAGCATCCCTAATGAGGCCATGCAGGGGAGGGTAGGGGGGTAAGGATGTCAGGGGGAGCAGGGAGGAGCTGGTGCTCTGTGTTGGCTGCCTTCCTTGGGTGCAATGGGAGGTACTTACCAGCCCCTGAGCTTGTCTAGGTAGCACAGACCACACCAGTACCCAGCTCATACCACACAGCCCTCTCTACCAGTCACTTCACAAGGCTTCTCACACTCCCTTTGCAGCAGTTCTAATTAAGCAAGAAAAAAGTCAGTATTTTCTCCTTCCAAGTGCACAGTCCTGATTTTTGCATGGGGATGCAAGGATGTGACCCGAAGATTATATAATTAGAAGGCATTTGTTATGCCTGCATTTCAAATCAGTGATTAGCATGTGACAGTCCCATCCTGGGAAACATCAAGCCACCATTGCTCTCCTTTCTTGCACAGTGCTAATTCCCAACTCTGGCAACCACCAGTGCTGAAGGCTCTTCAACTTGCCTGAGGTAAGTTTAAAATGTATGTGGCATGGGATGAAGTGTGGGATTAGTAATGCCATTTTTCACAATGCTGGATAAAGAATGAGCTGTAGGTATTTAAAATGTATGTAAAATGGTATAGAAAATATTTTCTATCTTCAATGCCCAGTTATTTCCAGCTGATTTCTTCTAGGACTGTGAATGGAGATCCAGCTTTAGCATGCTGGAGAATTTTGGGAGGCTGCATTTATACTAAGGGCTACAGAAAGAGATGTTAAAAAGACCTCTTTTGCTTTTACTGTTTATGAGCTAAATTGGGGTCTCTTGCTAGCTTGAAGTATTTCAATGACAGCTGTGTTAGAATTAGCTGGAAATAAGGCATGATACTGATAAGAGTAGATGAATGATTTTTTGCTCCTCTAAGGAGGACTGGGGTTGTTTTCAAGGTGGGATATTTAAAAGAGACAGCAATCTCTGCTGGCAGGATTGTGAGACAGACCCCGGGAAGGTCCCAAGCTTTTTTTTTTTTTTTTGGAGAATTGCATGTATTTAGCAACATCTACAGATGCAGAAAAAGTGCATATGGATTCCCCTGCATTGTTCCTCAATTCATGATTCCATGAACAAGGTGGGAGAGAAAGCCAAATAAGTAATTGATGTCCATCAAGGCAAAACTGTTAATTTACCTCACTATTCTCATGCCGATGCTTGGGACATTTGGTCTGTTTAACAAGTGATCCTATGTACAGTTGATTATTTCTGCAAGGTCTATCATTCCACACTGGGGGAAGCAAGTGAAGGGGGAACACAGTCACACACAGCCTGCACAGGCTGATGAACCTGCTTCCTCTCCATTTCCCATGCACACAGGGAGGGCTCTCATCCTTGCTTTGTCTTAGTGACAGCTTCCTCCTGTCTTTGACCCTGTGCCTAGAGCATAACTACACAAGGTGAATAATGGGTCCTCCTGGTCCACCCATATCTTCTCCCTTGGGGGATCTCATGGGAAGCAGGTTCTCACTCAAGGCTCTGTTAGCTTTCATGGGTTGCCTGCTCTTCGGCTCCTGAAAGATTCCAGGGCAGCATTCTTTGCTGGACAGTGGTGGACACTACCATAGTGATCACTGATGGAGAGGTGGCACTCAGCTTTGGTTCTTGGACTTAGCAGATTTTGGTGCTGGTGAAAGATAGGGATCATAGCGGAAAATACTTCCGTCTGCTACAGTGGAGCAATCTGGTGGATTTAACACTGCAACTATTCAGGGTAGGTTCAGGCTGTATACTGGAAAAAAATTCTTCTCAGAAGGAGTGGTTGGGCACTAGAGCAGGCTGCCCTGGGAGGTGGTGGAGTCATCTGGAGGTGTTCAAGAAACGTGGAGATGAGGCACTGAGGGACATGGTTTAGTGGGCAACATTGGTAGTAAGTGGATGGTTGGATATGATGATTTTAGAAGTCTTTTCCAACCATAATGATTCTATTTTCTGGTCTTGATGAGCAGCAGGGAAAATGAGTTTTAATGCTCAGCTCTGAAGAAACGAGCATCCTTGTATTTTCTTATGCCTAAAGCAGGGAGATGTGGGCTTAAGTTGCAGGCAGACTGCTAACAGCTTTGTATGATTGCTTGTTAAGACTATCCAAAGGAACTTCTAACATCTCCTAGCTACTTACGGATGAAGAAAGTGCTCTGTGATGGGCTGGCATGCCAGGCAGACCATGGATTTGCTGTAGGTAAAGGTCTGACAGTGGTTTACAAAATAGCCCCACGGAGGATGTGCAGAGCTTGTGCTCACTGCTAGTGTGCACATCTATGTGCACATGGGAAGGGAAAATAAAGGAGTGGGGCTTGCTTGGTTTTGAGAAAAGAAGGTGAAGGAAGGGGATCCTCTTGCTGCTTCTAGCTGCCTAGAAGGGGGTTATAACAGAGCAAAAGTCCAGACTCTTCCCAGATGTGAGCAGTGAAAGGACATAAGACAAGTGACATGAGCTGCAGAAAACAGAAAAGTCCCAGTTGAGCATAAGGAAAAAAAAATCTTCCCTAGGATACTACTAGAGGACCAGAGAGGCTGCAAGGCTTCCAGTGTGGGAGGTACTCAAACTTCACCTGGACACAGCCCTGAGCACCCAACGTAGCTTCGCATTAGCCTTGATTTGAGCAGGAAGCTGGACCAGGAAGGAGGTACCTGCTCACTTAAATGCTGTGTGAGCTTAAAATCATCAGACTGAAGATTTGAACAAGCAGCTCACACTCAAGGCCTCAGGGGCAAACTCTAGTTCTATTTTCGAACACTTTCTGGCACCCTTTAGGAACAAATGAGACATTGCTTAGCCAGCTCAGGCTGATCAAATTCCTTGTCCCAGTGAGGACAGGGTTAACAGCTTCCCCATCCGGCAGTCAGAAGGGGAGGACAAGCACTTGCATCAAACCACAGTGAGGTCTTGTTTGTTTCAGTGCTGAGAGAGGACTGATTACTTTTCCTCCAGCAATTCAAAAGAAACAGGGACAGACAGGCAATGTTATATATTCATGGAGTCCAGCAGTGAGTCCTTAAATGCTGGAAAGTAGCCAACTGCAGCTAGAGGACACATGAAAGACAGCCATTCTAGTAAAACAAGGAAGATTTTTTCTGGACCCATTTATCCAAGGTCAACCTACTTTGCAGTATGGTCATATAGTAGAGCTCCTGGTGGTGCCTGGAGCAGGAGAGCATGGTGGCATCCCTGGGGTCCCAGTTTCAAAGCTTCACTCCTGTGCTCTGCAGAGAACAGAGATTATTCTCAAGCACTGTCCTTGTCTGCATGAGTGTGATGTGGATGCTCCTCAGTCAGCTCTGCATGGTTCTCCCTGCATGGAAACTTTTCAGTTCCTTCTGTAATCAAAATTTCTGTAAATACCAGGAATCCATGGTATTTTTACAACCCAGAAGATAACATGCAATGGCAAGAGTTCCCCTTCCAGTCTTATAAGTGTCTGAGTTGAAAATGCATGAAATCACAGGATAGGTAACAGGGCAACGACAGGCTCTCATAAAAGCTGTTAATCTACAAGTATAACTTCTCTCTAGTTAAAACTCCAGGGAGGTTATTTTTCTCCATATCAGACAAACCTCATTCTTTTTACTGGACCCAAGAGACATTACCTGTAGCATATCAGATGGGGGGATGCCTCCCATGAGTTACTCCTCATTAAGTGCACTGTCCCTAATGACAACTGCAAGTTTCCTTGTGTCACCATAGATGTTCTTCACATCACATCCTTCACTCTGAATCACTGCTGTGAGGCTGACTGCATAGCTCCTGCTGTTGTGCTGGGGTAAGGGGGGCTGCAGAAGTGTGACCTAGACAGAGACACATTCTGAGGTCTCAGGTAACTTGGAGGAGCTGGTCTAAGAGAAGAAGCAGAGAGAATATGTCAGAACAGATTGATAGTTTAATTCTGGCTTTTCCTCACCTGGCGTGCCCAACATTGCAACCTGTTTATACGTACTTTTCCCATGCATTACAGTTCCCTAGCTTCCCTGTTTAAAACTGTGCAGCAGTATGGGTTACAGTTTCTCCTTTTTGTCTGTTTGGAACTTTCTGGATACACTTTTTTGGAGGAAAAAAAAAAAACCAGAAGAATTTCACTGTGCAGCGATACTTTCCCTCAGTTTCAGACTTCTCCATCCTCCCTCAGCATACAGAAATGTTTTCTTTCCCCTCCACAAAGGTACACACCCATGACACTCAGTCAGTAAGCAGCTGTATAATGCTGCCCAGCAGCTGAGGGTTGAAACAGCTGTTTCCAGTTAAGATAGCATATCAATATAAATAATTCCATACTAATTGATTACTGTTAATTAAGAAGAGTTAACTATTATATACTATTACATATTGCTATAACTGCTACAGTAAAATACTAATAACTTAAAAGTAAAACCATTAAAAATATGTGGTTTTCTTAAAAAGAAAAAAAAAAAGAATTTCTGGAAAAAGATACTTTCACTGAAAATGTTTATCACAGCACGGAAAAGGTTTTAGTTTCCTTCATACCTGTTTTGCCTTTCCAATTTGCTCCTTTTCCCTCATCGCTGCAAAAAAATATCTGAACTCTGAAACCAGTTCTTGGTGCTAAAGCAGCTGGTGTCAATTCACTGGCCTCAAAACAAAACACTCACGAATTTGCTACGGTATTGACTCTAAAGTGGCAAAAAATTTAATGACAATTTTGCTATTAAACGAACTGTTACAAAAAATGAAGTTAAGTCTGGTTCACTCAGAGATCCAAAATTTTGTGCCTTCTTCTCAAAACTACTAAAAGAAGGGGTAGTTACTTTAAAAACAACAGAATATTTGTGTGTTTCAGAAGCAAATTACATTCTTGCTGTTCCTCAGAGTACCCATTGGAAACATAAATCATTTTTTTTCCGTGCTAAAGAGGGCCAGAGCAAAGGGGAGGCTGGTGGAATTGGGACTGCTCAGCTTGGGGAAGGAACGGATGAAGGGTTCTACTGTCACCAGCAACTACCCCAGGGGGTTACAGAGGAGACAGGCTATTCTCATGGACACAATGAAAAGACAAACACTAGTCAGGGGAACATCCTGAGCGATCAGTTGCATAGCAAAAAGCTGGTTCTTTGATCTACAGCACCCCTGGAAGTGTTTCTGTGCATTTCACTTTTCAAAATACATCTCATTTTGCTTCTGTGTTCAAACAGGAAGCCTCTTGATGAGCAAATAGTTTCTGTGGGATTACATAGCACTTCAGTCACCCATCAACATAAGCACAAATGGCCGAGGGAAACATTTGTACCAGCAGCCCAATCAGCTTGTGGAGGCTCTATGAACCCAAACCAACCTTCAGGATACCTCATTCCCTCTCAAATCTCTCTTTCTTGCCTTGTTCTCTGAACTTTGAGCATCTCCGCTCAATAAACCCTTTTTACATCTTTCTGCACTCAGGGTTCACACCAGCTGACCCATCGCAGGGCTCACATGTGGGCAGCTCTAAGCCATGGGATGTTCCCAGTGACCAGCCAGAACCCTCCAGTGTGAGGACAGGAGTCCCTGCGAGGACGCACACCTTATAGCAGCCATGGACACAAACAAACAAGAAGGTAAAGCATCCTCTAATTTCACTTCTTGATAGTATGAAAGAGAGCTAGGAAGAAAGCTGCCTTTGTATGTATCCCCATGAGAGCACCTCTCACCAACTGCGAGTAAACTCTCCCTTCTCTTAGTTTCATAGAAATACTTGGGGTTTGAAGTTTCTCCATCTTATTTTAAAAACACTTCCCTCTTCCCCTCTGGAAAATAATCCCATGGCTTAGGTAAAGTGCCATATGGGAAGTCACTGCCCTCTCTTATCTTGGGATGAAAGCAACATCTCACTGCAGTGAGGATCTGCTTTTCTTCCCCACATGCTTTGTTGCATGGGGTTCTTGTTCATGTGAGTGCCACAAGAAAGATTTCTCTGCCAGTCCTGGCTTCACAAGCACCAAGATGTAACTGTGCCACACTGCCTGCACATAACCAGTCCTGCTACTGTCAGCAGCATTTCTGGGAAGTGTGGTTATTGGCTTAAGATGTTCTTCTCACAGAGGAATGTGGGTCTGGTGGTACATGCTTTTCACCCCAAACCACTTGTAGGACTGTGCTCTGCCTTGCCACCTGAGAAGTGATTGTGCTCATATGCTGAGGAATTCTTCATAAAATGAAGAGCAGAAGGGGCAGCCTTCAGGAGTGCCCATCACTGTCAGCTCAAAAGAGTGAGCCTGGGCTATCTTTCTTCCCTCTAAGAGATTTTGCTGTTGCCATGGCATGGGTAATGGAAGAGTTAATTCCTCTATTATTATAATTCTAATTTGACTAAATTAGGTCTGTGTACCTAGGCCCCTACACTATAGTATAGTCTGAAAAGGAAATTATCTCAAGGATTTTTTCCAATTAATTGGTATGCCCCCATGGGCGACAGACGCTCACTGCAGAAACTGGGAGATAGCCACGAAGCCCTTTGCTTCCCACAGTGCAAAGGAGCTACGCACTGTTCCAGCTCCTGGCAACGACTTTGTGAAGATGACCTGGGTATGCATGGCTACATGCAACTTTCAGAGAGTACTTCTGCTCACATCCATGGCAAAGGTGGGAGGTAAAAGCACAGAGACAGAGATTCTCTCCACTCTTATGGCCATTTTCAGACGCACTTCCCCACTTTGAGTGTGCCTGAGGACACAGACTGATCCATCTCCAACCCTAAATGAAAGATCACTGCAGACTTCTGCAGGGCTCTGTGTTATATATTAGCTTGAAAAAGGCCCAAAGAAAATGAGAGAAGTGAGCGACCATGGCCCTTCCTCATTGTGCCACACTTCTATGTGTCACCTCTAATTCGTCACAAAGCTCAGCATCCAATATATCCAATACTTTGCAAAAACATTTCCCTGTCTTCTCTGTCCCTGATTCATACTTTGCTGTAAATACATATATCCTCTTGCTCTATTCTGATCAGTCATTACTCCACTCCTCCCCACGGTAAGCATCACCACTTACACCAGAGCAGACACAGTGGCTGGTATTTTCAGGATTCAACTTGAGGAATCCAAAGAAAGTTTCATCATTCATCAGGCCAAAAAACTGATCTCTAGTACGTAGGGTTGAATAAAAAAACAAAGCCCAGTAAACAGACCCCGAAGAGCCAAACTGTACAATAAAAACAACGTGTCATTTAGAAGATGAACCTTGGCACCTGGTGAGGGCTGGCTGGTGATTTCTGACCCCAAACTGCTGGCACTTTTGGTGACGACTCCTTCTCCCAGTCAGTCCGCTGTCCCGTCTTCCGCAGGAGAAACCCTGAAGGATATTCCCTGCAGGGTCAGTGTCTGGTCCTATAACAGAAACCCACGGCTGTGAGACTGGCCAGCACAGGAGTAAGTGGCACATGGGTAGAAAGGGACACATGGCCTCTCCTCCTCTGCCTCTCACTTCTGTGATTCACTGGAGAATTTGCTTACATTCTTTGAATCAGGACAAATCCTAGAGACCAGAACAGGGCCAACGTGTAGATGCCCTTGGCAGTAGCCGATATTCCCCCTCAGGGGCAAAGTAATCAGAACATAACTGTGCCTTGTACAGCTCTGACTTCTAGGCTTCAGCTTTAGTATTTAATATACTTTCTAACTGTTGAGAGCCCTCCCTGCATACATTTCAAGCCTCTGCAAGACCAAATTTCTCTGGTCCTGAAAGCACAGGTAGATAAATGACTGAGCACCTGCAGCCAGCATAGGAAGAGGGAGCTTGGCTGCCCCTAGAACTGGGCACAGGGTCACTGGCCACACTGGTGACTGACAGCAGAGGGAGAGTAAGCAAATTCTAGGAAGCAAGAGAAAACTCACCTTGGGAATTTACATTGTCAAAAGGAGGCAATGCAGAAGAGAAGCTGGGTGGGATGATGTTTCTGGGAGGTGGAGGCCAGCCAGCCTGACATAGGGAATAAAATTTGAATTGATGGCAAACAGACTGCAATCTCCTCCAAGTGTCACGGCAACACAACCAGCAGTAACTTCTGGTGGATAACTGAAGGGCTTATGCACAGAAAAGACAATGTTATAAAAGGAAATAATAAACATAAACTTTTTCAATCAAAAACCTACAAATGCCTAGAGATTGTGCCTCTGGAGTGCCCAAATCACTTTTTGAAACAGACACAAGCTCCTCCATGAGCTAAGTCTCTTTCAGAAACATTAAGCCTCACTCCATTAAACAAAATCAGCTGGAAATCACAATGCCACAGGAAAGCAGGAATTTGAAACTAATGATAAATATATATATATATATATATTTGTCTGGCATTAGAAAAGACACCACTACTGCTCAGAATGTGTTGTGACAAAATATAACTCAACTCTCACCCCTTCACATGGACCAGCTCTGGACTGAAACAGGGCAGCAAATGAGGTGAATTTAACATCTGGTTTAGTTGAGCCGTTCCCATTTTACAACTGCAGTTTATTTTACAAACTATACAGTGTTCGCACCTCCTACAGTGAGACTTGAGTCCTTTAAAACTCATTTATACCTCAAGAGGGACTTTCAACATCTCTGTTCCAGATATTTATAGCAACTATAATAAGTCATTTTAATTGACTGAAGTTCTTTATTCCCACAGGAGAGACTGAAAGTGTGCCTGTGAGTACCCCTGCAACACAGATTTCCCAGGTAAAGATGAGCAAAATGCCCTAAATAACTCATAAGATTTTAAAGATTTACTAATGGATAAGTAGTAGTTAAAGCTAAATTAAGTGGAAGGAAAAATGTAGGCACTAATGAGGAACATGGCATCTAAAATACACATACTGCACGAATGTATGTCACACATATCACATCTTGGGCTTGATCTTAAGGGACACTTCAGTAAAATTTCTCTGCTCACAACCAGTTAGCTGTGCCTAGACAGGTGATTTGTGTGCTCAGCTAATTAGTTAACTGGCATCATTAGCATCAATTAGAGAATGTCTGTTCACTGAGCCGGAGGCAGATTTCATGGCTGAGTTCTGATGAAAAAAAACCCATGGAACCATCCCAGGAGCAAGGATGCATTGACTGCACAATGAAGGGGATGGCAGGGGGGTCTTCCCTGGCAGAAAGAGTCTCTGGGGGGGCTCTGAGTGATTCCAGCAACCTCATGGCTCCTTGGACCATGGGGTGCTATTGCCTATTAGACCAGGTCAGCTGGGCAGACCAGAACATCAAGTCTTGCTGCATGGCTCCCCAGGCTTGGAAACCCCATGTCTGAGTCCACGTGGGCTCAAGGTGATCAGGACTTCCAGAGCATTGTAGTCTCTCTGAGTTGACGTTCTTGCTGCTATTAGCCACTGTGGATGTGATGAGACTACCTGTACCATGACTCAGGGAGCATCCTTCCTGTAAGATGCAGTTTCAGTGCTCCCACAGTGATGTTTCCTAGGCATTTCCAGTCTGCAGGAAACACAGTGGAGTTCTGAACACTTTAAACCTTGATGCAGTTCAATCTGGAACTGCATCTAACAGATAAACAATTCCCTGAACTGGAAACCCTGTCTACCACTAGCCTTGTCACCATCACAACACTAAATGCCCATAACTGCTTGTAAGAGCACCATGGCAAGCAGTTGCAGAGTTATGGCCATAACAGAGAAGGTACTGCTTTCCATAAACAAATTGGTGCTTGCTTTTTCCCATTCAGATGGCTCCAAGCCAGAGCTGTGACTGGGCTGTTGAAAGGCCTGGTGCAGTAAGTCTAGCATGCGTGAAGAGCCTGTGCACTGCAGGTCAAGTATGCTTCCTAAATAATCCTTTAAATTAAAGTTAATAGCTGGCTGTCCCCTTCTGCTTCTGCAAGGGCCCTATGGACACTGCAGTGACCAAAAAAGGACTGCACAGCTGTGAAATGACCTGAAATGTGCAGGAGCATGCAGACTCCTTTAGATCTACCCTTCCCTTCTGTCCTTACCCAACTACTTGCTGTTTATTTCCACCATTCTTACCTACAAATGTAAATAGTGAATATTCTCTTAGAGCCAGGCTGTAAATCAGCACAGCTCAGTTAAATTCATACTGCGAGGCATTACAAGCTTTCCTAATGATTGGCTGTAGTTGTGCTGCCTTTACTAGCAATTTTGACAGTCTTCAGCTCAAGGAGTCTTAGAACAGGAGCAGTGCTAGTGTAAAATGCCTTAGCGGCTGCCAAGGACTCTTTGGAGAAACAGTCCTGGACAGCCTGTCTGATAGTGAGGGAGATGTGTGAACACAGCTACTCATGGAAGTCCTTGCTTCCATGTGGACGCTCTCTGTAGCAGCCAAGGCAGTAAACGCAGCTCACCGAGACTTATCATCTGCTTTACAAGGCTTTTCTCAGTTTTGCATCCTAGGTCATTCAATCCATAAGCCATTTTCATCTGATCAAGATGGTCTTTCTCAGGCTGCCTCAAAGTGTGAGCAAGATTTCATGCAGCAGGGGTGGTCACCTTCTTTAGCAAACAGGTCAAATTGCTGGCACCTGCCAAGGGAGGATGGGAAGGCTTAGCAGTTTTGCTGCTGCCTCTGCTCCTGGAAGCAGCACCTATTCATTCCACACTTTTGGGCCAGCACAGCAGGTGAGACAGGAGTAGAGGCTCAGCAAAGATTATGCAGACAATATAGAACCAGTCTAAAAAAGTAAAATAAAAACCATGCTGAGAAATGGTTCTTGTTCATCCTCTGATCCCACTCTTCTCAGCCTACCAGCCACCATGACTTCCACATGGTCATAGTTTCCCCCCTCCACATTGGTAAATGCTTGCTCCACTAACCAGGGGCACTTCTACAGAGAGCTGATATTGCCATTGGGTTGTAGGTGAAGTGATAGTCACAAGGGACTGTTGCACACTGTCCTCCTGAGTCATGCAAAGACAGGAAAAGAATCCTTTATTTCCCCATGCAGGGCCACTCACAGAGCACAGCGCAGTTACTGGATTTTGCTAGAGATTTTACTTGCAGTTTTTCCACGTACAGCTGAAGAACTTCAGGTAGGCTGATAAAGTGGGAGTCATAACCTCCACAAGAAGACAACCTGCTACAGATGCATAGCACTGGAGCCCACACTGCACTGCTTTGCCAGGTTTAAGGGCCAGACTCAAAGGGCAAGTTTGGGCTGAAGTTTCTTTCTCATACTAAATTATTTAGAGGCCTGAGTGCTTTTTTTGGAACAGACCCTTCTCAGTTCTTGGACAGCTTGTAAGGATGTGCTGTGACCACGCAGACTGATTCGTCCTCTTAGCATTAGGTAGTTCAAATTAACTTGGTAAAATGCATTCCTCCTCAGCTTCACTTATTCCTATGAATAGGTGAGCCAGGTAACACATTACAGTTGAACTCTTGCCAAGTTTCCATCCAGGCATAAAATCTGGGTTTTTCTGTTTGTTCGTTTTTGTATAAATTACACTGTAGAACCATTAGAAACACTGAATCAGCTTAACTTTCCAAGGGTTCACAAAACACTGAATGGTCTCTCATCTAGATGATTGCGCTTGCAGAATAAAGCATAAGCACGAGTTGATGCTTCACAGGCTTCCATTTGTTGCAACAGCCCATGGGATTTAAAGGACAGGTTCCCACCATTAGAAAAGAGCTCAAACTAAAATGCAGCGCCCAAGCACAGTTATGCACTTGGCAAGAATTCAAGGATAATGTGTTGCTCCTATGCCACTCCACTTAAGTTTGGATGAAGCTTGTATCCAATGCTGCAAGGCTGTTTGTGCTTTTTTATGCTCCAAGCACTGTGGGCAGCAGAGGGAGTTCCCAGGATTTCAGCACTTCATGCAAGCTCTGGCAAGATGTGGCTGATGTGCTGCTGCTTTCACCCATCCAATGACAAAGTGAAATATGAACATAAGATGCATTTTTGTATCTGAAATAGCCATCGCCAGCTGCATGGGGCCAAGAAAGCATGTACTAGGCAGGACAGACACACAGAGCACTCTCCTGCAGGATACACAAAGAAACCAAGCTAGCAGAGTGACTAGAAAAGCAGTCTCAACAACAGCGAGCTGCAAAATAAAAAGTGATTGTCTGCTCTTCGATCTATTTGCTGAAATGCATGATATAATTTGGTCCAGTCATTAGTCCAAATCTCTCTTTTGGCTGCCTGAACTCTGGTTTCAGTACACGTGGACACAGAATTCTACATAATGGTCCCTGTTTGGCTGACTCTGCTGATGCCTAGCAGTTTTTGACTCTGAAGTTCTGTCTAGATTGCCCCCTTTCTGCAAGCATCTCAGGATACAGCCAGGCTTCTGGGAAAAAAGCATTTCACTTTGATCTTATTCTGCACAGATATAGATACCTGCAGAGCCAGCTTCCAGACTGCTCCACTGTTAGTTAGCATAATTTGGAGTACTGAAGCAGACAGCTAAAATGGATCTGATGAATCACATCTTTTCATTCTATAGAAAGCATACAATGCCTAACCTCAGTGCAGGCTATAGAGAGACTCTGCTTTGGCAACATCAGCTTAACGTGTAAGGGACTGGCAAGCACCAGTGAGCAGGGACAGGAATATTAACATTTTGCACAGCTGCAGTACTTTATGATCCCACACTTCTCCAGGCACGTACGTTACGATGTCTGATGATGCCAGACCCCACTAGGTGCTGGTCAACACACACATAGCAGAAGCAGTGTGATCTCCCCTCGCAGCCATAGATCCAAGCACTGCTCACAGGGTGACACTTCCTGTGGCATTCCTGCATCACAGGAAGGTGTTCACCATAGTACACTGCAAACAGGCTGAACTGAGGGATCTTGAGCTCCAGCTGGCCTGGGGAGTCAAGAATGATTGCCTGAGGAGGGAAGATGTTCTCTGCCCTCACCTCTAGCCTCCTGTCCCCTCTGCCTTGTTCCAGCTCTTGTCAGTCCAGCTCCTCCTGCCCAGGCTGCTCTGGGAATGAATGGGGGTCTGTGGGGTAATCAGTGGGGTACAAGTGGGGATATCAGGCAGACATCCTCTGTAAAGACGCTGTTGGTCTTGATCAGGGGAGGATGGTGCATGCCACTGCCCTGAGGTATCGGAAGCCATCTCTGCTCCATTTACAGGACTCAAGCGCCTGAGTTCCCCGGGGTGGCTGTCCTCTTACCATCAGTGCTCCTGTTTTGGACTCAGTTTATAACCAGATGTTAGGCCGAATTTCTGTTGTAAAGGTAAAAAACACTGGTACCGAAGCGCCTTGGGCCGCGACCTCACTGTGGGCTTTGTGTAGGCAGAATGAGTGCCTTGCTCACAGCAGTGGGGGCAGAACTGACAGCCCAAGCTATCCCCAGAGAGGGCGTCCCCGCTTGGCCTTCCACAAGCTGCCTGCCTCCCCTCACCGCCCACCTCCAAATCTGCCTTGTCTGCTCGCTGTGCCAGCCTGGCTCGCCCTGCTCTGTCTCCTGCTTCGCCCAGCTGTCAACTGGCTGCCAGCTTAGGTCACGAGGTCTTCCAGCAGTGCTAGGGCCTCTAGAGAAAGAAAACAGGGACTGTGGGCACATTGTCTATGCTAGGGAAATATCCCCCAATTCCCTTCCCTCTAAGAATTAGAGAGCTGTCTCCTTCCCTGGAAAGGGCCTGCTGACAAAGAACAAAGCTTCTTCACAGTCCTCTAAGTAAGGTGTTAGGTCTGACCAGGGAGAGCACCAGTCCCATCAGCATATGCGGGAGGAGGCTTTGCTCAAAAATGGCTGTATTCTTAATCGCTCAGCTGCTTCTAGCATTGATAACCTGGCTGCTATCACTGCAAAGTGCTTGGCATGTTTCAGGCTGTCCCCTCCTTCTGGAGACTGACAGGCTGCAAACCTGCCAGGGAGCCTGGAAAAACTCTGGGTCTGAAAAGGGGCACATTGATTGCCCAACACAAACATTTCCTACCATGTACTGCGGCTGCAGCAGGAACCAAATCTCCCCCCACGCCTCCCAGCCATGAAAAGAGAAAGAGAACAGCACCTTACAGGAGGGGATGCACCTAGCCTTCATGCCAGTCTGAACCAGGGGTGACTCTTGGGGACACAACCACCTTCTTCTAGGATGAGAGGCTGTACCACCATGTTTGTGGTTCCTCTAGTTGCAGGCATTAGCCTCTGAGTTGAAGGCGGGTTTCACAGAAGCGATGCAGGAGCTGTCGCGAATCCAGCATGGCGAGTACGCCTTGGAGGAGAAGGTCAAGAGCTGCCGCTGTGCCATGGAAGAGAAAGTGGCTGAGATGAAGAACTCCCTCAACACCTTCAAGGTAGGAGTGTGACTGGCAGGGGGCTGTGTATGTGCCCCATTATCTTGGGTGGCAAGGAGTTCTCACCTGCTTCCATCAATCCTTCTTGTACACAAAGAAAATGAGCTGGCAATCATTTCAGATGTATCTGGTGCAGCACTTTCAGCTCTGTGTCTCCTTCCAGACCTGGAGCTCCAACTCCAATGTAACCTGTGCCCTGACCTACACAGCCTTCTCCAGGAGCAAAAGAGACCCTTACCCTGGGCTGAACATGCAACACGCATACAGCATGCTAACAGGCAGCCAGCCACTGTGCCATAGCTCTCCCTGGGCCAGGTCTCCTGCACTTCCCGCAGAAACCAAAGCTGCTGGGGACCAGGGAATTAATACGCAACGCCAAAGCTTTTGAAGTTGTTCATTCCCACACGGTTGGGAGGAAGTGCCTGGTTTGATCTGGCCCATGAGGATTAGAAACAAAGGACTGGGAAAGAGAGCCTAGCAAGAGGGCTCGATGTGCACTTTAAACCAATCAGCATCTCCATGCAGAAACTGGACAACTGCCTGTGAGGAGGCAGGCTGAGGAACTGTTTTATTGTTTTAATGGTAAATTTTCCCCATGGGGTTTTGCTGAGTCAATAAAACCTTGTGAAGTTAAAGAGGGCTAAAAAAAGCCCGTGAGTGTCCCCATGATGGGGAAAGATGGACAGCACCAGACTAAAGGGGCTCTGTGGGCCCAACTGAACAAAAGCATGAGGGCATGTGGCAGAGGTTTCAAAGCAGACAGAGGCAGGGTTATCCAAGATGTTATTATAGGGGAAAAAATGGTTTTAAAATCCAGATAGGAGGAATTAGTCAAGCAACAGGAGGTGCAAAAGCTGATCTTCCTCTGCCTCATGCCTATGCTGACTGTCCCAGTGAAGTCACTTCCTTGCTCAGCAAAATCCCTTTTTCAGTTTACAAGAAACAATTTAAGTCTTGATGAAACTTGCAAGAATTTCATGCATAAAGAGAACTCTATGTACATATAAAGCTTGGCTGAAACTGCCTAAGGGACGACATGCTGACAGTGAGACACACACATGAGGTTAGAACAGGCCTCCTTTTCTTCAAAAACCAGGCTAAAAAGACAGCTTCGAGGCCCTATTTCAACTGGTAGTGGATGAAGCCCTACATCTTTATCTTCTACCAGTGTTGTAACCACATATACAAACAATGATCTTGCAAAGGAAAATCACAGAGACACCCTCCTGAAGTACCTCTAGTCCACACCAGCCAGCATTCAAAGCTGCGCTCTGTAAGACTGATGGGCACAGTTGGAATGCTTGTGCTTTTGCTTGTTTCTCAGGAGGAACTCAGTGATGCGAAATCAATGATCGAAGAAATCAGTGCCAAGCAGGAGGAAATGCAACAGAAAATTGAGCAGTTGCAGCAGGAGAAGCGGCGCGAATCACGGAAAGTGAAAGCTAAGTAAGAGCCTGAGCTCCAGGACTCTGGAAGTGCTAATGAGTGGTGGTGTCCATTTTGTTAATTTCTTTACAGTTCAATCTCTTAATCTTTTCCTGGCTGGAGATACATATAAACCTCTGTAATTACTGGAAGCTCCAGCCCTCAGTTTCCTCCTGGCTTTTAGACACTTCTACTACAGAGCAAATACAGCAGATACACACTAAAATAGCCCCAGCAGCCCTCAGGGAAATCAAGTCCTGGTGAAACAGTCAGACCTGCTAGGGATTTATTAGGGCAGGAATCAAAAGTCAGGGGCCCTCACTGTTAAAAGCTATTGCTAAGCTACCTCTATCCAGACAACAGCACTACAGTTTTCCTTCCTTTCTCCTGCTGTCAAGTGCACAGGACTCTGTGTGATCCTGGCAGTGCAGTCACATCTTGCTTTCCTGTCTCCAATCTTCTCTTCTTCAAGCAAGGATATAGCAGCATATCTGAACACTACTGTTACTGTGAATAGGCAGACTGCTCATCCACCTTGGCCCTGATTAGCCTCTCTCGATGATGGATGTACAGCTGCCTTGATGCAAATACTTTGCAAATCTAGGCTAGCCCCTTAGCTAATTAAGCCATTTAATTAGATGAAATATGGTCTGCAAAAGAACAGAAATAACCTTCTCCTACAGTTAGTGAGATTACTTCCATAACATTGTTCATGAACTGAATGCATGAAAGCCAACTCCTTTCCTCACTGTTGCAGGAGCTATACTTTTTCTGACTGTGCTTGTACTTACACTGTTGTCAGCCACAAGTGTAGCAGAGCTTCTCCTGTAGCATTCATGTTTTTGCTGTCTGTTTGTACAGAAGAGCACAGAAGGACGATCACAGCTCACAAACAGTGCCTACACCTCTCCAGGGCAGCCCATTTCGATCCATAAACCTCCCAGAACCTGTACTGATCAACGAAGATTTTACAAGTCTTTTGCACAACGTGACTTATGAAAAAGGTAGGAAAGAAAATAGGTAAGAGCAGTGCCTTTCTTAGGAAAAAAGTCCAGAAAAGGTTGCTAGATTAAGAGAACACTGAGTTTTGTTCAGGTGCCAACAGCAGAAAGAGAATGGAGCTGCTCCCTGTAGCAGCATGGCTCCCAGGTCTGTGCATGCAAGTCCACATTGTGTCTCAGGAATTCAAGCATGGCTTTAACACTGGCCTGGATTCAGGAGACTCTGCTCTGTGAAAGTTGCCCCAAAAGCCATTCCTCACTTACTCCAAGGAAAAGGGAACTAGGCTGGATTTTATCCCTTGTAATGCTCATTGCATACACTCAAGTGAATGGAAGCCCTGATGGAAATACTACAACTCGTCAAGTTGTTTTCATGTCAGGGAGCGGGGCACAGAAGGGAGGATCACAGGGATTGGGCTGTCAGAGAACACCCAGTATCACTAGGAGGACACCTGTGGTTGATTAGGGTGGTAAGAGCTGAAACATACACACACTACTAGGGGCATCACTGCTCTTTGCTAGCTATGAAAGCTGTTGACCCACAGGATTAAGGTTATACCTTGCTCCAGGAAAACAATGCCAACTGCTACATGCTTATGAAGTCTGGAATCAAAAACAGGTGATGGCCCAGTGCCTTTTTTTCCTATAATTAACTTGGAGGGGTTGGGGGAGAAGTCTAAGCTTGTCTTTCACCCTCCTGCTCTACACACAAGGAAGACACCAAAACCATATGTATTTAAAATGTTAACAAAGGCACAGAAACTGGAAGAAAACTGTATTCTGTCTTTTCCTCTGTTCAGCTCACCTTCTACCCTTCCTTGAGCCCTCTCTCTTAAATCCCTCACTGCCCCTCTTTCTTTCCAGTCATCTCACCCCTCCGTCCACTCTTCGATAAGCTCTGTATCATCCTCAAATAGCAGCTGTGTCTCTGTGTCAGGTATCGGTCCTTTTGTTCTGCCTGCTGGGTGTCTTCTACCAAAGGGCAATTCCTGAGAAACAACAAGCCAGGACTACTCAGGCTCCAAGGTCATACAGCAATGAGCACAACAGAAATCCCATGTCAGCCTGCCTAAAGGTGCTACTGACAAAAAGATCATGAGAAAAGCCACAGCAAAATGGAACAGCTAACTATCAGGGATATTCCCACTCAAAAAATGTGAAGGGCTAGAGGATCAAACCACACTGACTGGGTTTGGAAGATGGAAGCCTGCTCTACAACTATCTTCTCTCATGTTTTCCTTTACTTTTCAACAGTGTCTGACACCAGGATCATGCCAATAGGAGAAGGAGGTGTGAAAGTCATAGGAGGTCCAGGTAGGAATAAACTGAACTGCTGAAAAACAATGATTCAATGACAACACTTACTTTACTTCACTCAATAAATGTTTTGAGGGATGTATTTCTCAGGAACAACTTTCACACTTTGCCATGCATCTCCATTTTCATATTTGTAGTTGTGATGTCAGGGTAAATACGCATCCCTGAAGCAGCAAATAACTGGTGGAAATGCAAAGCACTGATGTTCAGCAGAAAAAGCCTTTCTGATGCTGCTACTTTTGCAAGCTGTAAGTGCCTTTGCAGAAAGGAAGAGGACAGGCTTACTGATATGACAAAGAATAATTGGAGAGCCATTCTGCCACTTGGGAAGAGATGGCCTTTGCAGTGACTACATACTAGCAGATCAGTTGAAACAGTTATTTACTCGTCAGCTTCCAAATGGACTTCTCCTAGAGATGCCTGAATAGTAGCAGAGAAGTTTCTCCAGCAAAAAGAAAAACAAGTAATAACTTAGTGACAAGCTTAATAAGGACATGGTCCTGGCCAGCAAAAGGACACATGAGAACAACTGCCAGACACCTGCACTGTTCAATTGAAGCATTTGCTGTTCAGGATAGCTCTTTTCCTTGAATACACTTGAAGGAAAGAGAGAACAAACATTACAGAATGGTTCACTGCAACCCAAATTCAAAAGATTGTCATTAAAGCAATTTCAGACCAATGGCACTGATGTACCCTCTCCTGTATGTTCTCTGTGATTTAATAGCCTCAGATACCAGTCCTGCTGCTGCTTGCATGATTGCTAATGAAAACTTTAAGAGCTATGACAATGTACACCTATTAAGAGGGACATTTAAATCTTAATTATGATTATACTTTTTTTCTTCCCACAATACCTCTCAGTCAACCTGTTGTAATACCAAGTCCTTAAATGTCCCAAAACCATAGAGTGCAACACACTAGGAATGCGTATCTTATTTGGGCAGAAAATAAATGCTGGAAGAATGCAAACCTTGTTCTGCAGAAGGGCTCATCGGCTGCACTTCCATTTTTTGTTGTAAATGAATTCCAAATGACTCCACCACTGCTGAAGCACTGAGAATACTTCAGATTCCTTTTCCTTTAGATGGATAACAATGCAGGTTTATCTACAGCTAGAGCATAACGAGCTAATGTCAGCTAAGATGTCACACTCCATGCAGCTGTTTGTCATTGCAGGGGCAGCCATCGAGACAGAGGACAGCCTCAAGCCTTCGCTGGCAGCAGATGGTCAGACAAAGGTGCATCTGCAATCAACAGTATGGAAGCAGCCCAAAGAAACCAAGGACTGGGGAGATGAATACATTTCCAAAGAGCAACCAGAAAGAGGGAAAGACGTGGGCCAAAGCAGATACAGCTCAGCAGACAACATTATATGTGAACCCTCTTTGGCTGGTAAGGACAGAGGGGCTCACAGCTGCACTCACACCTGGCATGAGCTGCTAATCACCTTTTACAGATGGAGACACATAAGGCAGTTTTCCCTGGTTGGAAGAAATGCCTCAAGGTCTCCTGTCTCCACGACTTCTGTTTTTCCCACTTGCTGGTCAGTGCCATCAGACAATACACAAACATGCTCTGCACTCAAGACATCCATACTCCCTCCCAAGACTGGCCAGGTTCAGAATATAAGTGGGGCTGTTGACAGTATAGCTAGTTATGTGGGTAAAAAATACAACTTCTTGTTCTGTGGGAAACTGGATCTGAATCCCTGGCATTAATTGTTTTGCTTTTGATGACTTGTTTTTTTTTTGTTTTTCTAAAATCTTGGGGGGAAACTAGAACTCACAGGGCAGAACACATCTGCTTTGGAGCCTTCTTAGTAAACAGTGTGACTCCAATCATCCCTGGTGCACGCTGTAGCATGAGACTACAACTTGGTATTTTGGGTAAAGTTAACGCAAACACAGGACGTTGATCTCTTCTGCAGCAGTTTCTCTTCATGATTTAATGTCAGATCCCCAGGGGAAATGCACTCCAACATGAGGGAGGCTGTCCTTGAGGTCGGCATTCCCTTACTTTTTTAAACTTAAACATTATTTTCTGGAAGCCAAAAGGCAGAACATCGCTTTGGAGCTGCTGGAGTCAGAGAGGAAGTATGTCATCAACCTTTCCCTTATCCTGAAGATCAAGGCAACGTTGCAAGGGCCAGATGTGAAAAGGAGCACCAAAGAGAGAAGGTACTTCCATTTAGTGTGCTCTCTCTTTTGGGGAATTTTCTTCAGTCTGTTCTTTCTGGTTCACCCTCTCTGCCGCTTTCCTTTTATCCATACAGAGATCTTTAAACACTTAAAGGTCATTTCTTGTTAAAAACTGGAGGCACTGAAAGGTTTTTGCTGTGATTAAAGACTTTCCTGCCTCTCCTTACATCCCAAACCCTTCTATAACCACTTCAGTCTCCTAGGTCCTAACAGTCTCCTTTTCCTCCTTCCCATTTGTCCTGCGTGAGTGGCAAGAAAGCTTGTGCATGTACTGCTTCTCCCAGTCTACAGTTCTACGGGTTGATGTAGGTAATAAGCCCCTTGCCAGTAGCTGCCATCCATCAAGTATCAATATGTATAGACAACTCACATGTATTTACATAGATACACGAAATCTGTGGGACTGACCTAGCATAGCAGTTCAAAACAGTTTTGTTGCTACATTATTTCCCATGAGGAGATAGTTCTTACAGTCCTCCCCATTCTTCAGTTTTAGCCAGGGAGTTCCCAGCCCTGAGCACATTTGTGGTGCCAACTGTATGGTAGCTCTCTTTTTCTTCTCTTTTCACCATCCCTAGAAGTCATTTGACCAAAGTCCACTGTGGAACATGTAGTTGATGTGGACTCAGTTTCATGACAGACAATGCAAACTGTAATGTGACAGTTTAAAGTTTGTTTTTACTTTTACTCTTTTTTTCCCTGGGAACTTCTCATCTGGGAGAACACTTTGATATTTGACATCATTCTGATTATGGATGAGATCAGGACAAAATAACAGAAAGGAAATAGGACATTTTGATCAGTATTGCATCAAAGGGCTTGACAAATGATGCAGTGTACAAATCTGGGAAGCATTCCTCCAAGCACCCTATGGGATGGCTCACAATCACGGTCCTGCTCCATTAGCCACAGAAGCCTGGGCTTTTCAGTTCTGCAAATTCCAGCCAGCTACACAGCGTATTGGAGAGTCAGCCTAAGAAACCTTCAAAAAACCCAATAATAGTCCATTGGAGAGGGTACCTGTATGTACATAGCAGCCTGCTACAGCCCTGTACAAAACAGGGCTTCGTGGTGCAGGCGTGTAAAGCAAGCCCGTGCTGACTGTTCATGAATGCAAACTTCAGCAGTGCATGCTTAAGGCTGAGCTTGTGCTCTCTGTGACCAGTCTGATATTGTCTCCTTTCAGTTTCTTCCCCAATTCTTTGCGGTACCTGGTCCAGCAGCATGTTGATTTACTTCATGCTCTCCAGGAGCGAGTGCTGAGCTGGCCACGCCAAGGAATTCTAGGTGACATCTTCCTGAAGTTAACAAATGATGAGGTATGTTATAAAACCTCTCGACTGTTCTGTTGTGATGCATGACAATGTGCTGATGGCCCATCAGTGAGCCAAGACAGAAAAGCAGTAGAAGGGCAGTTCTGTGAAGCTGCAGCTACAGCAATGCCTTTCTGCCAGCCTCTTTTAAGTGCAGTCCCAGTACATGGTAGCCCCCTCTGGTTACAGCTCCTCTTGGTCAGGATATCAACATGCCAGACCCACCTGGAGCTCCACAGGGCCACAGCACAGTGTAATGATGATAACACATTAATAAAGATGAACAATAATGTATAGTAATGCATGAATCCCAGACCTGGCTGGAGAAGCCACATATGAGCCTTGACAGCTTAGGTGTCTGTATTCACAGTGGAGGTGTGAAAAGAGCTTGAATTTTTCATACACTCCTCTCCTCCACTATATTTTACTCAGAGTTTTGATAAGCAGGTAGGCAGATCTCATTCTATATTGGTTTTGTAGCTCCCAGTAAAACAGCCCTGTCATTGTTGTGTTACAATGTCTATTTCTCCAGAGGCAAAGCCTCTCCTTTTCAAGGTGAAGGGTCTGCCCAAGCCACAGCAGGACCTTTCCTAGAAAGATGTGTAAAAACTGCTCTGATGCTTTATGAATTTTAAGACTTATAAGAAAAGCTTCTTCCTTGCCAGCCTCCCCTACATCCCCTGCCTGCTCTGGTGTTTTACATATTGTGCTCAACAGCTGATCCATGTTACTAAACAAGCCTCTTTTATGAAGTCCAGAGCCCTGAAGCTTTGCACAGTTAGTAGCTCCGTTGCAATCATGAGCTCCCAGGAGTGACAGAGGGGAATCAACAGTTTATCGTGCTGGCTGTCTCTATGAAATATTTCTCTTGAGTTTCTTTGTTCTTTTTGTTGTTTTTATTTTTCCCCTGTTTATAAGAACAATTTTCTGGACTACTACGTTGCATACCTGAGGGACCTGCCAGAATGCATCTCCCTGATCCACGTGGTGATCTTGAAGGAGGTAAACTTTCTGCCTGCTTCACAGATGCATAACAGTAACATGCATGCTTGGCTCTCTTCCTGCTGTGCTTTCCCAAGAATGGACTTTCCTGCCAATCCAGTTGTTCTGTCACACAATGTCAGTTTCCCTGAATGTTTCCACGGCTGACAAGCACCTACAAAAAGCAGCTTCAACACGGTAACGGCTGTGTGTAATGGAAACTGTATTTCCACTGAGACACAGCACCTCAGATCAAACCATGCACATACTATCCAGATCTGCTCTGGCTGAACAGAATGTCTCTGATGGAGGAATTGTCCAAACAGGAACACCAAGACTGAAGCTGTAAGTGCTGAAGTGCTTCTTGAGGGAGAAAACACCATGAACTGCTCAGCTTTAGACATCTGGTCTCTCACATTATTAATTCTTGGTTTAAATGAGGGAAGTTAAAAATAAATAAAGGTAGTTTTAAAGTGAAGGAAGTAAACCACAGTAACTTCCTTCCATGACATCCTAAGAAGTCAATCTCATTTTGTTCAGTTCTGTTTGGGACTTCATTGTGAACAGCAGTGTCTACCTAGGCCTTCCATGCAAACTGACTAGCATGCTTCAGATATACACCCCTACTTAATTATGCTGAGTGTCTCCTGCAAATAATCCTCTGCTATTGCTTGTGGAAGAGTGAAGATCACTGCATTATCACAAGCAACCACCACTTGGCTGCTGTGCTTCTGTGAACTGCTATACCACTTATGGTAAAGCACTTGTTAACTAAACTATCTGGAAGCAGATGTTTCATGGATGAAAGAGACTCTGAAGGTGCTTTCTCTATTTCAGGTAGAAGAAGAAATCAAATCCGATCTCTACATTCTGTTCTTCCATATAGTCCAGCGAATCCCTGAATACCTAATTCATCTACAGGTAGGGTCCCAGAATGGAAACTGCCGTGTTTAACCCTTATAACAACACATGACTTATAACAACTCAGATGCACAGAACCGTGTCCCAGTTCTATAGGGCTTCTCACCAGGCTCTGTAAAGGAAAAAAAAAACAACCACCAAAAATGAAAAGAAAAGCCAGCTGACAGGGCCTGATTTTCATTTCATACCTAAAGCTTTTTTCTGTTTGCTATTTTTGCCATTTGACCTGACAGAACCAACCCTTCCCCTGGGAAACCAAAAGTTTTGTAATTAACTCCAGTAAGAGTTGCTGAGTTGTTCACATGCATTTTAGCTTTTGACGACTAAGGCTAGGAGTTAAGAAATTTTCTTATGCAGAGCTTGCTTAAAAACACAGTTTAGCTTCACAGGAGGATAATCTGAATTGTACTGAAATATTTCGAAGAAGGCAGATATCACAGAGCCCTATAAAAAACCAAGAGATTGGTTTATTTCTCCAATACTAAAGCCAACCAGTGAATCACCCCATCTCCCACGATTACATTTATGGTGGTCACTCATGTATTTGCACTGTAATAGTAGATTGCAGGCCTTGTCCAAGTCTTTCAGAAACTGGCGCTACCTAGAAAAGCTCCCACAGCACAAAGGGCAGTGTCATGTGTGCTCCACAGTGTTAATTCACAGTCCCAAAGAGCACCTTTTCCCCAGTAAAGGCAAGGATGTCCTTCAAACTGCCTACTCTCCTCTGTGCCCCAGAACGTCCTGAAGTTCACGGAGCAAGAGCATCCCGATTACTACCTGCTGCTGGTGTGCGTGCAGCGTCTCCGGGTCTTCATCTCACACTACAGCCTCCTTTTCCAATGCAATGAAGATCTGCTTATACAGAAGAGGAAAAAACTGAAGAAGTAAGCACAACATCAGATCATTCTCTCAATTACAAGGGAAGGGGAGGTGTGAGGCCAGCCCAGTAGCATGGGGCTTTTGTCCTAGATCAACAGGTACATCACCCCCTTGAAATAAAACTAAGCTCTGTGCATATGAATGCTGGAAAAAAACCACTACTGCCATTTGTCCTTCAAACTGAGGTCAGATTTGCTGTGAGCCTTTCCACCTAACTTAGTTAAATGAAATGAACAGTTCAATCCTTCTATAGCAGCCAACATGCATTACAATATTGCCATTGCTTTAGGGAACCAAAAGCTGGCCCCTAGTAGGAGAATACATTGAAACTTAGCTGCCCCAGCAGGTCAGGGTATTGGTGAATGCCCAGCCCATGTCCTGAAGCCCATTACAGGCTAAGCAAAAGATTGAGAGAGTAGTGCTTTCTGTTTTTACTGGGGGAGGGAAAAAATATTCCATAATTGCTGGGAAGGGGCTGTTTTTAAGGGAGGCATTAAGAACGGGACAGGAAGCAGAATCCCTTGCTAACCGGGACAGACAAGGTAGAATAGATCCTTCCTCTGGGTGGGAAGAGGTGCATGGGAATATTAAGGACCCTTCCAGCCCTGTTTTCTTTGATCTTACTTGCTCGTGCTCATTCCCTGCCTTATTTCTTAGCACGACGATGGATTTCTCCTCCCTCAGGTCGTCCCTGGTGAAGCTGTACAAAGGTCTCACTTCCCAGTGTACGAGCCAAGACGTTTCTCCAACACCCAGCACAGCCTCTATCCGTGACAGCGGGATTCACTCCGAAGAGGCAATGCAGTCATTCCAACCAGCACCTTCCTCTGGCACAACAACCCCGTAAGCCATATTATCCTAGCAGAAGGCTTTCAAAGCAGGCTGAAAACTCTTTCCTCACCCATACGCTATGCCAGTGACACTCTCTAGTAGACTGTCATTTCCAACACTGCTCCCTGTGTACATGCAGAGATAAAGGACTGGCTATTTCCTTCCTGCTATCCACTGCCATGGCTTACTAGCAGGCAGTGTTTCAGAACTCTACCCACAGTTGGCAGTGCTCTCGCTAGCTGTCTGCATACTGGGGAGGACATGTATTTGGTAAGGATGACATCAATGTGCAAAGCTGCACTTTGTGTTATTCACTGCCGTCAACATCACAAAAGCTAGGGAACATTACCGAGGACTCTGACAAGTACAAAAGATGTCTTTTTATACAATGGAACCCACTATCACAAGACACGAGTCATGTAGGTTCAGAAAGTTACAATAATAATTAAAAGAACCCTGTATTCTTTGGCCACTGAGAGTTGCCAGCAGAGATGATGAATACTAGCACATTAAGACTTGACTATTTCTTATGTAAGCAATTTGTGGCTGTTGTGCTTTCTTACGTTATTTGACATCAACAAGAGTTTGGCTCTATCTTTCTCAATGTCCCTCAAGTAGTAGTGTTGCTAGATCAAGCTTTAGCCTCCTTTTCCCCAGACTACCCAAACCAATCTTCCTCCTGCCCAAAGACACTCCAGGCTCCTGCCTTTGGAGCCTCAGCTGACACCTCCCCACCTTCCCTACATCAATCTCAAACCAGAAATCCAAGATGGGCCCAGATGGGACCTTGTCAGCACTGAACAGAGGTGGGGGAAAAGCAGCTCCCCAGATGCTGCCGGACATGCAGCTCGTAACACAGCTCTGGACAAGGTCTGCATTCTCTGATGCAAACTCTGTAAGAGCTCTCCAAGTATTCTCAAAATGCTCTTGGAGACAGAGTTCCACCACGAGAGGAACCTTAATCACCTAAAAAGAAAGGCAGATCACAGGAAAATAAGACATAGCCCCATTACAGAAAAAGGGGAAGGAGAGTAAAAATCGAGAGTGAGGATGAACAGGAGAAAGAAGCACCAGCTGGTATTTCCTCTGTGTTTTTATACATTTTTTTAATGGTTTAAATCAGAATGTCAGTGAAAGTCCTTAGACAAGCAACCCTGCCTGTGGAAGCTTGCTCCTCTAACCTAGCTAGGTAATTTTTAGCAGCAGCAGCAATGTTACTCTTCTCCAACATATTAAAACAATTTGGGATCATAAAGCCAAGAGAACTGGGTGGGAGTAAGGTGGGGAGAAATGTCTCTGCAGTCCTCCAGTATTCCACTTTCTTCTGTTTTTTTTTTCCCCTTATTTTAAGGCATTTGTTGCCTCAGATGAAGAAACCTCAGCCAACTGTCCTGGAAAACATCCAGGCTGTAAAGCCCCCTGACTGGGAAATGGAAAGCAGAAAACACGAGAGGCCAGAGAACATCCTTGCATCCTCTCAGCTCACTGAGCAGGAACTCAAGGCTCTGACAGCTCCTTTACAATCCATCCCTGAAATGGAGTATGAAGCACCACCTGCCGACGCAGTGGGAAACCCAGAGAGAGCCATCAGGACCTCTGTAGAGCTGCTGCAGGATGCGAGGAACTTTGCGCCAAGCTATGAAGAGTTTGATTACCCTGGGGAAGTCTTCACCATGCCAGGTCCCTATGAAGAAGATACTTTCCAAAATCTTGCTCTCTTTGAGAATTGCTCGCCAGCCTCTTCAGAATCCAGCTTAGACATTTGTTTCCTTAGGCCTGTTAACTTCACGTCAGAACCAGAGAGGACAGATCATGCCTTACAGCCACTGCCTAAGAGCAGTACTCCTGTGAGCAGCAGCACTTACAAGCGTGAGATGTTCCACAGCAAAGGCAAGCAGCTGAGCAGGTCTCTGAAGGAGCTGCCGAGGAGCGCTGAGGGCGTGAGCTCCAGACTCTACAGCACACGGAGCAGCAGCGGGAGCCGGCTGCAGCAGAAGCAGGAGAGGAATGTCCAGCCTCACATGATCTCAGCCTCATCTCGAAGCTCCCAAAGGAGCTACTTCCCCCCACAGAGAGGAGCGGGTGAAAAACCAAGCTTTTTGGAAGTAAGGAGGCTTAAATAGGAGGAGGAAAAAAAAAAAAAAAAGGCACATGGTGGTGCAGAAGCAGCAAGATAAAGATCTGAGATTCAGTTAGGGCAGAACTTGCCAAACTAGCTTCCAAGTTCACACATTCAAAGCCCTCATCTGCATGTATGTACCCAAGGGAGGGAACACCACACAGGACAGCTGCTTTTCAAACACATCTTCCCCAGGGACAAACATGGGCTTGAGGCACTCAGCTGGCTGAGTGACAGTGAGAACACTCTTGAGAGGAGCTAGCCTCTCATGCATCTCTAGCTGTCACTGAGCTTCCCCCATGAGCAAATGTTCTACCTCATCAGGGTCGTTAAGCGTGAGCAAAGCTGTTCAAAATGAATTCTAGAGGGTGGCACCCAGTTAAAAAGGTGACTTCTAACCTGCTACAAGGAGAGCTGGGTTGAGAAAACTGATGGATTTAGTATCAGATTCTCATTTGGTACAAACCAGGATGACTCTGCTGAGCTCAACCCATTTATACATCTAAGGATCTGGTCCATCGGTTTTGCTGCACCTGTGTTTGTTGGTGAACCAGTAAAGTCCGTGGAAAATCGGACAGGGCCCAGCAACCATGTCCCTGTCCCTCAGACAGCCACTGACACAGCAGGCAGCACTCCAGCTCTTCAGGGACATCAGATACAGCAGGAACGTCTCTGTAGCTTGCACTGCCTGCTTAGTCAGCTTTGGGCTTGTGCAGTCAGGGAAGAAAACCCCAAATGGACATCCAGGCCCCATGACCTCCACCCTTCTTTGAGAAGGGGCTGAGAGTGCTGTGATGTGCTTAGTACGCTTCCTCAGTGACACCTAGAGAAACACCTACCTGCTCAAACAAGACAAGGTGCAGACGAGTCTGTAAATGCAGATGACAGAAGGAAATTTCCAACAATCTGACTGGAAAGGCAGTAAGGAAACTTCAAAAGAGAAAAAAAAAATAGTGAATAAAGGAGGTGGTAGAACAGGGTGACGAGGCAAAGAAGAGCCATGGGGACACAGCCCACTCAGAAACAACAGCCTGTGGGCTGCCTGGCACTCACATGCACAGATCTATGCCCCACAGCAGGGTGTGGATAGGGAGCAAGTCCCAAATCACAGGTCACGTTCATTCCCACAGAGCAATAGAGACCACTGTGCGGTGGTGGACAAAACTGTCCCCAGAGCAAGACTGAGGGGAACTCCGCTCTCTCCTGAAAGGGAAAGAGACACTTTAGAGGTGCATTGACCGCAATGTGTGTGTGCTACCAAAGCTTCCTGCACCACAGATGTAAAACCAGGGAGCAGCAGAGTCAACAGAAGAGTCTTTCACATCGTATCAACTCAGGAAGCCTTCCTGTCCTGGGGTAAAGAGCTCATGAGCAAGGAGGAGTTGGGAAGAACCTACTCCTTCAACTCCTCATGCTGGCTTGCACCCTTGCTGACAAAAGAAGGGGCTAGTAAGACCACCTAAACCAGAAATCTAGCAAGGAAGGCTCCACTTCCCTCTAAGAGTGCTTCTCTCTCCAGTCCTCTGCCAATGCCTCAGATTCAGAGCCAGCAACAAGCTCTATGTAGAGGTACCAATGCTACTGAGGCCCAAGTGATGCATTGTCTCCCAACCTTGCCAGCACCTCCTGACCCACCAAGTCCCGTCCCTCCTAGCAGAGAGAGAGAGAAAAAGAGAAGGGGACAAGGATGTGAGGTTGCAAATGCTGGTTAAATTGTCTTTTCCCTTTTAGGAGCTCCATGCAGAAGACAACACCAGGTTCTGCCAGAAGGATGACAATGAGCAAACATCCTTCAGCGACCACAACCCACGGCACGAACCCAAAGGGGGTTTCCGGAGCTCCTTCCGCAAGCTCTTCAAAAAGAAATAAGCAGCCCCAAGAAAGGCAGGCCACAGCCCAAGCGCAACAGTACTTCCCTGGGTCCCTAAGGGTGGAGACAGACAGCAAGGTCCTGAGATGTCCCCTGATTAATATCATAGGTGGAGGGGTGGGAGAGAAGACTGTCACAAATGCATCCTGCTCTTCCTAGCACAGGGGAGGGCCAGGCTATGGGTTCAAGCAAAGTTCAGCCAGCAGATCCAGTAAGCAGAGCAATTTGCTAGCTTTTACTCCTGCTTGATTTAATTTTCTTCAGAGTTTTGGAAAGCTTGGGCCAAATACCTCCACGTTCTCTTCCCCCTCATTCCCCAAAACTGTTTTTTCTGCCATACATCTTCACTCTTCCAAATTCAAGCCAGGACTAATTCAGGCTCACCCATAACAGACAGGTGCCTTGGCATCCTGGCCAAAAGTCCAACATTCTTTTCTTTCCTCCACTTTCTGAAGAAAAAACACTAATGAAGATGTCTTCCAGAAGGCCAGCTCACACTATCCAGCTGGTTTGAGAAAATCTAATAAGCATCAGCTGAAGCACCGGGATTTTATTCTGCTTAATCAGCACTGTCTTTTCTTTTGGACTGAAATTCTCTTCCACCTTTTAATCAACATGCTGTTTCTCAAACTGCCTTCTACTGTACAAATCTCTGCTCTTGCTGTCAGAATTGCCCAGGTCTCCACGCAGAGGACACAGGCTGAGCACAGGGCCTGCCACAAGAGACAAAGACTCTTCCACACTCTACACTCACCATGGATCGACGCAGATACTGACACAGTCGACTAGCATTGTGGCTCCTGGTCTGCAGTACCTCTTAAGCGCTCTTGGCCAGTTCTCTTTGACTTGACGCCACTTTACAGGCCCCAGCACATGAAGCACCCTGCTTTGGAGCAGATCTTCTAGAAAAAAATTGAGACACAAGGGCAGGAAAGACAATGGTGCCCCACTTTTGAAGTCACAGCATTCCTTCAGGTGCAAGGACACTCTTCCTCCCACAACAAAGCCACATGCACGTCCCACCCACATCTCAAAGGACGAACCCTTAGCAGTATTGTTCTCTGGACAAGCCTACAGATTCTGTTAAAAATACAATAAGGAAAGGGAATCAAAGCCCTCTGGCCTACAGCTCTCCCACAATGCTAACTGACTGCACTTTCTTTTTCCTCCTCTGCTGGAGGGAAGAGGTAGGGGAAAAAGGGTCATTTCAGCTAAAACAAAAGTAATTTCTTATTACAATCAAAGTTTTCTCAGCATTTCAAGAAAGTGACTAAGATAAAACTTCAGGAATTAAAATGTTTCAGTCTATGTCTGCTCGTCAGACTTTATTGGGGCCAAACTGCACTGAGAAATCCAATTCTCCTTCTGAAAGGCAAGAAGGTATCTTCTTGGGCTTTTTCCTTTATCTTCTGCATTAAAAACAAAACAAAACAACAAACCAAAACCTCCCCAAAATAGTTAAAAGTTTTTAATTACAGAAAGAATTCAATCTCTTTCCCTCTCCTTCACATCTTCAATATATTATCAGTTCTTTGACCTCTCCCAGCTGAAGCGGCTCCACACTGACCAGCCACTACATCACCAAGACCCTCCTAGGACTTTCAGAGGTATCAACCCAGACAGTGCATGTACTAGGAAGAGATATGAAAGAAGAACCAGGTACTTGTAACTGAACCATCAAAGCCTGTTTGTTTTGCAATAGTTAGAACTGATGGTTATTATTACTTCCATAGACAGGCCTACTTGTTTGTCCATGGAACCAGAGTTTTATCACAATGGATGGGGTTTCCTTTCCCACCCTGCCCTGCCAAGATGTAGGCAAATATATCAGGAAAGGAGATGAGGAAAGGAAGAAGCAAGACAAAAGACTGGAAAGGAGATGTATGCATAGTCTTGGTAGCTAGTAAAAAGTGCAACTGCCCATCTCCACTCAGAGCATTCAATCAGAAGCTCTGGGGACACATACAGCGCCTGTGCCAGTAAGGGGCTCTCAAAACCACTGCTAAGCACTTTGCTGCCCAAGTCACAGGTACTCAGAGGCCACTGATAAGAACCTGCTACACATACCACCTGGTGTGGCTCTCCCTTTCCTGTACAGACAAAAGCAAAGCAATGAATACTTTCTGTGACACCTGACACCCCTCACTTTGGGGATGACTACATTGCATTAGTATTTAAAGAGATGGTGGGTTTGGAGACCGTGGTAACCATGGCACGATAAGAATGTCCCAAAGAATTATTTGGATTTTAAATTTTAGTAATGCACTAATGCTCTCGAGGGCTCTGATTCTTATATATTTGGATAGCACACAATGAGATTTCTACTCTTCGTAGAAGAAACTTGCTCCTCCACACCTGCCAGGCAGATGTCAGGCCAAAAAGAGGGCAAAGAGGAAAACCTGTGTTCTAAAATCTTCTGCGTAAGGAAATCCTTCCAAAGTAGCAGACCCCTGCTTGTAAAATGCATATGGATTCTAGCTTCTGTTTTAGTCATTTAAGGCATGGTCAGAATTGATGGTTATTATTTCTGATTCTGTAAGAGTTCTTACTGACAGGCCTATACTCATCATTTGAGATGTCCTGAGTACTTCCTTGTAACTGCACAGAATCTGCAAAATGTAAATAAAACCAGTGAATAAAGCTCAGCACCACAAAAGGTGCCTCTTGCAGGATGCAACCCAACTTCACCTTTAGTACGTGTGCGCTCTGGATTATTTTAATTTCTTTGCCAAATAAATGTTGCTTTTAAATAATGCTGTTCTCTTTTTTGCACTGACTCAGCTGAAAGACTGCATCCATTAAAAGGAGAAACATACATTTCCTCCAGTCCCTTCCTGAGGCAACATTACTGACAAAACTCCACTCCTTTGTGCACACAGTAACATAAGGAGATTGTTTCCATACACCTCATTTCAAGACTCTTACCCAGCACTCAGCTGAGAAGCCCTCGCTCCCTCTAAAGCTTCTGGTCAAGATCTGATTGATCCCACCTGTTGGTGCAGCTCTGAATGACATTACCTCAGTGTCACTCTTCATCTCTTTCTAATGTTTCTGTTATAGACACATGAGCCTTCACAGAAGAAATCCCACAGGCCTCCTCCACTGCCATACACTACACACCACTGCAATTTCAACTACCCATCTCAGTAAGAGATCTTAGCATATTCCTGTAAATCACAAACATGTCACATACAAAGTTTTTTTCTGAAATTTAATTCCAATCCTGTCTGCTACCATCTGACCTTCACCACATTCTCAGCAGGTCCAAACCAATGACACCACAAACAGGGGCACCTCAGTTCCTGGTGCTCACACCTTCCACCACGCAGCACCAGCAGGCAGCCTTGCATCGCTCATGGACAGCGATCTCAGAGACAAGAACAGCTGAGTTTTATAGCAATGGCAAAGATACAGTTTGACTCCCATGCAAATCTACTTGGAGTGTTTCTTCCTCAAAAATCCCTTTCAATCCTGTGGATGCAGAACATGTCTATTAGCCTCTAGGGAACAGCCAATGCCTGAGACAGTGCTCAATCAGACACCATCACCATAGCTATGACTTTTCCAGATCACCACAGCTGTACTCCCTGCTTTGGGCAGCCTGCCTAAATTCTACTCCGATTATGACTGACTGCCAGATTGGCTCAAATGTATCCTCTCATGACTATATTCCTCTAAGACAGTATCAGTGAGAATGACTCTATACAACTTGAGTACCTTCTCTTACTTTCTTTTCCCAAGCTGCAATGTATCACAGCTTCCTCTTCGTGTTCCTAAAGTCCTTTCACCTCAATACAGGTTATGTAAATATTTATTGGTAAGCAACATGTTCCAAAGATGACAGTTCCTTTTTCCAGCTGCTCATAAAGTATTTGGACCCTATGCCCACATCTGAATAAGTGGGGAGCTGGGATACATGTAGCACCATCTTTGCCCACTGCCTGGCTTTGCAGGATCTGCAGAGTGGATTAGATGGAGGCTATCATGAATATTAACCAGTTTCTAGTTGCATGTGGCTTTCATTCACTCACTCCTCTCCTTGAAAGTGAATGTTTTGCCTGTTGCCAGATACAGGCTATTAAGCATGATGCCCCTTATTTACTGTGATTCAACATGGAGACAAGACAGAGGCTCTTATATGAAACCAACCAAGATCTTCACACAGTAAAACGAAATTGACAGTATCTACCCATAGACTACAGAATTGGTGATGCAATAAGTTGTAACAGAAAGCCACAGAGCTGGAGCAACATCTACAACAAAATCCCATGGCAGAGAACAGTTAGAAGATGCTATCAGCACCAGGAAGCCATTCTCCTGCTGCACACGCACCTCACCTTTTACTCTATAGAGTTCCTCTGCTCTGAAGTTACTGTGCATTTTACAGTTTTACTACCCAGAACAAAGTCTAGGTTTGAAGCAGACTCGGTTATCGTTAATGTAAAACATGTGCTATTAAGTTTAAGGCAGCCCATCTCAGACTACTAGGACTTTCAAAGTACCTTAAATACTCAAAAGTATACTTCTAGGATATATAAGGCTTTTTTGGTATTTTTAGAACATGGCTTTTAATGCCAAACTATAATAGTCACTATTAAATTTTCACTTGAATGCATTCTGAAAACGTCTGCAGTCACAACATGTAAAGATCCCTTACAGACAATGAGGTACACAGGCCATCAGATGTGCCCAATGAATTTAAATGTACTTGTCCTGGACTGACACAGCTTTTAACATTTACTGATTTTGGCAAGTAACCATGTCATTAAACAAAGCAAATGGACACACACACTGGAGTAAATACACTGCAATCCAAAGTTTGTTCTTATGAAAAGAAGAACAACAAAAGGATAAATCCCAAGAATATTTGAGTAAATTTGTCCAAAGCAAATCCAATAAAATGCACCTTCAATTCTCTACCTTCCTTTGTCCTTCTTTTTAAAAATATTCCTGGTGTTCTTTAACAAGTGGCACCTTTGGGGGCTATGGAAATTGTCATACATCTGGCACTTTGTACTCCTTTCACTTTCAGGCAGCTGGCACATCATTTCCCATTTGCTTGCTAGAAGTCAAAAGAAGCGACTCTAATTTGTTTGCCTGGTGTTGCTGCAGCAGTTGGCTACTAAATGTGCTGGTTTTTATTAAAGGCAAAAATATTTCCTCACAGTTGACAGAAAAATGCACTAAATGTGCTTTCAATGGAAATTAAGGCATCGGATTTACAAACTATGTTAAAAGCACTTTTGGCTTTACAACAGTATTGGGCCACTTTTCTCTCCTTAGGGAACATGAACTGTAACACCTCCAGCTCACCCATCATCTAGGTGTGGAAATGACAGCAACTAAAAAAGGGTATTTCAAGGCAGCAAAGAACCACAAGATTTTTCAAACTTTAAAATATCATCTTAAAATATCCTGACTAAGCTCCTTCTTCCTGTCTGGAAAAGACATTAGCTTTGAAGAGAAAGCCAAGGAAGGACCTTAAAATGCTGCAGCTAAACGCACTGCTCGCAGCAGCAAAGCTTTAAGAAAGTTTTAAGTAACATTTTGTTTCACTTGCTTCTAATTTGTAAGACAAACATTAATAAATGGGGCGTTCTAGCAGAGCTGAAATGGCAGTACTGCCAGAAATGCCAGCAGTAGAGGCTGCCTCAATAAAATGCCACACCTAAGAACTGGACAACAGCTGCAATGTGAACTCAGTATAATGCAACACAGCCTGCTGTGAAGCAAATTTGATCAAGCAGCTCTTCAGCTTGAATAAAAACCCTCCTTTGGGTGCAACAAAATAAAACGCTCTATCACAAGCACAACAGTCTACCAACTTCAGTAGTAACACAACTGCTTTTGAATCAAACCCGTAAAAGAAAAATAATTACACATCCAGTGACTGTCAGTCTAAACCCCAAAGGATGTAAATCCCATGCACTAGCATGAGTACACTCTCACCAAAAAAGACCTCTTCCTCCCTGATTTAAGAGAGACATATTACAGAAATGGGTTATAATGGTTTCCTGAGAAAGTAAATGCACAGTGCTTGCAATATCAGCACTCCTCAATTTCCAAAGGGCTTCTCTGAGCAAACACACAGCTATGACATTCTCTGGAAGAAAATTAACAAACCCAATCACGGTCCACTGTCGCTCTAGCCTACACTCAAAGTAGAAATCTTGAGGTGACACAGCTCAAATTAAGTACCACACCTATAAATTTCTGATCTATTTAAGCACTTCACATTTTTATCCACATGGCTACGCAGTTAGCTCCTGTTTCAGCTCTTACCCATTTGTAATGCACTCCAGATATACACAGCAACTCACCCAAGCCAGTGATCAGCCTTCAAGCAAGCACATTTCTTTATCCTGCATGTTGTCACCTTGAGTCATACCAGATCATTCCAGAGTCATTTTAGCCACAACCACATAACAGGATAAGAATTACTTCATTTTCCATATGAGAAGTATTGTCAGTAAAGCAAACATCAACCAAATAAAAAGTTATTGCAGGTTAAATAATTATTAACAAAACTGCCATGAGACAAAGCAGAGGCTTACAAGTTGTACTCAAAACTCCCACCCTAAATGCAATAGGTTTGGTTCTTGTTCCTTCTTGTCTGTAGCTGAGTCAACACAACGATTTGTTCACTGTATGCCTGACCTGCTCTGCTGGGTTCCAAAGTGATAAATTTAAGTTAGGTTCTTGCATGGTTACCATTATAACCTATTGTCCAAGTACCCCACCAATAAAGGAATTTTAACCTCGACTACAGGGACGCAAGTCAGCATTCTGCCCATTGCACAAAGGAAAGTAGAGGCCTACCGACATTCAAGAGGCCTGCTGATGAACAGGATCAATGTGAGGTCTTCCATTCTAGTTGGACCATCACAGAAGCTGAGTATTCCTTCTGCCTGGTCTGCCTTGACTACTAAATAGCACAGAAGGAGAGAGAGACAGATCAGAAAATCTAAATTTACGGAGCTTTTCCTGGTAGTCCATGGAATAATTTATATGATGCTTTCAACATTATGTCCATTGCGTTGTTTACATCCAAAGAACTAAAATGTAAATTATACCTCCTGCAGCTTGAGTGTTTCTGTCAAGCTCCCATGTAAGAACATTCTCTTCTGAAGCTACGGCATAGAGATCTTCATTTTTCTTCATTTGCCAGAAAAATGTTTCAAAATAAAATTTAAGACATCAAAGAAAGAACACAACTGACACATTACAACATTTGTCCATGATGAAAACTGCCGTTTTTGTTGATGGGATCAAAACACTTTCTGAAATGTAAAGACCACACAAAAAGATAAGGTGCATAGATCAATGGCATTGCAGAAAGCATTAAAAGGTAAGCTTTATCACCGGTCTACTGACATCACCCCTAATGACACAACTGTTCAAGATGCTGAAATGTATTCTTCTCCCAAAGATACAAGACAGAATTTTACTTAAGACCCACGAGCCCCATTAACTGAAGATGAGATACTTCACAAACATACTGTAATGGTGAGTATAGAGCTCTTTCTTCAACAGCTGGCATGCATTACTGTATTGTCTAGAGTTAAAAAACAGTGCACAGGTTTATGGATAATCCATGTCATGAAACTTATGCCAGTATATGTTCTGTTATGTCTATTTCAGACAGCAAGCTACTGTAAAGATTAATATAAGTTCGAATTTCCCTAACAAGTGACATACAAGAGGTCTGAGGAAATCTTACATAATAATTCACTTTGGGATTAACCTATCCTGAGATATTACTTTGATACATATGCCAAAATCAACTTCTTTTTGGACTCTTATAACTGAAGTAGACAAACTGGAACTGGGAAAAATGTACCAAAACATGTGCTTTCATATCCTCCAGTGCTTAACTAAAAAAAATAAAAGAGTTGTAATTTGCCCATGTAATAATTTAACATATGTCAGCCAAACATATTTGTATCTTTATTTCAATTAAATTAAAAACAATCTGCAAGTATATTTATGCAACATTCACTATATACACATGATTTATGCAACTGCAAGGCGATTCTATGTATGCTGATTAATCTATTGTTAGTAAAATATGACAATAGCTATGGAAGTTGGCCAGTGAGTGCTCTTTTTCACAAGTGACTCTTTTCATGGCATGACCAAAAAAATAGCTACTAGCCATGAAATGGATTATCAGTAAACCTTAAAAAGAATGTGACATAACCTAGCAGAAATTAACAGTCTTCTAAATGTAGTAGTATATTTATTTCAGATGATAGTGCTGCCTTTTAAAGAAAATTTGCTGTCACTGTAATGATGTAAGACTTTCATCTGCTCTACCTAAAGAAAGCAGTAATTAGACATTATGCTTTCTGGCAAAAATTTATTTTTGAACTGGCACCACAATATTTCAGAAAATAATAATAAAGTACCTCTTTGGTGAAGCCTAGGTACCCCCTACTACTCATCGTAACAACTTGTAAACAGGACCGCAATACAGTGCTACGCCTTAAAGTCTAACTCAGTTAGGTACCACAGATCTTCCTCACAGTCCTTCTCACAATTTTAGGAAAGTATTTTAAAGCAGGGAGTAAAGCAAAAGAAAATTAAGAAGGATACAAAGTTCCCTGTTTGAGATTTAAAAAAAGTGCATAATGTTTTCATTCCAAAAACTGTGCCACTGTATGGAACTGATGGATACAAGACTGTTTTCCTTCCTGTACTGGACATTACAGATCATTACACAAATACAGTCTCTGCTCATTGGCCAAAGAAGTCCCTCAAGTCTGTTTTCTGGTACAATCAGTTGTCCAATTATCTTAGAACAATGTCCTGCATACTAAAACAAGAACAGCGAGTTAACCAGTTCTTCCACTCGAATGTCTGTTTTTGCAATTCCTTCTCTGTACACTGCATTTCCAATTTATTGGAGAGTTTTTAGTGTTTGGCATATACACATCCCAACTCCTTGGCACCACCAGGTTCAGTGCATCCATTGCCAGCAACAGACGTAGCACCAGGAAAACGCAACTCCCAGCGCAGGGGACAGTTCAGGAGGAGTGGGCATTCTGCAGCAAGGGCGGTCCGTCTCGATGCATCGATGGGTGTGTGTGCTCCCTTTTGTAAGTTTTTGGAGGAAGCTTTGGGATATGTTGAGAAGTGCTTTGTCGTGGAGGAACAGGTGGTCCAGCGACAGAATGGAGGTCCACATCTTGTTGTATCAGTGGTGGTGATGGAAGATGCCTCCGTGCTACATGTGGAGAAGGTGTCTGAGGGGGAGGGGGAGTAAATGGAGAGGGACTGTTTGGGAAAAAGGTGTTACCAAGTTCGCTTTTTCTCCCCAGTGGTGGAGGCTGGAGGTGTAGTGGTGAGCTAGAGAAAACATCTGGAGTTCGCACAGGTTCTCGTGGTGGTAACACAGGAGGGCTTTCAGGGGGGTCAGAGATGCAGGTCCGGTCAGGCACCGAGTACCTTGGTGAATACACTTTAGAGGTTGGTTGCCTAGGAGGGATTGCTGGCGGGCTGTCCAGGTGTGCAGAAGTAATCTGAGGTACACAAACATTTCATTTAATAAAAGTTTTAGAGTGGCAAAGAACAAGACCCTGCTGTGAAATGGAAGCAGGACTCCTGCCGTGCAGACTGATCTATCCACTTAAGCAGGAGACACAGCAAGCAAGTGCGCTATGAAGATGGGGAGTAGCCAAGTAGTGCCTGAAAAATATGTTTCTCAGCATGATGCAGGAAGAAAAGACAAGCAGACTGGATGTGTACCAGGGGAGAGCATGGGTATATCAATAATGAATTAATAGGCAGGGATGCAGGGAGTGAAGATGCATGGAAAAAGGCAAGACAAGGAGTGATCAGAGCAACATGCTGGTTCCAGATCTGCCTGCTACGTAGGTCTAGGTTATCTTCCACTGCCTCCCTAATAACAGGCAACAAGGATGGATAATAGGACCAGGTATTTCTCCAAGAGAATGAGGAACAAAGAGGGGCAGATGGTGCTGAACAAAGGAAAAAAAAATACACTACACTCAGAAGATGGAGCTAAGTAGAATTACTGAAGTGAATGGTTCCCAAGCTGCAGTCCACAATCACAGAGTAATTGATTGTCACCACACTAACATATCTATAATGTTTTCAACTGCATTTTGATAGGATCGTGACACATTGAAGTCTGTTGGCTGACAACACAGTCACCTACAGTCTGAAAAGGACATCTTGCTTTAGTGATATACAGAAGCTCCCTTGAAAGTCAAAGACGTATACGCTACAATGTAATTTTGAGTGGGGTCTTCAAATCTATCCAATTCTCTGTAGCCATCAGCCAACTTCCATTGAAATCAAGAGAAATTTAACACTGTCTAAACAAAAGCTAGATTGGCTCTCAAACGCGGAAGAAAAAAGTAGCAATGGCTCAAGCAGGCAGGAAAATAGGCCAGGCAATTGAGATTGAAAGCAATGAGCAGCACAGCATCCAGGGTCAAATACTGTAATTAATGACTTCAGGGGAATAAGGAGTGCTCATCACATTCCATCATTACAGTTCTTCAATTCTTTACCCTAAACCATACAACCCAAAATAATCTTCTACAACAATTATGGCAGACAGAAACATCTGACCAAAGCTTTAAGTTCCCACAAGGACCTCATCACAGCAAATGAGCAGGCAAGATGGTGAGGCTGAGCTGGGCAGGCCTGAAATACATGGCTGCTTAATGTTTAACATATAGATGTTCAAAAATGCAGTACTACCTTTAAAAGTTTCTTTTTCCTATAATACTCTCCTCTTTTCCCCTAGAAAAAACGCCCTTTTTAGCTGTAACTTACTTTTGATGGGGAGGATTCAGCTGGGGCAGACTCTGGTCTTCTTCGTGGAGGAACTGGTGGGGGAACGTGAGCTTCATCTGAAGTTTTGGTAAAGCTTATGGATGACACAGAAGCAGATCCTAGGAACAAAGAGTGAAAAATCTCAATAATGAGTTTTTGTTCAATACAGCATATTTCCTTTATCATGCCAATAAAGGTGTCATTAAAGGCAGTGTACCTTTACTTTAGTAAATTATTTGCTGATAAAATGCAGCATGAAACAAGAAGGTGTTAAAGAAAACAGCCACCTAACTTGAAGACTCCAAACTGCTTTTCTGAACTGCAATAACCTCTGTGGCCATTAATGCTTGCATTTTGTAAGTAATCCTCAAGACCAAAACCCACACCACAAAGCTGTTCTTGTATCACAGCAGCACTAAAACCAAACCCTGAACTTGCAGCTGATGTGTCAATCCAACAATGAAGAAATGTCTTCTTATGAAGAAATATTCAGGAAACCAGCTTGGACTCTCAGCAATGCCACTGCACTGCTAAGCAACTTCTGTTTTTATCAAGTTATTTCACCTCTTTGTGGCAACCTGCTCAACATGCAACCAACCCCGTATTTCATTTGAAAACCCTCATATACTACAGGGCACTGTGTTCTGTAAAAATTACTTAAAGTACACCATAAAATACGAGCTTCCTTGCATGCTGGTGAAGACAGAAGAAAAATAGTGTCATACGTCTTGATTGATTCAAAGCAGGACAACACAGATTTTAAGTTATTCAGGAAAAACACTCATGCGCCCTGAAAACTGATCTGTAATGGCAGGCAGCAGACTGAATCACCTGCAAAACATTCATGTCTATTCTCACTAGTCACCAAACACACTCACCACACACACAACTGGCAGCAAATGCTACAAATGCTGTTTGGGACATACATGAGCAAAGTCGATGCACCTTTGTCTTTCTGTTTTAACAGTTTCTCCAAAGACATGTAATACCCAACATGCCTAATTCTGTTCAGTTTCTCCCCTTACAACAAGAACTAATAATAAAAATGTAGTAAAACGCACTCAAAGTTTTTCCTGCTGCAAGGGGACAAAAAGTGGTTATGTTTCTATAGTTACTTTAGAAGACTAAGCATGGTTTTACCTCTTTAAGATCACAAAATCTAATACATAGCCGTCGCACACTATCTACTATCACCTACTTGCATGAAAAGGACTTGAAGGATCTGAGTCAAATACACTGCAGGCATCTGTAGTACTTGAAGTAGCAGAAGCAGGGGGTGGGGTCAAAGGCGTTCGTGGAGAGTTTGGTGCAGATGCTGTAGTTTCTGTCTCACTCTCTGGGATGCGGCTGTAACTAATTTTTCTTGGTTCCTGTTGCAGGGGTGTAGGGTGTCTCATGGTACCTGGCCTTGGATTAGATGGCCGAACACCTGGGGACTTGAGAGGATAGCTGTACTTTTTGGGCTGAAATAATAAAAAAGACAAAAAAAAAAAATTAAAATTAAAAAAAACCACCACCACCAACAAAAAACATCACCAAAGCATAATTTGCATTTATGAAGTTAGAGATCTAAGATCACTTCTATTTCTGAAAGACAAATGTAAGCATTTCTGGGGAGAAAATGAAAAAGAACAGGAATACTAACAAATCTTGGTGGAGGCTTCACATTTCGTGGCTCTATCTCTAGCGACTTGTTGAACAGATAATCTGTAAATTCTGTCTCCATGCTGTTCCCCATCGGATTCAGGTTTTCAAAAAATCTCTGAAATACAAGAAGGCAAATAAAAATTACATCAACTAAGACATTTCTGTGATGTTTCCATCTACTGTGCAAGTGATCCCAACTGTTCCACAGAAAAAACGCTCAGGTCAGTAGCGAGGACAGATTTTCAAGTTAGTAAACTTGCATGTTGCCAGTGCTCTGTTTGACCCTGTTAGCACCGTGCCTGGCCTGCAGAACTAACTGTGCTAGTACCCTAAGTATTTTCTGCAGGGCAAAAATCAGAACAGGTTACTCCAAATGCCCTCAGAAGAAGTTGTACACAGTCTATCTCTACACTGATGCAGGGCAAGACTCTTCTCAGAATGATTTTGTCAAACTCTGTGGAGGAAAAAATACCAAAAGATCTCATGAACACCAAAGAGCAAACAGAACAAACACAACCTCAGACAGAATTGTAAGCATCATCACCAACAATATATGAAATGCACATAGTGCTGCCAGGTAAACCTGTAAAGGAAATAACAGAGGAAGAAAGACACAACTAGTCTGACTGCAAGCATGTGACAGACTGAGGACAGTGAGAATCTGGTAGTTTCTGTTCCTGTTTAGAACTGACCAAGAACTACTGACCAGGACCTCAACAGCTGAAATTAACCCCTGACCTCTTTTCCCCTCTCCCCCCCCAAAAAAAGAAAACCTGCAAGCAAGGAGATTACTTCCCTTCTTACCTACTTGACAGAAATGTTAATGCAGACTTCTTGCTGATTTCTAATGCAGTTGATCTCTATGGCCTATCAGCTGACATAATCACACACAAGTATCTCAGTGTGCAGACACATGGAAGTGATGTCACTTACCCTAATGTCAAATTCTACTCTTAAGCAATATGGCTGGTTCTGGTACTGCTGTATCTCTCCGGTTATTTCAGCTACTTTTCTTCTCTTGCTGAAATTTATGAGTTCTTTTCCATGTCGCTTTAGAAATTCAGGATTGCCTTCTTCTGTCTTTAAAATGTTAGTTAAGTAAATTCCTGGGGAGAACACAAAGGATTCTAAATACATTGTGCAGAACAGAGAGGAAAGGTATGGATGAAATACAAAGAATTTTTAAATAACTTGATTTCTGTATTTTGATTACTTAGAAGAATTCTCAGTTGTGTAAGAGTCAGAGTTCATTTTGAAAGCAATAATTTAAAAATTTTAATATGCCATCTCCTGAAATCTGCCTTTTGCACCAAAATCTTAAAGTCTTTACATCTTTCCACAATTTAGGAAGCTTACACAACTAACCACTACTAGCACTTTGCAACACAAGAGTACACTGAAGTGCTTTCTCTGAAGTACTCTGCCTCAGTTCAGCTCTACTACATGAGAGACCTTGGATAAACTCAAAAAAACTGTTTCAGTGTTTTATTCTTCTGTTCCACTCCTGCCTTCATAATTACATCATACTGTGATGTTAAAAGAGAAAAGAGACTTCTCAAGTCCATGAATGACCTGTGGGGAACTGCCATTATGACCCCTCCGAGCATAGCTTAAGAGAAATGTAACTCTCCACTTGTGGTCCTGCTAACCTACTTATCTGTGAAGCAGGACAGAAGTTTTCTTACTTGATCTTGTCTTTCTCTGCAGAACTCCAGAGTGCATCTTCCCCAGATCTCTAAAATGCTAAAAAAGCTACTAAATAATTTTCTTTCATTTCTGGCCTGATGTTTATGCTGGACAAGAACAACGTACTGTGAGAGTCAGAAATGATCAGCAACAAACGTCCAAGCAGCTTGCTACAGAACAGAAATGCTATTTGCATAATTCTTTGGAGATGTTGAGCATCAATATTTCTAAAAGTGCCCACATTACACTTAAGGCACTTATAGTCATGACACAGTTCAAACTGCACTTAAGGTTAAAAAAAAAAGAAAAAAGAAAAGCACAAATATAAATAAGCTATTACAGATAAACTTATTTTCCCCACAAATAATATCTGCAATTAATAGCCAATTTAACATTTCTTTCACATAAAGGCAATTAATGATTTTTCTCTTACAGTCAGTCCTGTTGCTAGTTTAAGCAAGCCAGGGAAAATGCTTTTATGTCTGGGCAACTGAAATTCAAACCTGAATATCCTGTTAAAACTGACTTCTCACTGTTGTTCACAATACTTTCCAAATGCACAATATAGCTCATTGAGAAACAAAGGTACATACCAAAAAAAGGCACACAAGGAGGATTAATGGACCTGAGTTTTGCCAAGTATTTCTTATAGTGATCCTCACTCAGTTCATAAGCTTCTTCTAAAATCTTCTTTTGACGACTTGGAATTTGCTAAAGAGAGAGATGAAACAGGTTCTTGTAAAGACAGTGTAATGGCATAGCCCAGCAACAATGAGTGTAATGGCCTCCCACTGATGCTTAAGTCAGTGGCCATGAGGACAGTGCCCCAATATCTCAGGATCTCAGTACCTTTTTCTACCTTTCTTAAATGAGGATTGATTTCTAGCTTCTGAAACCAAGAAAAAATAGATGGGTAAAAAAACCCTTCCTCCTACATCCTAAATGATTCTTTTTTTTGGGGGGGAGGAGGTGAGGGGAGGAAGGGATTTACTTTCCCTGTTCCTTCTATGAAGGACATGCTTCACAAAGACTTCTAGTTAGCTACAGTGTACTGTGTTACCCTTCTACACCAAGAATGGAAAACATTTCACTGTACCTCAAATGTGTGATCCAACCTATACACTGCTGCAGAATTCATGGCACTGACAATCTCAAGGACACCATTGAAGTTGTTTAGCTCTTGAAAAACTTGCAGGATTTCAATTATTCGGCTCACTACAATTACTCTTTCCTCTAGGTTTTCTGTTTCTACAATGCATCTAAATAAACAAGAACATTTGGTTTTGTGCTGAACTGTTTTTGAGTTTTTTAAAAGCAAATATTAATTTGTAACAAAAACAAGTATGAGAGGCGTATCAAATTATGTGACACAGTTTTGAACATTTTTAGAATAAAGACTGCTTCTAAGAATAAAGACTAAAAAGGCTGAGATCGTTGTGGTAAAATTCTTTCAAGGACCACATGTAGCATCTAAACATCATGATCTAGAATTTTTCACAGTATACTTCCAAATGCATTGTAAATGTTTAGTAATAAATTAGCAGATTTAGGAAAGTCACTTACTTTTCAAACCACAAAGTAAGATTAGTTGTATGCCTTATCATTTTGAGAAGATTGGGAGAATTAATTTCTTTATCTTCCTTTGTCCACACACTTCCAACTAGTTCAGATGGCTGCACAGCTCTAGAAAAGCAGATGCATGCATTAAAAAATGTAATTACAGGCATGAAAAAAAAATATTTTTCCAAACCCTTTTTACTTCCAGGGAATTTGAAATTAAGACTTGGAACTGAATTCTCAGTTCCATCTATGACCTCAGGCTCAACATGTGATTTGGGTGAATGGTATTTTTATGTTTGGTTGGTTTTCTTAGTATGTAAATATTTTTCAATTTATATGACTATTAATCACCTCTGTTCATCTAAATGTAGAATGAAGTCCACATCCCATTCACCACAATAAGATGTGAGCTCCCAGCACCAGAACGACCTCTCACAGATATCTGACGAGATCTGACATGTTCCACAACTTACTTCACAAACTAGGATATGAATAAAACTGATTTAATTCAGTTCATACTTCTCAAAGACTGATCTACTTGGAACGTATCAGGAGAAACCTGCAGCACAGTCAATTAATAGTACACATCACTGCTGCATGTTGAACTGGGGAGGGTAAGACTGTCATTCAGGTACTGGCTTTAAGATTTTTGTTTTCTAAAAAAATAACAAATTAATATATAGTATTGGTAAAGTCCCTTGACCTACCATGGGGCTTCACAGCAGGGGACCACAGAAACAATTTCACGCTGGAGGATATTTTGGGTTTTTTTTATGTGTATGTGTGTGTGTGTGTTTTTCAATGGAGGAAAGTTACCTGTAAAAATCTGACTCAAGTAAAGTGAGCTGCCGAGCAATTTCTATTGGATGCAAAGTGAGCAAGTCAAAAGTCTCTGTGTGTCCTGGTTTGCTTATGTGCCATTCAATCGCTGGAGGTGGGCTTTCAAAAGTAATGTTGTGAGTTGGCCCAATGGCTTGTGCCTGCTTTTTCCGGTTGATTATCTTTGTGATTGATTCAACCCATTTCTTCATTGCTTTGCCTGGCAGAGACAAAATTACTTCTTAGTTACTCTTACTGCTGCTTTTTCAATGATGCCTGTATAATTGGACGTTTTCAGTGCTACTCTCTCCCACTCTACAGTAAAGCTACCCAATTCTTTAGAATTGCATACATGATATTCCCACACAACTCTCAAAACTTTCAAATATATAAAGAAGAATCCCTCAAAAGTCAATGCTAAGCATGACCAGCTTGCCCAGGCACAATTCAGACCACCTCAAATTAGGCTCCTGCTCTTAAGTGTTTTTTGTTTGTTTTTTTTTTGTCTTTACGAGTTTATGGAAACTAACTTTTTTTTTGGCCAAACTGCACTTCTGTGAAAAACCTCAACTTCACACTTCTGGCAAGAGCATTTACCTCAGATCACAAAGAACAGAAGAATGAAGAGGGAGAAGCTTCTCCCTCAATCACATCTATCATCAAAACAGGGAATTAAATCCAAAGGAGAAATGACTGTTTAGCCCTAGTGGCTAAGAATTTTACACATACGATGGCAAATTCATCGAAAATTTACAAGTAATTGACATTCAACTTGCTGGCTCATTCTCTATTCATTCAATGGCTTAAGAAGCACTGAATAGTTTTCCAGAACAGTCTTTTCCTACAAATTATTCCTGTAGCTGTTCCAGTTGTTCTTACAAGGGAACAGAAAAGACCAGTACAAGATGATCTGTAGGCCTGGCATGGAGGCTGTGAAATAGTCGAGGAATCCTTGCTGTAACAAAATAGTGGTCTCTACTGCCAAACATGTACAAAATATTATACCTGTGTACAGCTTAAGAGGACAATCAAAGCAATTATTCTGTCCTGAGCATCATTCAATTCTCGTTATTTTTCATAGGCTTCAGTCACCTTATTGGATACAACTTATAATTAAGGATGTAAATAAAGTATTATTTCTTCTGAACAGAGGTCAGACTTTCAAGACTAGGTTTTGTTTTGAGTTTTTTTATGCTCTTTTTTTCCCTTCAAGTATTTAATAAGCAGGAAGTTACATTTTTCTTTATCCAGACACTGAAAGGAGAAGTGACTCTATTCTATACGTATGCTTTAAGATAAACACAAATAAGACAACACAAATACCTCGTACTGTTCCAATGAATTCCTCCAAACGTTGCAGAAGATCAGCATCTCTTTCAAAGTCATAGAAGTGGTGCTCTACCCAGTGTCGACATACATTTAATACTCTGCAAAAACAAAGCATCAGTCCACAACATGATCTATCTTCATGTCTACCACTTCAAAACTTTTGGAAGTCAAGAGTTCACAGAAAATCAGAAATAGGAGAACAAATGGAATCATTCTACTGTCCAAATTTCACCAGCTAAAGACATGTTTTACTTTAAAGAAGCCACAGTAATGTTATGATTCGTTTAAAAAAAAAAAAAAAAAAAAAAAGTTTAAGATGTTCTCTGCATAATCTTTCCAGGAAAGCTATGCCTCACTGAAAAATGGATTCTGTAAAAGCCGACAAGCCATGACTACTTGAAACTGAGTGGCACACCTATAGTTTAAAACTCAGGAAAAGCCTTTACTGAGGCCTTTCCTGCCATGAATTCAAATTCCCACCAGATTTTCAAGCAGCAAAGCCAAAACAGCTGACTGACCCCAACAAATCATCTACAAGAAAGGCTATCAAAAAGAGCCCCTGCAGCCAAAATGTGGCATTTAAAAAACTTAAAAGGAAGCCACTTTTGTTCCCATTGCTACAATACTCACCGTAGCTGCACAGGTTGAATGTACTCCTTTCTAAATCTTTTTAGCTCAGCACTAAGAGGTTGGTCTCCATTCTCCATAGCAATACGATCAGCTTCTGTTGGCTCAGGTTCTGGAATTTCAAATCTAGCACAAAAGATGTGGATAAGCACCAATCACATCACCTATTACACTAATCTTGCTCATATGAATAAATGGTGATTAAGGTAACTTGAAATTCAGATGGTTTCCACATGTCAGGATTTCATTTTTTGGTAATCACAGGAAAATCAGCTAAATTCAATAATAATACAGATTTCAGAGACAAAATTGTGCTATCCAAATAATCCTAAAACTTCCGGATACAGCTTGTGCATTTGACCTGCAATCCTTGGTACCCCTCAGTCTTCGACAACTGCTTAAAAATTGTTTGGAATGGAACAAAGCCAACCAGAAAAGAAAAGTCTTACAATTCTACTCCAAGTAAAAATTGAAGCAAATAACGCACTTCATTTGAACAACATCAGGGGCATACCTTTCTATTAGCAGACTCAACAGCTCCTGGGGTTTACAGAAGGATCTGTATGTTGTGAGAAAAGTCCGAACAAAGTTGGGATCTAAGAGAAATAATAATTTTATGCTCATGTCAGCAATTCTCTAGTGTTTTATACTTAAAAATAACCTGAAGTCAAACTATATCCTTTGAAATTAAGGACATTGGACTATCAAACTTACAGAGAAGATAATGTAAAATAAAACTGCTTTGGTAACAAATCCGGAATCACTCAAAATAGCAATAAAAAGCAGAACTCAAAAAGCAATTTTAATTCTGTTTGAAAAACATAAAAATGACTTCATCTCCCATTATTAAAAGACTGGATTTCATTTGACACACTCTGAAAACATTAAATAGATGAGTTTATGAGCCATCTAGTAAACAACTTTGTTTTTTGACAAAAGTTACGATAAAATAACTCAAAAACCACAGCAGGTAACTTTGCATTGGATAGGAATGGTGTAACTCTCTGGCATGGAGACTGTTTTTCCCAAACTGGTACAACTCATGCCCAGCTCATGTCTGCTAAGGAAGATGAGGTATTTTTTCAGTTATATCAGGTTCATTTTACTTTAAGAAAACAGATTTAATATACACTGATTACGTACTAGTTTAAGATATTCAAAATAGTTTTAATAACAAAGTAGGAATTGAAAACAGAAAACCAAAGCATTTCCCTTAATTACAAAAGCAAACCTATTTGTTTTCGAGTATGAGGAAGTACAGTGACAGCTTGCTGGCACTACACAGAGCCAACTTGAAAAAGGTCAACATTGCTATCACTGAAAGTTAATGAGCAGGTTGCAGTGGCTTTGCACATTAAACACGTATACAGATTTTATAAAAACAAAACCAAACGGGTAATTTTTCTCATACAGAGTGGCTGAACAGCATACAGGACTTGAAACAGGAGCCCATATAGCCCGTAATGCAAGAAGAAACCCTGCATTATTTCACCTAAGTTTACACATCATATCATCAAACTTGTTTCCTGACCTTGACAAAAATCCTCTTTAACTATTCATGTTGTCCATCACGAACACTCCACCTTTTCTGAAACCTCGCTATGCCCTTCACTGAGGCAGCAGTCTGTAGTGACACACTGCACAGATGAGCCATGCCTTGTGTCACTCAGCATTTCCTTGCATTTCTGTTGTATGCTAATTCCTATTTCCTGAACGATACATTGGCTAGTCTGCAATATCATCTTTGTTTCCTTTGTTACACATTTTTTCTTAACATGATACCTCTGCTTGAAACTGCAATTTTCAAAGGCCAAACTCCAAATCCTTTTGCATAAAGAACATTCTCCCTGTTTCCATCCTCACCACAAAGCTACATGATTTTTCATGTCCTAAAACCCAAGTGCAGAACTAAATGCAGTCACCCACATTTTCACAGCTTGCATTCTGCAGACTTCATCCACCCTAAACGGTGTTTGTCTATGTGAAAGAGAAGCAAGCTCTGAGTCATGCCTATTGTTATTTACAGATAGACTCAGCGTCCAAATCCACAATACATATTGAATTTCAAATGAAGTACATCAGAAAATCAAATCTAACCTTGTTACCTCACTAGCAAAACCTGCAACTCAAAACAGCGCACAATATATGAGCAAGTGGTAAAAAAAAATACAGACAACACCAGTTAGTCAGGATGTCTGCTCATGTGATACTTCTCTCTTCAATACAGCCCATTTTAAAGCTAAAAAAGAACAATAACTTGTTCTACAAGGATTTATAAATAATCACCCTTGAATTCCTTAAGAAAGGAAACGGACACCATGATGACGCACAAGCACTCTTAACATATCAAAGCTTTAAAAATAGAAGAGCACTGCTCTATAGATAAAAAAAATGCCCTGAGTTTCCAATCTTGGTACCACCTAGCCTAACTGCTATGAAGTGAGTATCAGGAAAAGGAGGAGATAATAAACACAGAGCACACTAAATCTAGTAAAATCTACCACAATATGCAGATGGAACGAGAATTTGAATTTCCTATGGCAGGGCAGCTTCCCTGAGGTTGAAATACAAGGAAAGCTATTGTGCTGGGGAGCCTCCTTCCCAGCTTGGCTGCTCCAGCCCAGGGCTATGTGGACAGCCTGCCTTCCCTTCCCCGGGGCTGGATCCCAGCAGAGTGGCTGCGTTACGGCTCGGCTGTCAGGGACTCTCTATTCTAAACGAAACAAAACAATCTGCTGAAAAGCTGTTTTGTGCCTCATCTTGGACGTGAGGGAGGAAAAGCAAAAGGTCAAACACACCTACCTACTGTCACACGTGGATCTTTACATAGGACAGAAAAGCAGAGACATGACCTGAGCGCTCTCTGACTTGAATAATCAATTACCCTCAACTTCAGCTACTTCCAACAAATCAGCACAACCTCTGTGATTACATCTGTGATTACTCCTTATAAGAAAGAACATCTTAGCAAAGATTCACAGCTACACCAAAAAATTGTCTTTGGACAGATCCAGGACTAGCACAACCACAATGCCTCTGAGATCAGAGATGTCAGCTCTTGACATTCTGGCCTAAGTCAATGCTCTTCTTTTAAGATTACATCACATATGCACAATCCTACTGTGGTGCAAAAAAAGAAACAACAACAATCTGCAGCTATGTGGCTACATACCACAGGGATAAGCATTTTCCTACATCTCAAAGCAGAAGAGAAGCTCTGCACTCAGTTGTGTACGTACAGAACAGCTAAAGGGTTACTATGGAAAGTGGTTGACCTCCTTGCTGCATCTTACAAAATGCATCAAAACACTGAATGATTTATGTAGGAAATGGACTTCATTTCCTGTACAAGAGCCTTTTTTTTTTTTTTTTTTCTGAGTCACAAAATCTCTATTCCTTTGTTTCCCTGGAAAAGACAGCAAAGAACAGTTAGAACAACTACATTCCACCCCCCCCATAGAAAACCAGCTCTAAAAAAGAAGGCATATAATGAAAGATAAAGATTTGGAGAACCGACACACAACCTAGCAATTCAGTGTTAGATCCATGTATGTCATTCTTACATCTCTAAGGTTCCAAAGATAAGATAAATTCACCACAGGACAACCTGTTTATTTTCTTTTTTTTAGGGGGGGGAGAGGCAGGGAGGAGTAGGTTGAAGTGCTTCAAACTATCTTGCAGTACCCATATTGTTGGGTCACATCATGCAATGGTTATGTTTCAAGCAACCCACTGAGGCTTTATGAAGATCAGGGATTTAAGTGTCTGCAAAAATGTGGTTATCTTGCATGTCAAATGCAAAAAGCAACACAAAAGCCATATGTTCTTCAAAAACAGGCAACCCTGCTGTTTTAAGGAACTGCAGAAGACAGCTCACAGCTCACTGGACAGACAATGCACAGAGAACATTGCTGGCGCCCAGGCCAGGGGTAGAGTGAGAATTCTCTGCACATGGAAAGGGCAATCTTCAATGGGATGCAAGCTGCCCAAAGTAGAGGGAATGCATACAAGGGTGTTAAAAGAAATACTCCTCCTGCTATCTCTTTGCCAATTACAATTTTAGCTTTTTAGCTCTTCTTTTCTCTAGGGCAGAATTGTTCTACTTTAACTTCCAAAAAGATTCAATTATGTTATAAATCATGCTTGTAAAATTTGAAGCCAATGGCTTAAAGTTGATAAAGTTAAAAGAAAATGAAGTCAGGCACAAAACTGCTCTGGTAAAAACTGCCAGCAAGATATTGCATTTATGTTTCTAATAAGTGATAGGAAAGCTAAGCTGAAGTGTGGAGAAGGGCAATAAAAGCAGCAGAGTAAACAGATTTATTTGCTATCACTCAAAAAATAAAACAAAAAAATACTATCAGACACTAATTATATTCTGCTTACTCCAAGCTTCTTCTAAACAAATATTCCTGCTCCATTCTGGAATTCATTTCCATTGAGACTGAGCTGCAGAACTATTTGTCAGAGTAAGGATAGACAGACAGAAAAAAAACTATGGCTGAATAGAAGTACTTACACCAAGATGCATAAAGGTTCAGAATAACTGCCCATAAAGGAAGAATCAAAGATGAAAATAATTGAAGGGGGGAAAAAAAAAGCCTATACTTTTCAGCACTGCTTAGAAAAATCCTGGAAAATTACTACTAGACATGCTCAGGTTGGACTGGATGAGCCATTTGCTTTCACATAAATGCCATTCATCACACATAAATGTATCTTCAACACAAGCAGAAACCTTTACATAAAAATTCTTAATTCAAATCCTCACTTAAATTATGACAAGGTAAAAATTACTCAAGGGACAGCTTTGAGGAAGCTGTTATTTGATCTACTTGTTACATGCCAACGTGAACACAGGCAGTAGCTCACAAAGTACGACCCTTAACTGAAGAAACAGAGCCCACAGTTCTCATCTGCAGTGTTAGCACTGCGTGTGCCACCTCGCCTCAGAAATCTCGAGGGAAGGCAATTCTTGCAGCCTGGGGCATACAGGAAAAAGTAGTGTCTGGAGCTCCTGCTGGATCATGCCACCCGCATCCCAAGCATGAGAATAACCAGACACATGTGCAAATCCCACTCCGCTCAGACAAACTGGATTCATATTTTCAGCTGCTGCGCTACAGAGGTGCAAATTTAGAATTCCAAACCTTAACTCAAAAAGCATTTCAGAATATGCACAATGCAGAGAGTGTTTGTTTTCTACACACGGTATGCAGTTTGTTGTACGTAATACGGAAAATGAGAAGCATAAACTAATCATCACTTGTTCTGGTTATGAAGTGCCTCACCTGCATACATGTGGTAAGTCAGCCTCTCAATAAGTTTGACAACAGTTCCTGCCTTGATGATGGGGATTCCAGATTTGGGCTGCATGTTTTCTTCAAACACAATATTCTCTTCTGAGTCAGGTTCTGCAAACCTGTAAAGCTCAGGATTTGGAAATCTCATCTGCTCCTCTTTTTCTTCCTGCAGCATTGTTACGTCCAACATCCTTTCCAGCGTGCTTCTATATTGCAAAGATATCAACGCTGCCATCCAGTTATTTTTCTCTTCAGCTGATTTAGCAGCAAAAATAACACTGTTCTCATCTTTTAAGATGATTTCAAAAGCATGTCTGTACTCATTAGTGTCGTCTTTATCATTGATTTGTACCTTTCGCATGAAGAACTTTTCTTTTAGACGATATTCTGCATTGCTAGCACCAGGAAGCCTTGGCTGGCCGTGATTTGACTTACAGCAAATCATCAAGCCATCAAATAGAAATATGTGTCTCTCATGTTTTGCTCCAACGCGTGTCAGCGTTCCTTCCATGATGAACTCATTACAGCATTGTCCGATGTCCTTACCCTCCCAACCATCGATATTTTTCTGGATTTCATTCATTTTCTTGATTGCTAGCTGTTTCCCCTTCATCTGCTGAGTATAGAATCGGCACGCAGATTCACTTCAGTGCAGGATGGGAAAAAAGCAGCTTATTAGTATACACATATTTAAAAACACAGCCACCACTAACAACAAAAATACAAGATAATCTTTCTGAGTGGTGAAAACCCCACTGAGAATGCAGTATAAGCACCCAGGATCAGGATCTTCTTCTGAAAACACCACTACGAGGCTTGATGAATGTTTTTGTAAGTAATCCATCTGAGCATGCTTTTAGGTTCTATGCAACAGATGTTCTACCTAAATGCAGACAGCCAGAGCAAGAAATCTGTCAGTGCTTCCTAGCCTAACACATCACTCATTTCCATAGCTGACGAATGATTTTAGAATGCATTAATTTGAAAGAAGCACATAAAGTGAAAATAAGTTGTTAAACTCATTCGTGTCCGACCCCAAAGGTAACACTTTGCAGCAGAAAACTTGTTTAGCAAAGAAAATGCTGAAACAATTTTCAGAACAAAAGCAATACTTAAACAACAGGTTAAAAAAAATATTAGCATTAAATCAAATGGCAGACAGTATGACCCAAGAATTTACTACAATCATTCTACTGATTACTTCCATTATACAGCTATAATTTTAACTAGCCGTTCTATATAAAGCTCTTCAAATTACTTTAAGTAGTTCCAAATCCAGGAACATTCCCTTCTAAGCACACATAAATGCTCTTTAAAAATATTTTCAGATTGATATTTATTATCTGAGTATAACTAACCTGCAAACGTTGTAGCTTTCAAGTGAATTTTCACAAGGTCTCAACTACGAGTATGGAGGGACACAGAGAAATTCGAACGGTTTTAAAACAATAACAAATTATCTTGGCTTTGATGTCACTTCCTCTGAAAAAGCAGGCTTGTCACAAACTATTTTGTTCATTGTTTACTAAAAGAGGAAACTGGGAGCCCTAGATTTATAGCAAAGCACTAAGAGCAGAAAGCAGGAAAAATGGAATCGTGTTTACCTAAGCCTTCGTTTTGCAAGACTTTTGGAGCATATCCGTTCCATACTGCTTTGAAGATTCAGTAGGGCTGTTATTGCTTGCTTCAAGCACTCCTTATCCTCTTCATCCTCACTTTTTTCTTCTAGTTGCTGTGAACATTGAAAGTCAGATACAGTAGGTATCACCAGCATTTTGACATGCACAAATCCCAAAGTTTGACATAGGAAGAACAAATCCAACCACTTGATGATTTTGCATGTTCCTGTTTGCTACTAAAATTAACAGAATAACCAGAATTACTGATACGGGCAAGAGAGACAATTCTGTAGTTAGAGCTCAATCCCAGTTAAGGCAAGAGCAGAATTCACCAGTCCCCCACAAACTAATTGATGCACACGTTTTTGTTTTTTTTTTTTTTACCACAAAACTACTTTGGTTCACCTCTCATTTTCAACAAAGAACCCAGTAGAAGTGTCACCTCTTAAAAGGTGCTGAGGGAGGAAGGAGATTTGCTTGTGCGTTGTTCTTGTATACAGATTTGCTTGTGTACAGTTCTACAGCATGAGATTAATTGTTTTTAACAATTAATTTTTGGAACACGACCACCAGACCAACAACTCTTATCCCTCCTTTGCTCAGTAGTTTGTCATGATTTTCCTCACTGACTTTTAATGGTAAAACATGTGAAAGCCTGTAAGAAACTACCACTTCCCTCAGCTACACTGCCTACATGCTTGCTAGCACAGCACAGGATCAAATAACAACTACACTCATGCCTCTGTTTACTAACATGACCTTCCTTAAAAGGACAAAGCAACACATTTATAAACTAAAACTATGGTAAAAGGGTTAAAACTAATATTTTGAACTTAACTACAGCTATGACATGTGCTGTACAGAACAAGTTCTACTATGTTTTTATACTTAAATTTTTATACTTCCAGCTTAAACCCTGCAGTCTACACACTGAAGTGTTTCACTTTATAGTGAGTGAAAAAAATGACCGCCTACAGCTGCAGCTTAGACATAACCCTTGTTATCTCATCAATTATTTACAGGATTAATGGCTTTCAGACTACCACACCACCAAGAATTGGCTCCACATAACTGAAAGATTTATTTTGGCTGAAGAGGTAAAAGTAAAGTGGTACATATAAAATTAACAGACATCCTTGGAGGTAGTACAACTGTGCCATTTGCTTCCAGAGAAAAACATAAGTATTGTCTTCTAAAACCCAACTAAATACAACACATCCACAACTGACATTTGAATGTGTCAGCTAACATCATTATTTTTTTCCCTGACCAGAGTTCATTATTCAGTACAGCAGCTATCAATGCCACACCACGCTTTATTTGCACTTTTTAGCCATCATGATAACCACAGCATTTATTCTAGGCAGCTTTGGCTCACGAGCATGATTTGCCACACTTTTGCCCTAAACAGCATCAGCCACGAGTGCCTAATCATAAGACAAGCACTAAAACAGAGCAGCACAGCCTTTGCTCCCAGAAAGCCCTAACTCCAAGCAGGAATAGTCTGCCTTCATCATATTCTGCTCTCTGGGTTTAACACGCAGGTAACATCTTCCCTTTACTTCAGCTGTACATTTAGAAAGGATCACAAATGAGGTAGGTGCAGCAATGAAAACAGAAAGCCAGAAAAAAAAAGCTAAGAAAAAAAAAGAAGTATAACCTCACCATTCCCACTCAAGAATTCAAAGGAGGCTCTTTATCTTGAGCAATGACTTAAATACCCCAATCAAACAGGGAGAAGAAAGTACGTTAGCATAAAGCAGAATACAAATAGTCCAGGCTGGATATTAGGAAGAAATCTCTTCCTGGAAAGATTGGTGATGCACTGGCACAGGCTGCCCAGGCAGTTGGTAGAGGCACCCCAAGGGAAGGGTTCAATATATGTGGAGACGTGGCACGGTTAGTGGGCATGAAGGGGATGGGTTGGACAAGATGCTCTTGTGCCCCTAGGGAGACCTCCTTAATGATCTGCCAGCTCTGCACTGCTCCCTTGTCCTTGAGGACGGAATCCCAGGGGATTTTACTAACAATATTTCTCCATCCTGATCCAATGGAAGCAACCTATTTCTCCAACTGTATGTACAAACTCAGCTTAAGTCCAATTATTGTAATTATACTCCAGATTTGATATTTATAAAGAAGCATGCAGAAGCATGAATTACAGGCAGACTAACACAAATGGCAAATCATAAGGTGCTCTGAAGACATTCCTCAGGAACACAGAAATGAAACCTGAAAGTTTTATTTTCTGGCTTTATCTAATCACCACGAGCAGTTATCAAAAACAGTTCTTCGTCAAAGCTAAGCTAAAATTGCAGCTATATCTTTCACCTTACCACTGACCCTCAGACACTTCGGAAGAAGAGATCATAGGAAGTGACATGGCAACACTGGAAATGCTTGCAGATTTCTCTGCAAGTCTCACTGATATTTTTGTAGACATGCAGTGCCCTCTAACGATTTAATCAGGTAGATGCTAAGAAGCATGATTTTCTTCTTTAACTATCATCTTCTGTGAAGAATACCACATTACAGGAAAAAGGTGCAAACTTCAGATTATCAGGAGTAGTATTACAACCATTTTCACATTTTTTAATAATCTCATAAGGAAAATATTTGCTAGTCAAAATTAATAATTTTATAGGTGCAGTACACCAGTTGCTCCAAGCTAATCAAGGAAAACAAGCTTGAAAAATAGACTGCCTGTGGGAAATGTTTAAATATCTAAAGATAAGTGCTCTACATTCTAGGCAGTAGACACTGAAAAGATATCAAGAAGTGGAAGATGAGGTATTTTGCTGCATAATACAAGGACTAGATAATATTTATAAAGCCAAAATAAAAGGTAATTCTAAACAGTTACCAATGAGACCCTTCTATACTGCAAATTAAGACTATAGTCCTTTCTCCTAGCCTGTCAGGGACACATTCATGCAAAAAAACCCAAAGAATGAAAACATATCTGCATATGATGATAATATGCAAATACAGCAGCACTAGTAGGTGTCATGAGGGGTACAAACTAGAATGCTGCTTCCCTAGGACATTAATCTAAATCTAATCACTGCTATTTGTGATCTACAGGTTCCCTGACTCATCTGAGATGAGATGACCACATGTAGAAAATAACAGCACAGAGGAGGCAGACAATTCAAAGCCTACAGAGACTCAACAAAACACACGGAGAGCCAGCAAAGGAAACCTGATCTGTAGTGCAATCTCAGTGCCTTTTCTGTAGTGAAATGCTACGTAAGTGAGCAATTCAACATCCATGGCAACTTGAAGGATGCCGACACAAATTATTCCAGCTTCTGTTCTAGTGCCTCATCACTTCTGGCAGTGCTCCATGAGAATGAGGGACCAACTGAAAGGTAATCCTGAACCAAAACTTTTATGAGCAGGGATTAAAAGAAAAAAAACAATAACAAAACAACCGGGCTTCTCCTCTTAGAAACACAGGCTGATAAATTTGCTAATGCTCTGCTATAAAACAATTCTGGAAGCCAGTTTTCTTAACATAATTGATTTCCTGAGAGCTCCCTCTGAATTTACAGTTCCTCCAAATTATTGCAGTTCAGCCCAAAGAAGTAGCATTTTGGGAAACGTGCTTTCACATTAGAGATCTCTCTACTATTTAGAAACCAGTGAGAAATCATCTGCAAAATCAAGTAGGAAAAATCACAGGTGACACTACATTTCTAGAAAATGCAAACAGTCTACAAGGCAATTCACAGTTGAAGTATAAAGGACACTCAATATTCTTGAAGTCGCATCCATAGCTGTAATGCATTGATTTCAAAAATCATTTTTCTTTTATATAAACCCAGACAATCTTGAGCACAGCACAATAAAAATATACATATGCGTAACATTATTTAGATTTGCATTACAGCAAGAAGCTTATTTCCAATAACAGTGGAAAAACTTAATATATATTATCAAAATAACAGTAAAATCTTTTTCTCCTCCCAAAATTTTTAGTTAGGAATTCTCATTTTAAAACTTAAATTATGCAGTCTTCTATAAACCTGTCCAACATCAAACCCCAGATACTAGGTAATTATTTTGAAGAAGTCCAGTTTTCTTGGAGGTACATGATGAAAAACAGAGAAGCAGAAAAGCCCTTGTCTTACTTCACATCCAATCTTAACTCTCAGTGTTAACATGTGCTCAGCTCGATGAGTAAAGCGTGAAAACAGAGGAAAAAGTGCATCACCTGAACTTCTACTACAAATGTCCTGATGCTTGCACAGCTTGACTATATGACTTAAAGCAGATCTGCAAGGTACATGGAACGTATCAAAGTCCAGTTGAGTCCAAAAAAAAACAAGACCATTTGGGTTTAAAGAGAGAATCATATCATCACAGAATCATAGAATGGCCTGGATTGAAAAGGATCACAACAATCATCTAGTTTCAACCCCCCTGCTATGTGCAGGGTTGCCAACCAGCAGACCAGGCTGTCCAGAGCCACATGCAGCCTGGCCTTGAATGCCTCCAGGGATGGGGCATCCACAGCATCCTTGGGCAATCTGTTCCAGTGCGTCACCACCGTGTGTGTGAAAAACCTCCTCCTAATAAATCACCTAAACCTCCCCTGT